GAGGCCCGACCGACCACTTCAGCACATCAGCCCCGATTATCAGAACTGCACTGCGCCGCCAATTTCCCCTAGCAGAGGGAATACAGGGCCCATACGGACGATCTGCCGGCTCTAGTACGGATTGGATCCCGTCGTGCAGACGGAAATTCTGGGTGTCGGGTGTCTCGACTCTGCTGTGAAACTCTGACGGGCCCTCTTCCCTTGGTTCGGCCGAAGGAACCCTCCTGCCGCATGAGGCTGTCAGTGGTGGACACATCACAAAGATGGGTCGTGCAGCATCAAGATCTCCACTTTACTCCCAGTGCTGGCTGCTGGTTGGGGTGCGCTGTGACAGGTGCCGTTCACAGGTGCATGCGTCGTCCACTCAAACGGTGACCGTTTCACCTGCTCAACCTTAAGGCTCGGTCGCAAAAATTGGGCGAGGGCCCCCGCTTCCGCCCCGTGCAGCCCGCCAGGGATCCGATGGCTCACATCAGTGGAGTCGGCTTAATCTAAGTCTTGCCTGTGGTCGCGATCCCTCTTCTAGATTTTTGACTTAGGATGCTTCCCCGTTGATCCGCGGGTTTCCCCTGCAGTGGCGGTTGGGGTTTGAGGGTATCTAAATGGCGCCATGTCCGCATTGCTGTTCCGGACAGACAGGGCTGGTACAATCTGTCTGTCTTTGCGGGATCTTGACATTAACATTGACTTCCTTGTCAATATTATTTTCTTTCCTTTGTCGAAATTCACTCAGCCAGACTGAGTCTCCCTAACCGCCATGCCTGGAGGGCTGAATCCGCCGTTGTCGGTGATCGAGTCCTGGCCAGCACCCAACACCGTCAACCCCGACTCGCATGGCCCGGCAGCCATTGTGGTCGCTGCCGTCTTCGGAGGGATCGCAATCGTCACGGTGGTGGTGCGGCTGTACGCACGGTGTCTTATTCAGCACACGGGCGGCATCGATGACATCCTGATTGCGCTGGCTCTGGTATGTGACGTCGCGACGTCCTCATTCTCGGCTCAAAGCTGACCACTACCAATTCCAGCTACCGACCCTCGGCCTCATCATCTCCGTCCCGATTGGTAAGCACCACCCTCCCATTATTTGGGGACAATCGGCTGACTGCGAATCCCACAGCCAGCGAAGTCTACGGCGAGAAACACCACACGTGGGACAACAGCGTCGCGAACCTGATCGGCGAGCGCAAGGTGGCGGCGGCGTCGGAGCTGTTCTACGTGCTGGCGTCGGGGTTGATCAAGACCTCGGTGCTGCTGTTCTACCGGCGCATGAGCCAGCGGACGGTGTCGCCGCGGTTCCGCGCGCTGATCTGGGTCAGCATCGGGTCGGTGGTGGCGTACAGCGTGGCCTTCGTGCTGGCGCTGTTCCTCTCGTGCCGGCCGCTGCGCGCCTTCTGGCGCCAGGTCGACCCGGCCTGGGCCCTGACGCACCACTACCGCTGCTACGACGAGGGCGCGCACCTGATCGCGGCGACCTCGATCAGCCTCGCGCAGGACCTGCTGGCCACGACCCTGCCGGCCGTCTTCTGCATCCGGCTGCACATGCGCCGCCGCCAGAAGGTCGCCCTCACCGCCGTCTTCTCTGTCGGGTACCTCACGGCCGTCGTCGCGGGGATTCGGATCTACTTCCTGTGGCGCATGTTCTACGCCTCGTACGACGGGTCCTGGATGGCCTGGTACTGCTGGGTGCTGGCTCTGCTGGAGGTGGCCCTGGCGGCAACCTCGGCCAGCTTGCCGGCCGTCAAGGTGTTCTTCCGCTGGTACCAGGTGCCGTCGAGCCTGGCGGGGAAGCTGCGCTCGTTGAAGCTGAGCCACAGCCATAGCCACAGTACGCGGACGCCGACGGGGCAGTCCGGTTCGCACGGGGGGCATAATCGGGAGCGGACGCGTGGTCGGCAGTCCGGCGATACGGACCAGTATCTGGTGACCATGGAGACTGCCTCTGGGGATGAGCATCCCAGAATGATAGAGTTGGAGGCGTTATCGTCGCCGTCCGGGGAGGGAGAGGAGCGAGAGCGGGAGTTGGGCAAGGGGGCGGCGGAGAAGAGCTGCCCGTGCGGCGGTAGAGACGACATTGTTTGATTGGATTTGTATATACTAGCAATAAAACAGTTTGTGAGCGATGAAGCGTGCAGTATTGGTACTTAAGAGGAATACCAACGATCAACGACAAGTAAGGCTAGGCCCAACCGCGCGAGGGCGTTACTTTTCCCGCGGCGCGGGCCTCGGCAGTGGGGATCGCAACGAGATCCTGTTGGTGATTCAGCATGCGATCGCGCATTCAACCGCCTAAACGGGTTAACTTACCCGGTCGGCACCGCATTCTGTGGGCACGGATGGCCGTGCAAATGGCGACATTGGCTGGCCGGAGTGCATGTCCCCGCACGAGGAGATGGGCGAATGCTGCTGCAGGCATTTTCTGCATCTTCTGAGGGGAAGCTGGGCTATATAACCGCTGTCAATAGTCTGGCGCGCTCGTCGGCAATGTTGTTTCCTCTCATTTCCCATCTCTGACTTACCTCTGTTTCTCTCATCCCCTCACACACAACACTCCATCCACCACCACCACCTCACGAACAAAATGGCCATTTTACTCCACCCCCTCCTCGCCAAACCCATTCAAAAGGGCAACCCCAACTTCTCCGGCGGAACCCTCAAATGCCACTGCACCAGCAACCCGGTCACCGTCACCGTGACCAGCAACGTCGCCCACAACCACGCGTGCGGCTGCTCCAAATGCTGGAAACCGGGCGGCGCCCTGTTCTCGGTCGTGGGTGTCGTGCCCCGGGAGAAGGTGTCGGTGTCCTCGCACGCCGAGAAACTGGCCATCGTGGACGAGGCCGCCGTCATCCAGCGCCACGCCTGCACGGCCTGCGGGGTGCACATGTTCGGGCGCATCGAGAAGGACCACCCCTTCAAGGGGCTGGACTTTGTGCATGTGGAGCTGTCGGACGAGAAGGGGTGGCAGGAGGTGCAGTTTGCTGGGTTCGTGTCGAGTATCATCGAGCAGGGGTTTCCGCCCCAGAAAATGGAGGACGTGAGGGGCCGGTTGCGCGCGTTGGGGCTGGAGACGTTTGATGTGCTGGCGCCTGCGTTGATGGATGCTATTGCGGCGTGGACGGCGGAGAGGGAGGGGAAGTTGAGGGCTTCGCTTTAGAATCACTCTGGGGTGTCCGCGGGTGGATCGCTGGTTTCTGGGAAATGAATTTTGTGACAGTGTTAGCGAGGGACTTTGAGAACTGTGTTAGATTTCAATAGCAATGCTAGCGCCCGGCTGACAGCATGGCGATGAGGAATTTGCGATGGGTTTGCTGTTGTGAACTAGCCATCTTTTGTGGTAAACTTGCGCTTTAGATGTCAGGACGTGACGGTTGAAAGTCGATGGTGGTTGGTTTGGGATATGACGACAGGAATTGAGATTCTTACCCTCATGGATGCTGTTTATGGATCAGTGGACGTAGAGTTGGAGGGCTAACTGTTTTTGTAGATGAGGAGTTTGGGTACCTTGGGGGTAACTGGTGAGGAGGCAGCAGGCACTACTTGGTCCCACGCCGGTAGATTCGCATAAGGAATGGCGCCCAAATTTGTCAGCACGTATGAGAGGTCTTGGCATCTGCCGGACAGTCGGGACAGTAAATTGGTAAGCGGCATCTCACACCCGGAAGGTGACCAGACGTGACTGTTTTGTACTGAAAACTCATGACAACGCACAAATACGGTCATTCATGATAGACCTGCTGGCTCTTTCCTGTTCCAGAGACTACAACCGGATTCTGAGTGACTTGGCAGACGTTGTTGCTGACCAATTCAAGAGCAAACCTGGGCTGAGCAAGTACCCTCCCCCAGCGGGAACTTATAAATGAGGACCTGGTTTGGTAGATCGGGGAAGATTAATAGCACGTAAGACAACCTTCCTTGAATGACCTTCCTTGAAGTGACAGTCCAATTTTCAATCAGTTTCGATAACTCTGGCCCAGCATGGCCGAAAAATCCAAAATCGCCCTCGTACTAGTCGACCCCTACAACGACTTCCTGCACCCTGACGGCAAGCTCACCCCGTTGCTGAAAGACCTCGAGGAGAAAGAAACCATCAAACACATCGAGGAAGCCGTGGCTGCCGCCCGCCTGCATCGCATCCCAGTCTACTACGGACTACACCAGCACTGGACCCCATCTGCCTTCCAGGAATGGCGGCACATGACACCCAACAACGTCAAGCAGGAGAAGATCAAGTTCTTCGAAGCAGGCACGTTTGGTGCCGAGATCTACCAAGGCTTGGAACCAGATGCCAGCAATGGGGATGTGGTCGTGAGTCGACACTGGAATAGCGAGTGAGATTTCTCGCCTTGACATGATAGAGCTGCGCTGTTGCTAATGTGCATCTACCGGGAAGCTCCTTCCAGAACACCGACCTGGACTTCCAGCTGCGCCAGCGCGAGATAGTGAATCTGGTGCTGGCCGGGCTGACGGCCAATACATGTCTGGAAGCTACTGCGCGGCATGCTTTTGAGCTGTAAGTCTCTGGGGTATATGAGACAAGGAACTTGGTAGACGCTGATGATATTGTTTTACTACACAGAGGCTACAATGTGACTCTTCTGTAAGTTACTTGGTCCTCCGAGATTGCACACACTGATAGGAATGCTTTCGTAGCAAGGATGCCACGGCCGGGTGGTCTAAGGAGCTGACGGACGCGGCGACCGAGTTGGTCTGGCCGTTGTTTGCGCAGGTGAAGTCTGTGGAAGGATGGGTGGAATCTTTGAAGGCAGAGGAAAAGACTTAATGTTGTTTGACATTACAATCAATCTAGCTGATGCTATACCAGAGTAGTTAATTTGGACTGAATAATGTAGATTATTGTTTCGTTGCTATGTCAAATTTGTCATCATTCCCAATTGCAAAGCGTTCACTGCGTGTCACGATCACGTGCGGAGAGACTGTCTGCCCATTCTTCTGACTAATCTACTCCCGCCTCGGCTTGTTGACGGAAACAGCTGAGAAACGTGCGAACATCTTCAATCCATCGCCCCTCAACCCACAACCACATACACCGATGGCCGTACGGAAGACACGTTCAAAACGCCCTACGCGTGGCTCAGATAACCGACGAGTTGGTGTCCGTACCGCCCACGCAGAGGCAATGTCGGAGTCGCCGGTCGCTCATCCCGAAACCCCATCACGGATCTCGTGGGCGGACACCCTCGCCGCCTTAGAGCGAGAACCCATGGCATCGCAGATCCAGCGGCATAAACAGTGGAAACGTACGTGTTCCTTCCCTGCCTCCTGCATCGACTGCCTTACATTCTTACCATGCCGAGCTTAGGAGATGGCTCGATCCACGAAACATACTGTCGGGTTTGCTTCCGCGAGGAGAACCTGGAGCCATGTGTGACCTGTCGACTGGCATTTCACGCCCACTGTCTGCCGACCGGGTGGATGCGAGATACCGACCACCACATGTTCTGCTCTGCCTGTGTCCGGCGCGAGTGGCATATCTCTCCTCCGACACTGACACCTCCTACCTCCCCACGACCGGCGGGGGTAGAGACATCAGGTGCAGCTCCCGCCGCCTCTCCCGCCCTCCATCCGAGCACACTGTCCTCTACTCCTTTGCCTCATGGCAGTCTATCTCATACCAAGCCGCTCATTTTCTCCCCGCTCCCCGGACACAGCCTCTTACACGAACCCAATCCAGCCAACGACAGCACTATCTTCGCCCCGCACCCCGACCCATCCCCCCCGCCAGCCCGCCGCAACCGCAAGTCCCGGTACACGAACCTCCCCGCCGATGTCGACGCCTCGCTGAACGTCCTCTACCGCGAACTAGAGTCGAACGCGTCGCTGCGGCTCGAGAACGAGGACCTGCGCGAGGAGAACCTGCGGTGCCAGCAGATCATCAAGATTCGGGATATGAGCCTGACGGCGCTGCGGCGCGAGGTGGAGTATCGGCGGTCGTCGGAGCAGGAGATGGAGACGCTGCGCGCGACGGCGGCGCAGCTGGAGAGCGCGAGGAAGGAAGTGCAGGAACTGCGGGCGCGGAATGAAGCGTTGGAGGCGGAGCTGGAGCGGTCGAGGCAGGAGGCGGTTGAGGCGAAGGAGATGGTGAGTGATTGGAAGGCGAAGTTATCTACGCTATTAGGGAGCTGAACGCATACGGAAACTCGGATGTCTTTGTTGTCGGGCGTCTGAACTTGTAATCATAGACATGATTTGGTTTATTGGCAATTCTAGCTGTCGTCGACTTACTTCCGCTGCCCTCTAAGTCTACCTAGTATCCTCTACCGCACCCGGTGAATACGGCGTCTTCTCACCTCGCCAACTCTATAAACCCTGTCAATTGTCATATATTGAAACCCAAGTACCTCCAAACCAGTCAAGCTTTCGCCCCCCACTCCCAACCAACCTTGGCCACTCTCGCAGCCAACGCAGCCCCCGCACCGAGTACAACACACACCCCCGCAAAGATCTGCGCCCCGATATAGCTGCCCCCAACGCGCGAGATCAACGCCCCCTCCAGCACCGGCCCTGTCAACGTCGCAAAGCCCACAATACTCAGGATCATCCCAATCCTGGTCCCCGTCCGCTTGATATCCGGGGTCATCGTCGTGGCAGTCGCGGGGAAGAGCGACTGCGCTGCGCCGCCCACCAGCCCATAGACAACCGCAAACACATACAGCCCGGCAACGGTGTCGACCGCCATCCAACATAGAATCACGATTGCGGAGGCAAAGCTGAGCGGGACCAAGACATTAAGTTTCCCAAGCCGGTCCCCGACAAGACTAGGTCCGACACGTCCGACAATGCCCACGCCGTTCAACACCAGAATTAAATCCTGCGTGTCCGTCACCCCGAGGCGGTCGCGCGCGAAGGTCCCGAGGTAGAAGAAGGCGAAGTAGAGGCCCCAGAAGTTGAGGAACATGCTGGCTGTGAAGAAGAGGAAGGGCCGCTCGGTGAACGCGCCCCATTCGATCAGAGGACCTGTTCGTCGGGGCGGAAGACGGGGCTGGAAGAGCACCACCCCGGGCATCTGCGTCACCAGCATCAGCAGCCCCGCGGCGCGGATCGTCCACCCGAACCCGATCTGCTGCGTGTACAGCAGCTGGTTCACCAGCACGGGGTAGATCAAGCCGCCTGTCGCGGCCCCGGCCGCGGCTACTCCCACCGCGAAGGCGCGTCTTTCGACAAAGTAGGAGGCCATGATCGAGAGTCCCGGGCTGAAGGTCAGGCCGTTGCCCAGACCCATGCAGACGGCCTGCGTCAGGAAGATCTGCCAGTAGGTCTTGGCGAGGGAGAGCAGGAAGACGCCGAGCAGCTGGAGGAAGACCCCCAGCGCGAAGACGAGACGGAAGTAGCCTGCGTCGGTGGCGCGGCCGACCACCGCCCCGGCGAAGAAGAGAAGGGAGACCTGCACGCTGCCGATCCAGGAGATGGTCGAGGCGGACTGGGGCAGGGTTGCGGTGTACAGCTGCTCGAAGACGGAGAAGCTGTTGCTTACGCCCCAGGAGTTGAAGAAGACGAAGTGCATGCAGAGGACTTGCGTCCATGCCTGGAGGCCCCCGTCGGGCGGGGGTGGTAGCGGTGCGCTGCCTTCTGGATTGGGGCCGGGGCCTAGGCTTGGGGGACGAGCGAGGGCTCGAAGTGGCTTGTCCGTCCAGTTCATTCTGAATCAACCTGAAGATTAGATGACTACCCCAAAGAATGATAGTTCACTGCCTATCGCAGGTAAAAATGGTTTGTGGAGATTGGTTAATGGTGAAGACACCCCCATATACCACCCAAGTCCAGCTCATCCGGGCAGGAGACGCAATATTACAAATTTGATTACTGATCAGTCCAACAAATACCGACTACCGAGGCCAATACCTACCGATGTACTGCAGCTACCAGTTAATCACTACCAATATGGCCGGCCGTTATGCTTGAGCATGGCGACGCATACGTGAGCTTACTGTATCTTACCATACCATACCATGCAGCGTGGGGTAGCACTTACTTACCAATCTTAGTCTGCAGTTGCCTATCGCAATAACACTGATATTGTGGTTGTGCTGTTATCGCTCTTCCTCTCCTATACTTTGACTCATTTTCATGGTGACAGTGGAACACCCTGAAGCAGATCGCCACGTGACTGTCGCGCTTTCCACTTCACCTTCTCATCTTCTCATCACTTTCCTCAAACTCTCAAACATCTCACCCCGCCGCTTCCACCCTCCTGCTTTCCTTCACAGTCTGATTGCACGTGCATCGACTCTCGACTCAAATGTCAGACGCCTCCTCGGCAGCCGATTCCTGGTTGCGAGTGCTTTCCTGTTTCCCCATCCATGATAGTAGGTGAGTGTGGTCGTGAAAGTCACAAGATAACCAGACTCAACACCAGACGACTTTGTTCATCCTTGCCTGGTAGGTCCCAGAACCGTGCAATGAATCCATCCTATGTGGCTTAACTGACTTCAAGATCGATTGCTGAATGATAGTCGATTCCACAGGAGACCCCCGGTCGACGTTCCCCCCGGTCGACGTCCTCCCCGTTCCCCCCGTCCTCCAAGCTTCTGATTGCCTTCCAGATCTGCTGTACCTTGACTTCGACACAAATTGGCTTTTGAGCTGGCGGTGGGATGAGCCATTGGCCAGCATCACTGCCGGCTGGACGGGTCGATGATGCGGGTGGCTTATGCGACTCCGACACCTCACTCTAGTCGTGATTCATCGCTGAGCCACTTCACCGGTTAACAGGTACTCTCGTGGATCTATAGAGGTGGCATGCAGAACGATAGAAGAAGTGGGATGCTCTTCTTCGTCGACGCATCCCCGTCCCACAGCTTCTGCCTGGAGACGTGACTTGACCATGACCCGCAGAGCCCTCGAGCAACTCATCGACACGATCGCGGTGAATGGGGAGGTCCTGAAGCAGCAAGTGCGACGCGAAGACCACGACTCGCTCGAAAACTGCTTGGCTGATCCATGTCGGATGAACGGGGATGCCTCCAAGGCGCGTTTGGCTGTCATTGACGCATCGAAGCGGCTGGTCCGTCTGGTGACTGGGCCATACGATCTTTTTTACGATATGATGTCCGAGGTAGCCCACAGCCTCCTTATCGGATGCACTGGTCAACAATTCCCAATGCTAATGCATCACGTTTGATAGGTTTTCCAGGTCGGCGCGATCCGGGCACTGATGAACTTCGGCATTCCCCAGTTGATACCCCTCCATGAGCCTCTAGCAGCTATCGTCCTCGAACTCCTCTCCGGTCTCGGAAGAGACCCCCTACGTCGCCTGATTCGATATACGGCAAGCTACGGCTTCCTGCAGGAGGTCGAGCCCGAGATGTTTGGTCACACTCCGCTGTCGGCCCTGTGCGTGCACGACTCCGTTGCCACGCGCAGCTGCATGTGGAACCTGAATGTTACCTTCCCGGTCGCGAGCAAGATCTACGAAGGGCTCAAGGTCGACCCGTCTGCCAGCGACAACACGCGCTGCGCCGCCAGTGTGGCCTACGCCTCCCCGGAGAAGCAAATCACCAATATCTGGGACTATCACCGATCGTACCCGAAGCTGGAGCTTGGTTTTCATGACTATATTAATGCAACGACGCGGAGTGCGTACTACTCAGCTTTGCACGCCGTGCGGGGATTCGACTGGTCGAGCGTGCAGACTGTCGTTGATGTAAGAAGTGAAATTATCTCCAGCTTCTCGACTGAGATGCGCTAACGATGATGCTCATAGATTGGCGGCTCCTCGGGCCATGTGAGCATGGCACTCACCGAAGCACATCCCCACCTCCACTGCATCTTCGAAGACCTGCCCGACGTGATTAGCGAGAGCCGCCAGACGCTACCCCCAGCCTACGCGGACAAGATCGAGTACCTGACCCATAGCTTCTTCGAGCCCCAGCCTGTCGCTTCAGCGGACTACTTCCTTCTGCGTTTTGTCCTGCATAACTGGTCGGATGAGGACGTCTGTCGGATAATCGCGAACCTGTCGCCCGCCCTGCGGCCCGGCATGTGGGTTCTCATCGCGGACATTGCCGTCCCAGAGATAGGGTCATCCTCGGGTCAGGTAGAAGCAATCGTGCGGTGCATGGACTGCCGTATGCTGGCGCTGTTTGGGGGTCGGGAGCGGACCAAGAATGATATCGTCGCGCTGGTGCAGGGGGTAGATACTCGGCTGGCGTGGAAGTCCTGCACGCAGCCAGAGGGGAGTATGGCGAGCTTTCTGGCTTTTCAGTGTGTTTGAGCTGTTTTTGTTGTCGTAGCTGGTAGCGAATCTTGAGACTGAGTTTGATGATGATGATCACATGAGTGCATTGCTTCTTCGCGATGCTGGGGCGGGTTACGACTCCCCTTATATAGGTTTCCTAACCACGGTAGAATTATCAGTCATACGCTGATGGTAGGGCATCAGATCCTATTATTCACCATCAGAACTATTACGCGGGGACAGCGGACATGAAACATTGTTGACATTGGTGAAAAGCCCGTTCATGTCATAAGTGGCCATGCATTAATCCATGTTGTGGCTGGACATTGGGAATACTGTTTCTTGGTATAAAGAAGGGGCAAAGTATCAGAACCACTGACAACCTAGATTGATCACGAACAAGCGAAACCGAAAAAGAAAAGAGTCGAATGTGTGATCTAGACCGCATTCCATACATACCACTATTCTTAATGTTGTGGTGTTTGGAACTGTAAGTACTGAGGCGGCACGGGCGAGGAAGCGACTGTGTCTTCCTTGGTTGGAAGACGGTGGCGTTTTCTTTCCCTCTTGCTTCCACGTCACTTCTTCCTTTCTCACCACCCTCGTGTCTCTCTTGTTCGAAATAACCTTGGGCGAATCCATCGTCTGAATGCTTTATTCGACCACCTTTATAGCATCACAGATAGTCTCATCCTTCCGATATAAGGTTATCGCCCGCAGCACCAATGACCTCAGCATTACGGTCCCTCCTGCGTCGCAGGCTACTCAGCGGGATCCCTGTATTTGGCATTCAGCACATTGCCGATCTTCAGCAGCTCCTCGCGCCAGTGAGCCGAATCGACCTTCGCAACAGCCGCCGGGTCCTTGTTGGGCCAGTCGGAATCATAGTCCAGGTCCTCGCGCAGAGTCAATGTGCCAGTCCAGAAGGGTTCTCCCAGACCGTCCACTAGGCCGGGGCCCTGAGCGTCGCCAGCGTGGGGGTCCCTCCAGATGTTGACCTTGAACTCCTTTCCATTGCTGAAGAAGAAGTCGCCGGGCACATCTGCGGTCGCGGACACCTTTCCGGTGACGGGCTGCATGGCCACCTCGGGGTGCTCGGCCAAGGCGAGGATCAAGCCGTTGGCGAGGTCGTCGGCACTGATGCTGTCTTCTACTCCCGGGTCGGGGGATAAGGAGACGTTGGCGGCGGACAGGGCGACGTTCGGAGACCGGACCAGCACGTGGGAAATATGCTGCTGCGCCGGCGTGCCGTAAAGATAGAACGGGGTGTCCATCTTTGGATATTGCGGGTCTCGGTTCACCACGTTCAACGGCCGGCTCTTGATGATATCGTCCTTAGTGATTGTGACCTCTCCTGTGGACAAGGCGCGCACGTCCCTGGAGTGTGATGTTAGTATTGGGATTTGATTCCGAGATGGGCTAAACAGGTAGGGAACATACAAGTCGGGATTCTCGTGTTGGCGGAGATAGTCCACCTTCGCGTATATCTCGGCGTTGAACGTTAAGTCCGTGTGGGGAAGATCGCGAATGCCCTGCTGAAGGTTGATGACATCCTGGGACACCAGGAGGAGAGATGTCTCTGGGCTTTGGTTCTTGCAATCCCGATACTTCTGTTCGAGGTCGGGGCTGAGGGTGGCGCGGACGATCAGCTGCTGGCGGAGAGTGGCAGTGTGGAACGAGGTTTGCAAGACCAGGAAGGTCTTTCCGGACTCTTCGATGCCTTGCAGGAGGAATTGGGCCTTGTGTGCCGCGGGGTCGTTGCGCTTTCGGACTTGTTGAACTTCTTCGTTGACGACTCGCTCGAATTCGTCCCACAGCGTGCCGATGAAGTAGTGCTTGGTGGGGAAGGGACTCATCACTACGTTGCGCAGGACGAACAGGTCTTCGTCGACCTCCGTGAGGCCCAATCTGCGCATGAAGGTCTTTGCGCACGCGCCGTAATGTTTGGGCTCAAACTTGGTCGAGGTCAGGTAGACGGGGATCTTGGTTGGGTCGGTGTCCACCCCCGTGATGGAAAGCCGGTCAACGACCCTCTTCATCAGGTAGTTGGCTTCTTCGATGTCGGTGTTCAGGGTTGTCTTCGCCTCGTCGACGTAGAAGTTGAGGGCAAAGGCGTTGATGTTGGTGTCGGAGCCCAGTTGGCGCAGCAGGTTCATTGCGACAGGGTCCTGCAGGAGGGCCTCGTTCTGCTGTCCCAGGATGCGCATTCGAATGAGATCCCGGTCGGCCTCAACCTCTGGGGAGTTGAAGGCGTGTCCCTCCTGCTCCCGGGGCAGTCGATTGAACGGGACGCAGATGAAGTCCTTTCTGTTCTCCTGCCTGAAGTCACTGTGGACGGCATAGCGCACCGATAGCTGCCAAATTGTCAGCCCAGAGAATCAAGAAACTCGCTCGCGAGGAACCTACCCTGGAGCTGGTGAAAGATGCTTGACCCAGCAGCTTTCCGTATCCGTCGGGGTCCAGACCAATTGTCTGGTTGGAGAGCCACGTTGACATGGCAGCTGCGCCGGGTTTGCTGCAAGAGCCATCATGGATGAATGGTTAGTCGGTGCACCCTGAGCTGGAGCAGTCACGGAAGAAACTCACCTTCCCTCTACCCCATATACCCCAATATTCTCTGCCGACCCCTGCGACAAATAGGGACTGGACCAAGTCACCAAGTATCGCATCCGGCCGTCTCTGTAGACCAAGCTCCCTGCCGGGTACGGGATATAGCCAGCCTTGTGGGGGTCGACCGTGATGGAGTCCGCATGGCGAAGAGCCAAGAGGTCGGTTTCAGTCTCCTTTCGCAGAGTCAGGGCTGGCACCGCGCCTCTGTCGGCGTCGCCCCTTTCAGGACCCCGCAGTCCTCGGCGCAGCATGGTAGCAAAGTAACCTCCCCAGGCAGCATCTGCATGAACAAGGAAAGACAGGCCGTTCTCTTGCATCTCGTTTCGAATTCGCACAATCTCCGACAGCCGGTCGACGGCCCCCTCTTCGGTGGATCCAATCACGGCCACCACCGCATAGACGGGGATCTCGTTTTCAAGGCACTCGTTCAGAGTAGCCCTCAGTTGCGCCAGGTCGATGTGAGCGTCGTCGTCCACCTCGACTTCAAGAAGATTCGCCGATCCCAACCCGGCAATGGCTGGACAGGTTAGCCTTCTAGTCCGTGGTGACATTGGCCGACTTGGGAATTTACATACCCAGTCCCTTCGGCCAGGAGTAATGGTTGGTCTTGGACACGATGAATTTCATCGCCTTGAGACTCCTATAAAAGTGGTGGGTCTCGTCGGTCTCCTCATGCAAGAGGCCCGCTGACTGGATGTTATAAGGCTCCAAGGCATTCTTGAGGTAGTCGCTCGAAATGCCAAACTCTCGGTACAGACGATCGGGCAGATCGAGGACAGTCTTGGGCTTCAGATTGAGAAGATCCCAGGTTGCTAACCGTGCAAATTTCTCTGTTCCGCCCCTGCAGTTTTCCACCTCGAACCGATCCGCGATGAAATTCAGGTTCCCGTTCACGATGGCTTGATGAAGGGCCAAAGGGTAGAACTTCAGGTTTCGCGCTGGTCATGTCTTAATGCATGATTTGGGACGTTTGAAAGGGAAGTAAGTACGTACCGACCCAGATCGATTCCAGATTAGCGACCGTGCCGTCGCAGGTGATATGGCCCCATGACATCGGCTCATTCTGTCTTTCTCTATGAGGGTCCTCTGTCAGGGGAGTTTTGTATCCGAACAGCTCGCCCAGTTGCTGTCCGACCAACAACTCCGCGACGGTGGTCATGGGACTGGCTTCGAGGGCGACGTTGTTGGGATTGTACAGCATCGTCATGAAGTACCCCAGCAAGGACGGCATGGTCAAGTCAGTGCACATGTGGGCTTCATAGCGGGGAGACCAGAAAGGCACCGAGTGCTCTCCGAGGAGCTGGGCCACTTTTCGGACGACATCACCGAAGTTGTCCCTCACCTTCTGGAACTCCGGCGATCTCCGGACTTCCTTGGTGATGAACTTCTGGCTCTTTCAACGGGTCAGTCGACGCGAAACAGCAGAGGGGGGAAGGCGAGTACATGATCCTCGGGGTAGTAATCAAGCCTGGTTTCAAGCAGTTCATCCAGAATGGTGTTAATGTTTGCTCTGAAATCAGGCATGTTGGCAGCCCGTGGGCCGATGAAATAGTTGTTGATCACATTTTGGTTGGTGATTTGGTCTTCGCCGCGCTCAGCATGAGCTAGGACTGGAGGTGCATCAGCCATGATGGATGAGTTTTTATCGAAGACTCTGCCGGCTCTGGAAAGATGGTGAACACCTTTAGCTGGACTGGATTGGATGTGGCCTTTTATAACAATATCCGATCTTTCGGGGTCTGCTCAGCCGGTTCTATTCAGGTCGCCTCGTATCGTCTATCAGGGTTATCCTTGTCCGGTGTGCCTCGATGCGTCCGACTTGACACCCACTCCACCCGAGCCAGCTTATGGTGGGCTGCGAAACTGCATGATGTGGTCATTCTCCTTCAAGCTCCATTGCAATCGTGGCTGATGGAGTTGCAGATCGATACTACCCCTCCTCCACACTCTCGGATCTCAGTTCTTGACCTTGCACATCACACCTCTATGCCACGTGCCCCATCTCGATGGCTAAAGTTTTGTACTACTAAAGGATCTCCCGATTTACAGAGTTCCTCGCGTACAAACTCAATTCCTCACGATAAAAGTCACAGCCAACATTATTTCCGCCTAGCATACCTAGCCTACACCAGGTGTGGATGCCTTACAGAAAGAGGGACAGACCACTGTGGCTAGCTGACAGACCAATGATCTTTACTCGATGCGTCTAGCGATGCATTCGCAAAGGCCCCTGCCCCCACACCAGGTTACTCCATTTCCTGGATGGTTCGTCGATCCATGTTGGATCGATTTGCCATCCGACTCGCCGAGGAGTAATTCGTGTTCGTGCATGACATCGTCAAAGGCTGACAAGGTGTTGTAGATCTCTACAGGATTCGGCTGAGTGGGGTGGGGATCTGCGGGTCCTGTTCAGCTCCCCCCACCTTTATGCACTGGATTGGACTGTGATAGCTCACGCAGCTGCATGTTTTCATACTGTGCAGGACCCCTCGATTCAGCTTGTAGATCGCAGATGTGTGAGTAAACAAGGTGAGCCGGCTGTGACGATGTCTAGTTTAGTGCGAGACTGACCCATTCACTTTACCCCACTAGGTCATTCAAGGCCTACTCAGCTCGCCACTGTCTGATCGCCGGGAGTTGCCCAGCTGTTGTATTCTATTCGTTCATCTTGCAAGCCATCCAACAGATAAATACGGTCCTTCTATGTAATGCTTGAACCTCGCTGAGCTTTGCACCCAGTTCCTAAGGGCGCCACACCCCGCACGCTCCCCGAACTACTAATCTATGCAAGGTTGCCTCCCGACGCCTATAATCTGCACACCCCGCCATGCCGGCTGTATGTACTACGTAATTTATTAGCGAATGACCAATGCGGATGCTTGGCGAGGGTGATTGCGGCAAGGTTTGAAGATCTGACCTTGAACCTCCGAGCACTTTCTAAACTGCTACGTTGTTGCCTGGTAAGCCTGCGGCGCTGGCGCGTCGCTCGCAGACATGGGAGGCTTCTAGCCTCGGCCAGAGTGCGCCACTAGATACTTAGTACCATACTCTAAAGCTTTCTATGGTTGGCCAGAAACAAAAATTGTAACCGCCTTCTTTTGAAATAACTTGTTTTACGTAGACAGGGTGTGTTTGGTCTGTTGCATTGAACTGATACTTTTCCTGCTTGCACCCTCCAAACCATGCAATCTTTTGCGGCCCTATATTTGCTTGCTCTTCACTTCACGTATTACGAGTGGTAGAACTCCATTACTCTTGGAGCCAGGGTGAACTCGCCGCCTTTCCCCTTTTCTTTTGGGATTCTGATGTGGCTTTTATGGTTCTGCGAACATGGAAAACGTCGAGGCTTGCCTTTGTCTGGCACGGCCATGTTGAGGACCGGATTGCTTCTACAAGATCCGCCGTAGAGAGGAATCGGTTGTCTGGATTGTACCCTGACCGGCTGTCTTTCGCATTGGGTCCATTCACGTACTCACGGTACGATATTCCGTCGTACCTTTTTTAACCAACTACTGAGTATGGGAACATCAAACCCTTGAGATTTGCCCTGTGGAATAGTGTTCATAAGTATCATAACTGCAGAGCTCTCGGCCATTAACAGGTTTGCAATATTTGGGGCCTGCTGGTATGCCCTTGCCGTCCCGCCGAGCGATTACCAGGCTCCATCTATCTCTTGATGACTGTGAACCCCGGATTTCTCGTTCTCGAGGGCAATGCATGCTCTCCGGACTGTGCCGTACACTGAAGAGGGCCTTCGAACAGCTGCAAAACGTGAATACGCGGCAGGGGGTTCCAGAATTTCGCATTGAAAAAAAAAGAAATCTTCCCGACTATGAATTGAATCAGATGCGCTACTGGCCGCAGTGTATGGCCATCCAACTTCTCGAAATATGCACCTATTCCCAATAGTTCGAATGGCAACAATACGAAAGAAATATTATGCATCATAGGTTATGGAAAGTCTGCATTGGAAGGGATGCAGATCCTAGATGCCTATGACTTTGTGTTTGACTAGCGTGTCAGACAGATATATCGTGCAAGGCGCGACATGTTGCGGAGTTGATAGGGGTAGATATCTCTAACTTGCAACTCTCACTTTCTCCGGCCGTGCAATGGGATTTTCTATGTACATATAAATGCAGAAGCAGCCCTGCTGGATTGGTTTCTATGTTCTCGGCACTTGACGTGATTGATGTTCATAAAAACATTAATATATGACTTTACTCCCTTCCACTCCCGGTCATTAAGCCACCTCCCGCCACGAGTTCACCCACTTCTTAAAGATTGGAGAGATTGTTTCCATATTGCCCATCCAAACAATCAATACCAACTGTGTATCCCTATCTTCTGCCCCAACCATTATTCGACTATCCGACTAAAGAATTTTTCCCAGCAGTACCTCAGGAACACATACATTGTATTCCGAGAATTGTCCGGGCTGCGCTCAATTGGGCAATATTGTTTGTTTGCAACGTTTGCACTGTGATCAGGTGATTTCGACCAACAGAAAATCAGTCCCTCGCGTCAGATGCCATCAGACTGAGGCCATTATCTCTTGCAGAAGAATAGATTACCTGAATGTGCGTCAATGCAACCTCCCCTGCAGGTGTCCCACACTAGCTGCTGGAGACCCCGCCTCGCAATGGCGCGATACACCGGACTCCGGCCTCGCTCCGACGCGCCAAGATAACTGCCTGCTGCTGTCTCGGGTGTTCAATCAAGTGACCAACATGGAAGAAGTGAAGACAGACAGATTCCCTCATTCCCACAATGTCAAAGGTTTTCTAGATGTTGATTAAGAGAGTTTGTCTGCAATGCTCGAGAAAGATGACAGAACCGAGCCGAGGAAGCCACATTGTCGAAGATAATCCTTCACTGATAAGCAAGCGGAAAGGAAGCTTAGATCCGGCTTGGCACTCGGCAAGGAGTATGACGAATCTGCAGAACGAGAGTTGGATTGGGTTGGTTCCTGCATCCCACCTCATTTACGGTGCACGCCATCCCCGGCGTTGCACCGCTCCCCGTCGGAGCAATTAATCCACCCGCAATGGCCTCATCACTACGCCAAAAAGATTTATAACAGGCGGCGGCCCCGTCGCTGCCTGTCTGCTCCTCGCCCTTCTCCCCCGGTGTCTCCTTCCCCGTTGCTGGATCTCCCCTCATCATGGTCGCCTTCTCGCGCATCTCTGCCGGCCTGTTGGCCGTGGCCGCCCCTGCTTGGGGCAACGTGGTGCTGGAGAAGATCCAGGCCGTGCCCAGCAGCTGGTCGCTTGTTGAGGAAGCCGACACCAGCTCGAACATTACTCTTTCCGTGGCCTTGACGCGTCAGAACCTGGACCAACTCGAGTCCAAGCTGCTGTCCGTCTCCACCCCGGGCCAAAGCACCTACGGCCAGTACCTCGACGCGGACGAAGTCAACGCCCAGTTCCCTCTGGCCGACCACTCGACGGTCATCTCCTGGCTCACCGAGGCGGGCGTCACCGACATCTCCCACCAGGGCGGGTTGATCAGCTTTGCCACCACCGTCGGCACGGCCAACAAGCTGCTCAACACCACCTTCTCGGTCTACGAGAAGGCCGGCACCCAGAAGGTGCGCACCACCCAGTACTCGGTGCCCGACAGCTTGAGCGGGTCGATCGACCTGATCGCTCCCACCGTCTTCTTCGGCAAGACGCGCGCCGAGCGCGCCGCCGCCTTCCAGGCCGTCAAGGTGGCCCGACGGTCCAGCAGCGCCAGCCAGTACATCACCCCGACCTTGCTGAAGCAGCAGTACAACATTGACTACACCCCCAAGGCTTCGTCCGGCAGCCGCATCGGTTTCGGAAGTTTCTTGGGCGAGTCCGCCCTGTACTCGGACCTCGACCTGTTCACCGAGCGCTTCGGCATCCCGCAGCAGAACTTCACCGTGGAGTTGATCAACGGTGGCGTCAACAACCAAGAGGAAGACGGGGGTGAGGCCGATCTGGATGTGCAGAACATTGTGGGCCTCTCGCATCCCCTGCCGGTGGTTGAGTTCATCACTGCTGGATCTCCGTATGTAATCCCAAAATGGATCGGGTTTGAAAGTGGTTACTAACGAGACGAAAGTCCCTTCATCCCTAACGTGGTGGAGACCACGGATACCAACGAGCCCTACGTGGAGTACTATGAGTACCTGCTGAACAAGACCAACGACGAGCTGCCGCAGGTTATCACCAACTCCTACGGTGACGATGAGGATGTACGTTTGATCACCCTCATAGTAGTGCTTCGACTGACCCTATAGACTGTTCCGTATGCCTATGCCACGCGCGTCTGCAACCTCATCGGGCTGATCGGCCTGCGCGGCATTTCGGTCCTGGAGTCGTCGGGTGATTCGGGTGAGTTGTCTGCTTTCAGCCGTGCAAGCCGCCGACTAACATGGTCCAGGTGTTGGCGAGGCCTGTCTCTCGAACGACGGCACCGACACCGTTCAATTCACCCCCGAGTTCCCCGGCACATGCCCCTACATCACTGCCGTGGGTGGTACCCAGGACATCCCCGAGATCGCCTGGGTGGACAGCAGCGGCGGCTTTAGCAACTACTTCACGCGCCCGTCCTACCAAGCTGACCAGGTCGAGACCTACCTGGACAAGCACATTTCCGCGGCGGTTAAGGAGTACTACACTCCGTATGTCAACTTCACCGGGCGCGCATTCCCGGATATTGCCGCCTATGGTGGTTCACCATAGTAAGTTCCTCTCCGTGACTTCTTGATATGCCGAAATGACTCTGACGGGTAAATTAGCTATGAAACCTATGTGAATGGTGAACTGGAGCTCATCGGCGGTACTTCGGGCGCCAGTCCCGTCGTTGCTGCCATCGTCGCGCTGCTCAACGACGCTCGTCTGCGCGCGGGAAAGAAGTCCTTGGGCTTCCTAAACCCCTGGTTGTACTCTAGTGGATACAAGAGCTTGAATGACATTACCTCGGGTACGGCGGGTGGATGTGATGGCAGCTCGGCCGGGACGGGCTACATCCCGTGGGCCAGCTGGAATGCCACTGCGGGCTGGGATCCGGCCACCGGTTTGGGAACTCCTAACTTCGCCAAGCTCAAGGCGGCCGTGTTGGCTTTGTGAGGATTTGTGCATGATTATGTATCTACTGAGTGATCATGTCGCTTGGCGGCAGTATATGTTTGAGACAAGTGATGGTCAATGCGAGAAACGTTCCTCAATTTTCTATTTCAGTGGAGATGCTACTGAGTGCAACCGGAAGGACAATTGGATTGGCCATGAACCAGCAATGACAGGCAAGGTCTCAGTTGGCAGAGCTGCGTTTAATTGCAGTGTCGAGCTGTCAGGGTCGAGACTGAGACCCTTTGGATTAAGGTGAAACGGAGAGCCAGCGTGCGGGTGTTTCAGCACACGCCCGTCAATCTAACCCCGACACCCGCTCCACTTTCCATCCTCCCCACCGCAACCAGTTCCGTCAAGATAAAAAGATCCCTCAGCCCACAACTCATTCTCCAAACCAACTGTGCCGGTCACACATTCCATTCTCTTACTTTTCTTCGTCACTCCTTCGCCCTTGACTCACTATGAAGTCTTTCGTTTCCCTTCTCGCTCTTCCCGCTTCCTCGCTGGCTGGAACCGTGTTGTGGAGCGGCATTTTCAACTCTTCTGCTACCGTCGAGGACTTTGATGATTGTAATTCAACCCTCTCCCCCGGTCGCCAAGGGCTTCGAGCTGACAAGATAGGGTCATGGTCCAACCAGATCGAACCGTGGCAATGGTACATCCATGGCACCGGCAACACGTCGGATTACCTGGGTCTGTCCACGGACTTCAAGAACCCCGCCGACACGAGCGACGCCCAGGGGCTGCGCATCAGCATTGTATGCCAGTTTCCATTTGACGACGGGATTGCGCGAGCTAACATATCCATTCCGATAGGACGGCACCTCCTACTGGGAAGGTCAAACGATGGAGCGCTCCGAACTGATCCCCCAGACCAAGGCCGACCTCGGCTCCGGCCACCTCTACTACCACTTCTCCCTGTCGACCAAGACGACTAACGCGCCCGACGGCTCCCTCGAGCACCAGATCGCCTTCTTCGAGAGCCACTTCACCGAGCTGCAGTACGGTCTGGCCTCTGGGGCATCCGGGTCCTCCGACAACACACTCCGCTGGAACGCCGGCGGCAACACCCACTGGTCTGTGCAGCTGGAGGCCGGCAACTGGTACAACTTCGCGTATGATATCGATTTCGACGCGCAGACGGTGGGTCTGTGGGCGTCCAACGGCTCCGACCCCTTGACCGAGGTTGTGTCGCCCGTCAGCGCGTCCGCCTCGTCCAACTCGGCCGACTGGCACGTCGGCGAGCTGCGTCTGCCTGGCAGCGGAAGCTCGAACGATGCGGCGGAGGATTGGTTCTGGTCTGGTGTTTATGTTGAGGAGGCGCCGATCACGAAGGAGATTGGGTCGGGTAGCGCGTCGAGCTCCAGCTCCAGCTCTGCGGACACATCTAGCTCTGTCAGCTCTGCCAGCTTGTCGACCTCTTCCGCTCCCAAGTCCACCGCCGAGGCTACCTCAAGCACCACCGTCGCCGCTGCCACTACCAGCACTGCTGCCTCGACCACTACCTCTGCCACTCAGACTGTTGCCACCGCTGAACCCGTCGTTGTCTCCTCCGCAGCCACTAGCTCCGTCTCCACTGCCGCTGCGGCCGTGACTTCGGCTCGCGCTCCCTCAGTGACCACGGAAGTGGCAGTAGACGCTGCGACGACGGCCACGGCTGCCTCAGTGGCGCTGGCTACTCCCACTACCCCGACTGAGGTTCTGGATGATATTCGCGCTATCTTCGGTGCGCTTGTCTCTCGGTCCAGCGGTGTGCATGCTCGGGACTTTGCTCGTCGTGCTTAGATTCTGTTAATGCCTTTGCTCCTGCTGGGTGATGGTGAGAATGAGAAGACCGAGGGGAGTGGTTGCGGGTGTCTTGCGGGAGCCTATATCTTGGATTCTTAATTTGTTAGTCAATTCAGTGTCTTATTTTGTGCTGTGTGACGCTTCTAGTGGGTGAGAGTATGAGTATACCACGTACGAAGAAATCCACGCTGCTAGCTATTGCAACAGATCTCACCCCTTAGTGCGCTCTACTTTTGTCTATCCCCTGGGCAGCATCGTTCGGACCGGGTTCTGTAGGTTTGTCGGTAATAACTTGGATAGTAATGTTTAATTTCTGGTCAGTCAAAGCTTATTGAACTGCTATCGAATCCTCAAGCTCATTGCGTAGGACTTTTTCACTCACATTCCCCACCTTTAGATTCCACTGTCTCCAATCCATTTCCGCTCTGATACCATGCGTGTCTCGAGAGATACCTTAGCAGAAGACTGTAGGATTGACCTGATTCCGATGTCGCCACCATCTCGCTACCAAGAGTGTCAGTCATTGCTGGATACAAAGTGTGGAAGAAGCCACGGACTCACCGTTAAACTTGGGCAGCATGGTTTGCGATTTCCTTTTCTGGCTACCTTCACTTCATTCACTGTTTCGGGCAGGGGCGGTTGTTGTTGTATACAGTAGCACATGACTGCCTACAAACCGACCGGATCAGAGTTCTTCCTGCCCTTTCCTCTTTCCTTTCCTCTCACCTCCATGCTTCCCCATCTTCGCTCTCTTCCTCTATCCATTTCATTTCTCGTCCTTTTCATCCACCCTCATCTCTTGCTAGTCATTCTACGAACTGTCAACCTCTTCACACTTCATTCAATCCATCATGTCCTCGTCCAAGCCTCGCGTGTCTCGATGGCGGCGTTGGGTCGATGGCAGCAAAATCAAAACTAAAAAGGTCTGGTATAATCTCAAGCCTCACACACACATAACCCCAGAGGACCCTGCTGTTGCTCACTGGCATGTGATTCAAAACGGTTCGCAGTCATCTCCATCTTGCCCACAGACCTTGTCTCCTCGGCCGCCTGCGCATTTAGTAAAGACCTTGTCGACGACCGCAACTCTCCAGAGAGGGCTCTCTATGGAAACGCTGCCAGCTAAGCTTCGAAGCAAGATTCTCTCACTTCTGTCCTATCAGGATCTGACCGCCCTGACAATGGCATCGCCCGTGTATTTCCAACATCTGCGAGCGGAAGGCCACAATGTGCTATGGAATCTACTCACTGTCTCCATGAAAGGATTACTACCCGAGATTAAAGCCGTCTACGCTTCTGGTCAGCTGAAGTCTGCCAAAGCACGCACAAAAGAGAGGATTGCGGAGACGGTCGAAGAGTATCGGAAATGTCGCCTTCTGACGGAAGAGTCGCCACCGAGAACCACATCATTGACACTTGATGATCTGTTACACATCTTCAAATACCATCACAACGTCATCGTCCCGATGTTCCAGCGATTCGCTACTTGGGTACTCGAGAACCTGGCCAAGGAGATTGAACCGCCATCATCGTCAGTCCAAAGAATGATCAGCTCCACCGAGGAGAGTCGAATCATCCGCGCGCTCTATCGATTCCAGCTCTGCTGTCATCTGTTTGGAAATCGAAGTCTTGATAAACCATGGGGTAACAGCCGTGTTAGAACCGTGTCCATGGACATCCTGCAGCACTTGGAAAGAATGTTCTACGCCTGGGAGATCGAGGAGATTCTCTGCATCTACACCTTCGTGCAGGATCAACATCACGACATCTTTAATGCGGTCCGAGAGGATCTAGACCCGATGAACTTTGACATGGATAGTGAATGTAAGTCCAGTCTCTCTGTCCTATCCGCGGTTGCCCGACCTCTTTGCCGTCTCTGCTAATCCGAAGCTAAAACAACTACCTAGTTCTTATGACAGAAACCTACCTCGAAGGCACAGCGTCCCAGGGTCTCTCGCTGTTGCATCGAGCCCTGTGTGAAATGGAGAAGGATCAAGCCCAGCTTTTCCAAGCCATGCAGGCAAGACTTTGTTGTGACGAGACTGAATTTATCGGGACCAATGAAATTCTGTCGCCCTCTATGATTGAGGGACGTCTAATGCACGACGGGCTCACGGACCGGGACTTGAGGTCGCAAGCCCGCGAGGCCTTTCCATTCCGGGGCTATCATGTCCCAGACCCCAAGGGCGAGTTCCCGCCACTCGCTTGGACCTTACTCTGGCACGATACCTACAGCAACATCATGGGCTGCTGGATTCCGAGCGCGCTGCGAAACTGGGGATACGTCTTCTGGGATGCTGGGAAATTCGAGACTGGGGCAAAAGAATTACTGGTGCGACAGTGGAAAAGTCTCTATTGGGGTGAGGAAATGGATCCGAGGAACAACCTTTATGGTGAGGAGTAGCGGCGCCGAATTCCGGAGTTTGTACGTACGGCGCATACTACCACCTACAGAGACCAGGGCACATGGAACCATGAAGAAATTGTTTAACTATCTATGAAAGCAAACCACTATTTAATATGATGCTACTGTGTTCAACTGAACTATCCTTATCAACCAGCATTGCACTTACAACCGTACGAATCGCGATGCACACCAGAAATAAAAGAATGAACCACTTAGCGAAGAGTGACGTCGGCGAGACATGCTCTCGATTTGACATTTTCTCACCGCTTCGGTTCATTAATAATATCTTTAGCAATAAAACAACTTCCTGCAGGTGTAGAGGTTCTAGGAAGTACTCCAAGTTAGACTTGAATCCCCCGAATCGAGCGCCCGGGATGAGGTATACCGAAAGAAAACCCAAATAGTAACCATCCTCCACGTACTTGCCAATATTCTCACCATGCTGGCACTCACGCAGAGGTAGCAGTAGCCGTAGCAACGGCACTCGAAGAAGCGAAATCACCGAAACCCCCCATGCCAGCCATATTCATCACGAAATCATCATTGACCTCGCCCCCATCCTCGGTCCAGAACCCCTCCGGAGAAAGCGAGTCATCGCGTGTGCCATCCACCCCAATCGAGATCCACGCGAAGATACCATCCGAAACACTATCCCCCAGCAGAACATACTCCATGAGCGGATCGGTGTCATCCACCTCCGTTTTCAGAATGATATCGTCCGCGTTCAGAGTCAGATCCTGCGTGTTGGAGCTGTAGGGCGTCGTCTTCTCGACCTCGGTGATGAGGGCCTGGTCGAAGTAGATCTGGCCCACGTGGGAGGAGCGGCCGTCGTACATGCCGGCGATGGTGCCGTTGGGCAGGATCTTGGTTTCGTTGGCCGGGTGCGTTGCCACTATTCCCCCATTGAGTCAGAACTATGCATGATTGAGATGAAAAGAAAGAATTAGGTTGAAAAGGCCGGGTGGGCGAGGCACGTACCGTGGATATGCACCGCGCGGCCGGTGTAATGTCCCGGGAAGATGGACTCGAAGCGCACGACACCGTCGGGGCCGCTGGGCTGCACGCCGCGCAAGAAGGTCGTGTCGATGTTGCTCGAGTCGTTCTGGTTGCCGTTGCCGCTTGCCACGACTCCGGAGTAAACACCCTGTTGTAGTATAAGAGAAAGGGTTAGTGGTTGTAGCTCATTTTCAAAGAAAGAGGGTAAGAGCTTACGGTCGCGTTGCAGTGCCAGATGTCGGTGTAGATGTTCCGCAGCGGCTCGCAGGTGTTGGTGTCGATGAGCTGGATGTCCAGGAACAAGGGCACGCCCTCCTGGTCCTCGGCCACGTTGTGGCGGATGAGTTCTCCAGCGATATCTAGGGGTAGATACCAGTGTTAGATTGTAGAAGGTGGTTGAACAGCATGATGTGGCAGACGTACAGTACGGCCCCTGGGTGACCTCCGGCTGCACGATGCAGGTGCCTCCCGACGCGAAGAGGATGCGGGGATCGGTTGACGGGTCAACATGAGTCAGGTTCGAATGATGATCTGTACCCAGAACGGAGTCCAGATCGCGGGCTTTGAGGTATTGGTTGTCTGCGCTGTTAGTTGAGGTTGACAGTAAGGGTATTGCACATTCGAGGAAACATACTGGACAAGCCCCTCTCCCGACGCAAGTGCTCGAGGGCGTCCCCGCGACGAGCAACATTGGCATCCTCAACCTCGCGAGCTCTCAGGCTGGATGCGCAGTGAGACAAGCTGCGCGAATGCACGGGGGCCCGTTTGAGGAAGGCGGCGCGTTCAGCGGCCTCCTCCTGGACACTGTGGCCTGGATGACAGGAACCCAGAGAGGCCAGCAGTACCACGCTAGTGGTCAGGTACGAGGTCAGATGAACCATGTTGAAGAATGAGGGGGAAGCTGCTGATGAAGCAAGTCGCTGCGGCACCGGAGAGGAGGAAAGTTTGAGCTGTTGATGGACGAGGAACTGGAGCAGGAAGACAAGGGGCTTTTATACCTTGGCCACAGAATTACCCTCTCACATACCCTCTCGATGTAGTGACCAGAGCATGTTCCGTCTTTGCAATTTCATCAACATCCTGGCATCAACGCCGACTCATCCCCACCCGCTGCATTGTTCTTCTCCCATGGACAAGGTGTTTCCTTCCGCTTAGTAAAATAGATAGTCAACTAGTGCTTCAAAATTTTGGAAACTAGATATTGAGTACACGCGTACCTGATGCTTTCATGTGTTAGAGAAATCGAAGTGGAGAGCTGCTGGGCCGAGCTGCTGGGTATAAGATAGCGCGGGCATACGCATCAACGGTATGCCTCATACAAAACGAGCTCGCCAAAAATAAGCCAAGCGGAAGCCAAGAAGGCCGCCGGGAACGATCTGCATGCGTGACGAAGTCTCTTGTGTCAGAAGATCTCGGTTGGCTGAGAGGAGACGGAGAATTATCTAGAATACAGTTTCAAGGTATAGTTGATGAGTCTGTGTGTAGAGATGGCTGAGTCAGCGGGATCTACAATTTCCATCTCCAAGCCTCGGAACCAATCAGAGAGCGGAGATTTCACATGGCGGGGAGACCCTCAATTGCTAAAATTGCATTCAGGGACCCGAGCAGAAACTCAGGGACAGATCCACTTTTCGCCTCAGGCAGCGCTGAGAGCAAAAAAATTCACTAGTACTGAGTATGAGTAGAAGGCAAAGAGCTTACGTCACTTGCCCCGGAATAATTCCGGGTCCGGGAGTCCCTGAATTTTGAGCAGGCAACAGCCACTTCGAGCGCGTGCTGCGTGCCTTCCATCGAGCCATATAGGCAAAGTAGAGAGGCAGTCAGTACAGTGGCACTTGTTCATCCATGTCCGACTCAGCAATTGCTCCTCGGGCAGGCCGGGCGCGCACTGCTTGTGATTTGTGCAGGTCTCGGAGGGTAAGCCTTCCGATCTCCGGCCTTTCGATGTATGACTTAACACTGAACGCCAGATCCGCTGTGACCAAGTCAAACCTGCATGTGAGACATGCCATTTTGCCGGTGTGCCTTGCGTCTTTACACCGCCACCGGATGTGCCTCGCAAGACAGTTCGAGAGTAAGTTCTGCCCCGACCTGTGCTGCACTGTCCTTGTCAAAGGTTGAGTTGACAGTTGTTGTGAGCACGCAACAGACAACTAGCCGAGTGCAAAGTCCAAGTGCAGGAGTTGGAAGAAGCACTGCGAGTGGAGCGAGCCAAAAGCCAGACCAAGAAGAATGCCCCCAGCCCATTTGTTCTTCAAGGGGGATTGGCGGATTTGCACGGCTTCGACGCGGCTCTAACCGCTTTCCTGCGGACTCTCGACTTCTGTGGCTTCGGCCCTAAGTCGACCCCATTTCTCTTCCCCACCGACCAGCATCGCATGCCCTCTCTCGTCGACCTGGATCGCTTCGCTCAGGATGTGGCCTCTTCATTTAAGTCGGAGTTTCCCCACCATGCCTCCAGGACAATTCATCCACAGCAACCCCCACCCGCGTTGATCTGCACCGTCATCGACTACTTCCTAACCAACAGCCTCTACTCGGTCTTTCCCGTGATCGACCCGGTTACCTTGGTATCACTCCGGAACTCGGATCTCTTTTCATCCTCACCAGATCTAGCTCATCTTCCTAAAAGTGTCCAAGCCTGTTTGGTGGCCTTGACAGCCCTGGTCACTCGCTTGCGGAATGATGAGCCCGCTTTCGGTGAAGTCGACTCTGAAGCCTTCCTGCAATCCGTGCTCGCACAGTTGCCGGAGCTGGTCATGTCAGGGGATAATGACCTCTGGACTCTACAAGCCCTGATCCTGGTGGTGAGCAGCTGGCCTCCTCATATCTCTTCCCGATGCATTCTCTGACGTCACGTCCCCAGGTACTGTACCTGGCCCCCCTCGGTGCACCTCAGTCCGCCGAATTGATTCTGGCCATGGCAATCCGGCTCCTCACCAATCTCGGTGGCAATTTCGCTCCTATGCCCTCTGGTTCTCGCGTTGATGACCATCACGGCCGGCATCTTCGGGCTCTCTTCTGGCTCTGCTATTCTGTGGACAGGGAAATGTCGATCCGAAATTCACATTCACCCTTACTTCATGATACCGACTGTGACCTCGACCTGCCAGAGAAATACGTCATAGCTTCGTCCGAGAACCAGTTCCGCCTGGGCCCCTTGTCGAAGGACGAGTTACTCTATCCGTCCGACCTTCGCATGTGCGTCATCAAGTCCAAAATCTACCGTCTGCTGTATTCGGACTACGGCCTGGCGCAGCCCGCTTCCATTCGCGTGCAGTATGTCCGCGAATTGGACGAGGAGCTCAGTAATTTGAGAGCGCAATTTCCCGCCGACTGCCGCCCGGAGAACCTGTCCCCGGGGGGTATCCCGGACTCTTTGGTTCTCGACCTCAGTCTGCGGGGAATCAACATGCATCTGGAATACTACTATTGTCTCGCCAAGATCCATGGCGCGTGTCGCATCGCTGGCGGAGGATTCCCCTCGCTGGACGACCTGCCGCCCCTGTCTTCAAGTCGGGAGCTGTGTTATCAGGCTGCGCGGTCGATCTTGCTCTACATTCATCGGTTACGCCATCTCGTTATCCCCCAAACCTTCTGGTATGCATCTGCTCTCGTTTCTCTAACTGTTATATTGACTTGTGTTCTGTGTCTAGGATCTATGCGCAGTTCATCCTCTCTGCTGTTGTCTCTCTGGGTTGGAAGCTCGTCGCCGAACCCAACCACCCGTCCGCCGCCAGCGACCTCCATCTCATCCAGCACACGAGGGGCCTGTTCACTAAGCTGAAGGAAACGACAGATCCCAGCAAGTTTCCGCCTTTTTACATCATGGACAACTTCATCCAACGGTTAATCGCCGCTGTAGCTCATTGAGGCTCGCCACCGACACCACAGGCATTCAAACATCCACGAACGATGCCCCATACCACCTTGGCTGCATCCTGGATGCGTATACATCCCGCCTTCATGGCTCCGCAGACCCAAGCCCCAGCCGAGAGCTAAGCATGCATACTTGAAGTATGGATATCACAGCGTGAAGACGATCCGAGTCAGTATTTTGATTGTGCTACATCTACTACGCCAAGCAATGCACCTTTGGTCCGACCACCTATGAGCCGAGCACTATCTTATCGGCTTAGGGCTCTGCTCCGCGTTGCTCCGACAAACGCTGCTAGCTGCGCGTATGGAAGATGATCCATCCGGCCCAACTTTGACTTCACTGTGCGAATGAGGGGCCAAAAGACCCTGTTCACGCCCATTCGTTCGACTTGAGGCGAGTCTTATCCGCATAAAATTCTCGTTCGCTTTGAAATGAGGTCCATGCGCATCTGGGAATAAGAGTGTGACTAATTTGGCCGAATGTAGGGGGGGGCGGGGGGGGCGGGGAGGGCGTCAGTTTAAGCTATGTCATCATACTGGAGCAAAATGATCGCACACCCGGGTCTAGATTATCAACTCGTGTATCCAGCCTGGACGGGACTGGTTGGACGGTCCACCGTCAGCACTAAGCTTCCGACCGGCATAAACTCACCATTCCGTTTCGCCATTGCGTGTGCCCTCCAATCAGCTCATCAGGTTGGCCAATTCATACCGGTAATGGAACCAAGCTCGAGGGGAAGACCCGCCCTTGATTGATCCTAGGGCTCAGCGCAATGCAATCCCGATAATGGTCCGTGGATCCGGCAGAATTTCGGCACTTGGGAGCGTAACCAAGGCGGTCTGCAGGCATTTGGCGTTCACACATACATAGATCCTAGAAAGTCAATAGATTTATTTGATCATCATTTTTGCGTTCTATCTCAAGCATGGTGTTGTTGTGCAATCTGTCTGGCGTTAAAACTTAGTCTGGTGTGGTCGATCTGCTGTTCTGCACCCCTTGTGCGGGGAATATATCGTAGTTGCTTGTGTTAGAACATCGACCATTCCACGTTCACACCCCCATATGGATACTCGTAAATACGTCACTCTGTATAGTGAAGCTGCTTAGAGATCAGAGCAGTGACAGGAATCTAACCTCCGCCTTCCCATGCCGAATTACTGCTGATACCAAGTATGGTGAGTTGATGCCTGAGGCAGCAACCCGGCACTTGAGAATCTCTCAGGGAAGCAGGCTATGGATCGGATCATGAATCAGGATGCTTTCCCACGGACTGAGAGTTTACGCAGTGGCAATGAGACGGGCGAGGAGACGACATGCAGGACGCAGGTCGGGGTTAGCCATTAGCCACCGGAGCAGACCATCCATGCACACGATGGCGCAATCCCTTGGGTCACTAGTAACCATGCAGAACATCGGTTTCCCACCATATCGCGCTCACCATCATTGCAAAAGCAAGCAGACCATCAGGAATGGACTACGGCTGTTTGTCCACGGAAAATAGAGTGCTGTTCCTCTTGGGTAATATTCTTAATTCGGGAGGTGGTACGTGCCGAACGTGCGCCATGGAAATGTGCGACAGGGGACGAGGTATGAAGCGTGGGGCTAAGAGCAGCACAGATCAAGAGATAAGCTGATGGCGTCATGACCACAATTAATGAGACCATGCCTTGCCGGTTTGGGTACATATACGCTGCTGCTGTCATATCTCAACATGCGATCTCAACGGCAAGCAGACATCCGCAACCATGGGGTACGAGAAAGAAGATTCCAGCCGGTCTGAGAGCCCCCATGAGGAGTCCGGAGTGAGCCATGGCAGCGAGCCGCTCGAGGTCCGGCCTCTCCGCTCCTGGAAAGGGTACCTCTGGGACACCTGGGAGCTTCCCCGGGACCAACGGTGGCTGTTGTTCAAGGTCGATGCCTTTGTCCTTACGTTCGCGTCGGTACGCGCTCGTCTCGTCTTTTGGGCTGCGATGCGGCTGGCTAATTGGCTTGGTAGATCGGCTACTTTTTGAAGAATCTGGATTTGAACAACATCAATAATGCCTATCTCAGTGGCATGGAGGAGGATATGAAGATGTACGGCAACCAGCTGGTGACCAGCACCTCGATCTATACCGTGGGATACGTCATCGGACAGATCCCTTCTAATTTGCTGCTGACTCGTGTCTCGCCCCGTTGGGTCATCCCTACTGTATGCCGTTCTCGCGGTGCTGCTAAACCACGATGGCTGACTTCAGGCATTAGCTGGAGGTGGGCTGGGGAATTGCCACGATATGCACATCGACGGTCAAATCCTACCACGCGCTGTATGGTATTCGATTCCTGGTCGGACTGTTCGAGTAAGCATGGCCCCTTGCATACACCTCCAATATGGTGCTGACTCGTGCTGAAGATCGGGCTTCTACCCCGGCATCCACTACCTCCTTGGATCTTGGTACACCCCGCAGGAGATCGGCAAACGCGCGATGATCTTCTGGCTGGCGGGTTCCATGGGGACATTGTTCAGTGGTTTTCTCCAGGCCGCCGCTTACACCAACCTCAACGGCGTGAACGGACTGGCCGGCTGGCGATGGCTGTTCATCATCGACGGAATCATCACCCTGCCGCTCGCGCTGGCGGGATACATCTTCTTCCCGAATCTGCCGCAAGACGGCCGGAAGACGTGGTGGATCACGCAAGAGGAGCACTTCCTCTCCGTCAAGCGCATGGATGCCGTCCACCGCGCGGGCAAGTCGCCCTGGACCAAGGCCAAGGTCAAGCGGATGTTCCTCAGCTGGCACATCTACCTTCTGCGTACGCCGTCACCCTGTCTAATCGAATTGAATGCTTGCTGACTGCTTCAGCTCTGCTCTACATCGTGTGGAACAACGGATACCCTCAGGCGGGAATGGGCTACTGGCTGAAAAGCTTCAACGCGGACCCCGCGCCTGTCCCAGGAACAAGCTACACTGTTCCGCAAATCAACGACTGTGAGTTGATTCGAGTGTTTGGACAAATGCCAGTGTGGACTAACCTAGTGTTTTAGATCCGCTGCTCACGACCGGTTTGTTCATCATCGTGTCGCTGACTTGGGGCTGGCTGTCCGACGGACCGCTCCGAGGGGCTCGCTGGCCGTTCATCTACGCTGGCGCGGTGATTACGGTGAGCATTGGACCCTTTGCGGTTATATGGACCTCAGTGCGGCTAATAAGTTTTCTTTTGTGACGCAGATCGTCTTCTGCGCGCTTCTGCGACAGATGCCGCTCTATACGAATATCACAGGCCGGATGGCCGTGTACTGGCTCAGTAACATCGGGGTAGGTGTTTTAAGTCCAGTCTTAAGAATACCGTTCTAACACTATCACCACAGCTGGGCGCTGGTCCTCTGATTCTCAGCTGGGCCAACGAGATCTGCACAGCCGATACCGAAGAGAGAGCGTTGGTGATTGTGCTCGCGAACGACCTCGCGTATGTGGTGCAGGCTGTCGTAAGTCCTATGGATCAGAGCGTGGAATATTCAGATGCTGATGGTTGATGCCCCAGGCACCGAACTTTGTGTGGAAGACCACCGACTTCCCCGCCGCGAAGAAAGGGTATCTGTGGTGCATTATTCTGCAGGTCTTGAGCAGTGAGTGAACCCGGCAGCATGTGGATGTATTAGATTCACGGGCTAACCTGATAACTCTGCGTACAGTTGGGGTCACGGGCGTCATTCAATGGTTGGTAGCGCGAGATCGCAAGGCTGCTGCCGCAAGAGCCGAGGTGGGAGAGTACCCCGGATCTGGGGTCAGCGACGCTTCTTTACGGGATGACAACAGTGGTGGTGTCGGTGGAATCGGAGAGACCAAAATCATCCCCAGCATGATCACTCCGGTGTCGGAGTAGCGTGACTCGGGGCCCGTTGGCGGTAATCCGAGCCGAGCGAGCATCGGAGTGGAATCGCAGCCGGCACGGCACATGCAAACCGAGCAAACCCCCCCCTCGTCCTATGTATTATTTTTAGTGGGAGGTCAGCCTCCACTATGCCTGTCTAGGAAATTTCCCTCTGGCCAGGCACAGTCTGCCACTGCGAAGTGGGTTGTGGCACCACGTTTCTCCACTTCCAAATCAATAGTCGATCGTATTCCCTCGGCTTAGAGTCTCGGGGTCTCCGCTCACCAATCAGGGTCCGCCTTGGCATCGCTTATATCTACTGCCTCGAGATCTCTAGGGTCCAGACAACAAGAAAGACTTCGCCCCTATATAAGACTGTCGAGTTTCTGTGCTTCTTGATGTTCTAGCCTGTGTGCCTTTTCTCTGCTGGCCCAATTCCCTGTTTCATGCCTGCCGTCATCTCCAACTGCTCTGTCACTCTTTTCTGAACAGGCCATGGCAAGGTCACTCTTTACAGGCGCCGTCGTCGCGGGCATTTTGGCGCACCCGGTAGCCGCCAGCGTAACCTGCAGCACCGAGATTGTCAATGCCTTTTCCAACCCGTCCTTCGAGACTGGCGATGCCACGGATTGGACCGCCTGGACCGCCCCGGCAACGCCCGCGACCATGGGCAATGTCCTCTCTGGGGAGGCGTCGGACGGCAACTACTACCTGTAAGTCATCTGCTCATGTGGGCCTGGAGCTGGGAACGGGCAGGGTTGACCTTGAATGAAAAGGTCCGTGGGTGCAGCAAACTCGGTATGGAAATACATCCAGCAACCCGTCACCGGGCTGCAGGTGGGCAAGACCTACACCCTGTCGGTGGACTACAAAGTCACGGCTGCAATCGCCAGTATTCCCGCCATTTACAACACGTGTTATATGGGCTGGATGGTGGATAGATGGTCCAGCCTGCTGGATCGAATCACCGTCCCTGCGATCCTCGGTGGTCTAGACCCATCGTGGGAGACCTATACCTACTCCTTCATCCCCACCAGCTCTTCGCACACCATGATGTTCCTCTTTGCCTGCAGCGGCTATACTACGTTCAACTTTGATCTGGACAATTTTGTCCTGCCGCTGTCGACTCAGCAGGTGTGCACCACCTCTGCGGAGGTGGTTACCCCAACCACGAGTGCGGTGGCCATCTCGCCATCCAGCGTTCCTCCGAGTAGTGCCGTGAGCGCCACACCAACGCCATCATCCGTGTCGCCTGCTTCGTCTGTGGCAGTGATCTCCAGTACTGCTATCCCGACTTCGTCTCCAGTAGTACCAAGCAGTCCGGCATATACACCCACGACCTTGTCATCTTCTGCTCTAGTGACTCCCCAAGCGTCCGTGGCATCAAGCTCAAGTGTGGTTGCATCAACGCCTGCTGTCTCGTCTCAGTCAATCATCTCTGCCAGTCCAAGTGTCTCCATTCCTATTATACGACCATCCCAATCCACGGCCGACTCCCTGATCCCGCCACGCAGCTCGCCCATACAATCATTGTCTTCCTTCGTCCCATCATCCAGCCCAGCTGCCTCCTTTGCCTCCTCCCACCCGGTGGTGACACGTTCGGCCGGCCAGTCCTCAGCACCCGGACTCACCTCATCTCCAGTGCGGACATTCGCTACTTCGATTTCCCAACCGGGCAGAATCCCGTCCAGCGCACCCAATGTGGGGCCCTTTCAATCCAGCATCCCTGCAGTCACTCCTTCGATCTCCAGCCACGAGAGCAGAACCACCATCGGATCTGCATCCGCAGACACCGGCGCATTCATCACCTCCACGCTTCTCACCACCCGCACCGCAACCGTGACAGCCTGTCCGTCAAGCGTGGCCAACTGCCCAGCCCGCGAGCGCACCACCTCTCTCACGACCGAGACCGTGGTCATCGGAACCACCATCTGCCCCGCTACGATCCCCGCCGGCCAGCCTACAGCCTCTGCCGGAGCAGGCCCCGAAGGCGAGCTCCTGACCACCTCGACCGTCTTCACCACCCGCACCTCAACCGTCACCGCCTGTCCGTCCACCGTCCCGAACTGCCCGGCCTCCGCGCACAGCACGTACGTGATCACCGAGACTCTGGTCGATTATACGACGGTGTGCCCGATCACCGCCACCCAAACCGCGGCACCCACCGCTACGGGTGCCGGGGTTGGAGGTACCGGAACGGCCGTCGTGCCTGCACCGACCGTGTCGGCGGGTGACTCGGCTGCTACCGCTGCAGCCCATACGGTCTCGTCGGCGGTGGCGCCGGCAGTGACGCAGCCCGCGTCGGAGATTGACGAGGTGGTCTCGACTATCTACGTGACTGCGACTGTTACTGTGGATTGCTTGAATTGAGCGGGTGGTGGAGGGTCTGTCTTCTTCTTGTAACAAGTACATTTATCGTTAGTATTAGGTATGCCGAATATGAGGGTGTCTATGAATCTTGAATCGGTGATTGCTGTCATGTATGACCGTGTTCTGTCCGTGTCTTTGGCTTTGCACGGGAATATTTGTGCTAGCTCGTAGCGTCGGATGTGAACACGGCAAGACTCCTTTTATCTCAAGGTCCAATACAGACAAAACCATTCTTGAAGCGGATATCCCATTGGGGACTCCGCACTGAATTGTATGGCGCATGTCATACTGTCCGGTTAACTACGGCACTGACCTCGGAGCGGAATATGATTACCCAAAAGGGAAACCCGCCGCACGAACCCAAGACGGTGATTCTCCCAACTTCCACCTTGCAACTGAAACATCTTGAGAGATAAGCGGGGATCTGCGGATTTCTTTCTCCTTCTCAAGAACCTGCTGGAGAATTCTGGTGGCGTCGAGGTGGCATTGCAGCCAGTGTAGACTGAGTCGATTGGCTTCGAGATTGAGGTTGCGACGCAGCTGGTCCAGGACCTCATACACCGGCGGCGGCGGACCCTGATCGGTCTTCTTTGTGTTGGTGGACCTGTTGGAGTCGGCGAGCACGCGCTGGATATCCTGGGACGTCCAGTGCAGCTGGAGATTTTGCAGGCTGCTCACCATCTGGTTCATCAGCGGAATGAGACCGTCGTCGACCCAGCGCGCCCTGCCCTTCGGACTGAGGCTGAATTGCAGGGAGGGTCTGTACCGCGCACGCTCTGTGGGAAGCTTCCCTCCAAGAAAAACAGGATTGAGAGTGTCGATCAGCTGCTGCAGGGCGGGCCAGGTCCAACCGTCTGGCAGCAGGCCCTCGCAGGCGACGGCGTTGTAGAGATGAAACATCCCCAAGAGGACACCCCGGGATCTGGTCAAAATAAGGAGGTGTCGATACAGGGAGCCCTTCCAGAGCCACAGCAGTTTCCCGGCGAGCAGGGGCTGACTCGAGAAGAGTCCGAAAGGCTGCTCCGTTGGGATGCCGAGCGACTCGCGTCGAGCGTTGACAAGGTCCTTCCCGAGTGTCTTCTTGGTAATCCTGATGAAATCTTCCAGCTGTTCCAAGCCAGGAGCGCCTGTTTTGGAGAGTTGCTTTGATAAGAGCGGTGGTCGACTGAGTCCACTCCTGAAGCTGCAGACGGGGCTGGGCGACCTCCGCACCCATCGCGAGACGAATGTCAATGTAAACAATGCCGCCAAATGCGAGCTCGTAGTTAATCGCGCGTTGCGACAATCCGTGGCCCAGCATCATGGTGAACCAGTCCATCGTAGCACAGAGACGCGGGTGATGCAGGCCCCACAAGCCGCATTCGCGAACCACCTCCTTTAGCAGTACAAAGGCGACAACACTTCGCTCGTTGTCCGTCATCTCATCGAGGGCTCGGCTGAGATCGAGGACCGGCGCCGTCCCCTCGGACAGCACGCCATCACCATCCTCCTTCCAGCCTCCGACGACGAAATGTAGATTCTTCGCCACCATGTGCAAGTTCCTCACCACTTCGTGCCAGTGCGGTCGATCCTGCGGCGCAGTGCGGTACATTTCTTGAAATATATTGGTCATGATCTTTTCGAAGCCCTGGAGGACCTCGCTGAAAGGTTTCAGGCCCTGCTGCAATAATTCGGCAGCGACGTGGAGCGCAATATCGGTGGTCACGGCCGCGGCCTCGAGGGTGCATTTTCCCTGGCGGTAATCCACCCATGTTTTCTGGGTGGAATGACGGATCGACCAGAGGCCTTGAAGGAGGAGGAGGACTCCAAACACTCGATCGGTAGAATCTTCGACGGTGAGATTCTCAGTAGGACAGGTGGAGCGCGTGGGAGCGTCTGGAGCATCCAGGAACTCCTTCGAGGGTTCTTCAATCTTAAGTCCATCGAACCGATTCGCCATCGCAGCCGTGTCAGGCTCATTGTCTCCGTCAAGAGGTGTCTCCTCGTCGTCTAGTATAAGAGGACGCAAGGTCTGGTAAAGTTGTTCAAGCTGCTGGATGAAGTGCTGGTGAGACTTGCACGACGCCGAGCCCTCATCTTGATAGAATTTGGACTGGGCCCGACGGCTGTCCATGGTGTATCGAAGGTCGCTGATGATCGGTCTGGGGACGTGGTCTGCATACTTGAAAGCGACGATGTTGTTCGCCAGCTCCACGAACTGACTCGCTGTGAGGATGTACTCGCCCTGCTGGGGAGGCTTGAAGTCCAGGTCGGTTACCGCCAGCCATATCGCCACGTTTCGAGTCGATCGTTTGTATCGGCCGTAGCGAGTTTCGTAGGTCTCTGACGATGACATGGTGCTAGACGTTGGTGGTTGGATGAGAGGAAGTGATGTTGGTGTTGTGAGCGTTGTGGGCGTTGTGGGTGTTGTGGATGGGGATGAAAGAAAAGTTCAGTTGAGGTTGACATAAGTGGAGGATGATTCTTATATAGCCTTTCCACTATATGGAACTATCTGGAAACCTGGTTCTTGTGAATGTTGACCTAAAACGTTGCGTACTATTCACCTTGAATTTGGGCTTAAGGTTCCGGAAAGAAGGATTTTGATCTTTTCTTTGTTCTAGTGAATATGACCATATCTTAGCCCCGTCTCGGAGAGGGGTTTATCATATCAGAACGGGTTGCACTATCGCCGAATCTACGACTCAACAAGATAATAAATTGTAGAGTACAAACCAATTTTATCTGATATTACATTCAAGCCAAGCGGTGTATCTTAAGTTAAGAGCACATGAGTTGCCTGAGAGCCCTGTCGTCACAGAATAGCTATCCCCAGTTTATCTTTGTCCCTGGACAGCCCAAAAGGTCTAAATCATATTTTATAAAGCTCTTGATATCGATTGGAACACCATCAGGATAAGTAAAAACTACGTGCTCGACTCGACGAATATATCTGTTATCTATAGAGATCTCTTGCTGCCTTGAGTTCGCATCTTCTTGCTGTGATATATAGCATCGCTTTGACAGGTGAGTCGCAGTGTGAGCATGCGGTGGGCGATCTAGTTTTGATTCTGTGCTGTTGTTAGTCCTGTTCAGACATGCTTAGGTCTTCTTGTTAGTTAACGTCTGGAGAAGGAGCATAGTAGCAACAACGGTTCTATGATGAAAGTTTAAGAGATGCTACTATATTTGTATGATGCATTAAGTTTAAAGACCATCTTAGTATCAGACTCGTAACAACTATAGATATGACTAAGTTTGTCGAGATCTATGTTAATATACCCGGAGACGATGTCAAGAAGTTTTTGTCTTCTGATAATTCTCACTACCAATCCCTATTATCCACCGAGAGACTAAGTTGTTGATATTCCATCTGTCGCATCTCGAAAAGCTTCGACCTCTGGGCTTTAACTATTCTACCCTCCCGGCCTCTCCTTGCCGGTGGCTTCGTCCCTCTTCTTCCACGCCGAGGGCTCGTCCAGACACGCCCAGTCACCCGTGAACAAACGACACGAAGAGAACATGCCGTACCCGAGCCATTCAAGAGGTACATGCCCCATCGACACACTGAAGCCCTCCGTCGGCCGGGACGGGACAATTTTTGATCCTTGTCCACAAGGCGTACGATTCGCCGCCCTCGCCATCCACCTCGGAGACGAGGTATTCCTCGCATTCCATCTATACAGAAGACAACGAATATTAGCTTTACACCATCTCAACTTTCTCTGCTGAGAAAGGCTGCGCCGACTTCAATGGAATCTCGTACCAGATACCCTTCATCACATTCGCACACCTTGGCTCCCCAGTCAGAGCAGTAAGTGTCGGATTTGTAGCAGGCGGCCCGAGCCTGGATTGCAAGGAGGCCGAAGGCACAGAGGGCGAAGATGGGCTTCATGTTCTATGGGAGAGTTATGGGAGAGAGAGGTGGCGGTGACTGAGGAGCAGAGATTCGATTTGTTGTGTTGGGTTAAGGAATCAAATTGATGGAATTGTACGGAGATGACGAGATCCAGTTCCAATGCTATCCATTCCTCCCTTGCCTCGCCTGTTGATTTTATATCTTTCCCAACCGGTTATCCTTTCTCCCGGAGATGATTGTTCACAACGGCACTCGGCTGTCCTACGGCTTTTCAGCTCCGTGTTAATGGTGAGCGGGACTATGGAGTTGAATCCGTGAATGAAAGTGTTCTTTGCCAGTGATCTGATCTTGTGAGGTGGTGAGCGATCCACACCATCAGGATCATGCTTGTGCGCTTTGGGGTTAGTTGGGGTTGTTGGAGCGGCGTGGGGGCCGAAGCTTGATCAATTCAAGCCTTAGTGAGCAGGGAAGAATACCAGGTTTGGTTAGCGGGGCATCCTTCCACAGGCTCCAGCTCACGTGGCATAGAATAATAGCTGGGACTAGTCCGTATGAAGGAGGAGGTTCATTTCGCCCGTGCTCGCAGAGCTTGCCCAAATCGGTTGGATTAACCTCATTCAACTAGCTACAGGGCTAACCTGCTATTGCTCCATTCAATATCATCTGTCCTGATCGTGGGCCTTTAATCATGCAGTGTTTACTCTTCTAGAGGTCACTTCGACTCCATGCAGGACCCGTATCTTCTGTATGAAATTGATTTTCCACCAGTAATATCCATCTAACAGGGAACTCCTTCCAGCATCACGGCAAAGAATCGTAGTAATCAACCTAAGTATCGGCGCAGAGGTTTGATCTTCCTTAGATGTCTTACTCTTCTAGACTCGTGATTCTGAACAAAATAATTTGAAATCTCAGAGATAAATACTGGAATTGGGTATCTGACCGCGCAAGACACCTCTTATTATGCGTTTCGATCGGACCCTTCATTGCATTGTGCGGAACTTGCAGGGAATGAGATCGTCTCTGAGCAAGTCCGGACCCTCCGTAGCGACCGGAAAAGCCAAGAGGTCATCCCGAGCCCCAGCCCAGCGGGTCCAAATGAGATTGTGGCTCAGGAATGCTTAGCTAGTCTTACACTCTGGGCACCGTCTCAATGCTTGATTATTGTATACTGTCAAAATGGATACTGCAAACTGTCGGGATCGCATGGCCGGCTCGAGTACCCGGCGATATCTGCATTTCTCGCGGGTTTTGAAAGCACTTGAGTTTTTCAATTTGCCTCACCATTCCATACCGCGACTATTCGGATTTCTCTGATCCCAAGCTTGAGGAAACACCATGCAGGTTGAGCCATGCTAAACTGACCCACCTTATCCCTTCAGACTACAAGTCACCTTATTCAATCCCCACCTGTTGTATGTTGCCATAAAAGTCGGACCGGAACGGCTCATCCTCCGGACTCATATAATGACACCGATGCCTGGCAGAGATGATCCTGTCAGCAGCGTTTCCTCCACAAAACCGTACCGCAAGTCTCTTAAACATAGAGAGAAGGAAACGCTAAGAGCAACCTACCAACACATGGCCCGAAAAATCATCCCCAGACACGCATCGCGAATCTCCTCCGAACCAACCTGGTCATACCCCACCACCCCCTCACACGAGATCACAACATCGAACTGGTCCCCCAGGCCGGTGGTTGGGGACATGTGGTATCCATTGGCGCACATCTCGGCGCGTCGTCTCCCGCGCCTGCGAACATGGGCTTCGATAGTGGGGAGGTGGTCGAAGAGGGCGTGCATGTTTCGGCGCCAGGTGGCGACGGGGTTCTTGCTATTCGTGTGGGGCCGCTGCTTTGGTTTGTGCTGCGGATGCGGCTGTCGTTGCCTTGTCGGTCTGGCTTCTGTCGTGCCTTGCTCGACTTCATCATGGTCGTCCTGCGCTGCCGCCTCCTCGCCACCGCCTTCGAAGGCGACGATGAACTCGAGGAATGAGGAGACCAGATCCCAGTGGAAGAAGCTGTAGGGTCTGATATAATCATCTTCCCGGGAGACAAGCTGGCTGAGTTCCTGCTGGATCCAGGATAACCAGTGGTGAACCCTCTCGTTGAAGAAGCTGGCTTCGGGGGAGGTTTCTAAGTCTGTGGCCCAGGCTGGATATGCGCCTTGCGACACGGTCCAGTAGTCTGATACGTGGGCTGGAGTGGTCGTCGTAATAGAAGGGGAAGAAGAGGTGGAAAAAGGACGGGCGGGGTGTTGTTGTGGTCGAGGGAACTGCTCTAGCTCGTTGATAGCCTCTAAGATTCCGTCCACAACACTCGAAGGACTCCCTTCTTGTTGCTGCTGCTGCTGGGATTGTATACCCTCTACACCGCGCTTGAAGATCATCGCAATTTTGGGTCTGGTGAACGGACCAAGGAGGTACCGGTGCGGTCTCGGCACGCGCACTGAGTAGAGATCTCTTTCGCTGAGAATCGCGGAACACAAGGCTGGGAGAATGTTGACTAGACTTGCTCGTGGTGGGAGTGGAAGCCACATGGTGCTGGAGAGGGTCTCCCAGGCCTGGTCACCGTCCAGAACGACGGATTGGGAGTGGGCTGGGAAGAGAACGGGGTCTAGGAGAATCCGTCCGTAGAACATTGCCACCGCCCCGGGATGAATGATGAAGGTCTCCCTGCGGGAGAGGTGGAGCCGGGGCGGGGTGAAGTCTTGTTGCTCGTAGCGCAGCAGCGGAGTGGACCTTTCTGCGAGGATGAGGGTGTTTCCTGATGCCTGGAGGCTGCCTCTGGGAGACAAGCTCGTGCTCGATTTACTCTCCTCTTTAGATGCTGATCTCTGTAGGCTACTCATAAATGGCCCACCTGACCAGTTCAAGCCCAAAAGGCGAGTGAATATGGTTAGGTCACGGAGGGACACCGAGCCTGTCAGTGTGCCAGGGTTTCCTGGGAGGTCGTCCCACGTGCAGGGCTCGAATTTGATGCAGATACCGTAGGTCGATGAGGGAGAATGTGTCGTTGTTGATGGTGATGGTGGTTCGTAAGAGGCATGCTGCATACGCCTTGCAGCATGTCTGTTGTATTCCTGCAAGTGCTTCAGAAAAAGAGTCCAGGAAGCCTGCGTGCAGGCATCAGTTAACTCCCCTGGTAGCTCGCTTATGCTCATGGACCTTCCAAGATACTTCGCTCGCCACTTTTGGTCTCTTCGGGAGGGAGAAAACAGATTGTGCCATGTTGCCGATGGACCTTCAGTATCCGGAATGGGGTGAGAAGGATTAAGATTCCCAAGATAGATATATGGTCTTACGAAGGTGACCTCAAACCGAAATTCGCGCCACAGATAGTGGCGATGCCGGAAGCGCGACCAGTCGCCGATCAGTCGTCTGGAACATCGGTTGTAGCCCTGCGCTGTTGCAAAGTATTGCTGGAGGAGCTGGAGGAGAGTCACTGTAAGAGCGACCAAGGAGACGATAAAGGCGGTTAGAGCAATAGAGTTGCTTGTATCGAGCATTTCGAATAGTCTGGTAATGTTCCAAGCTGTTGGGTTGACTCGAGCTGGGCTTTATATGGAGCTGGTCGATGTTGCAATTCTGCTCGTCCTCTCCCATGTGATGGAGACGGGTGAGATGACGGCAGTGTGCATGAGATCGACGGCTTGGTTGCCTACCTTGGATGTTATACTCGTCCTTGGTCGAAGTTGTCTATGAAGTTTGGACTGAAAAGAAACATGGATGTAATAAAAGGACAAGGCGGCGAAGCTTGGTAGAAGTAAGACATTGCAGGGTTCTCGTTAAGAAAGTTTGCATTGGACATCCACACTGGCTTTGCAATAATAGACACATGGTGAGATAAGGGGGCTATTTAGATTTATGCAGAACTCCTTACAATATAATGTCCACAATCTGCACTTCCCGTCGTAGTTAGCCCGGCTAGCTCAATCGGTAGAGCGTGAGACTCTTAATCTCAAGGCTGCGGGTTCGAGCCCCGCGTTGGGCTTTCTTTTTTGCTCATCGTTTTCACCCCAACTTTTTCATAGCAATTCCTGCTCCTGAGCGCTGAACCAGAGAAAAATAAATCGGTAGGACCATCCATCCCCTATGTGAGAAATCAACCACAAAGAAGACCGCTTCTAAGCATCTGCTATAAAACAAGCTTAAGATTACGTGTGATTTAGCAGGCAGCATGAGACGACCAGTTAAGCAGCCCGTCAATCACAGATCTTTAAAAACATATCTTAACTTCCCAGTTTCCGAAGTCACACCATCAATATTCCGGGAACCTCGCCTCATACACAGAGTGCCTATCCATACATACGAGAAGCTCAGATCTCGGTGTCTATATACCGCCCAACCCCTAGGCCCGAAGATCAAAAGGAGCATCCAACAACAATATGTGACAGCAATCATGCAGAGAATAGCACCCGCACCGTAGCACCCACATGGCCGGTGAGGAGGGGGGAACAGGCAAACAGACAAAGGAGAGGAAAAGAAGCTTGATTGGACTATCTCAATGCCTCATGCTTTGGTAACGTGCGCAACTAACCAAGCCCAAGCCAGAAGAACTCCTACAAGTCTTCAACGCCCGGTCGCGCTTGAAGCCATCCATATCAAAGCAATTTCCCGCCTACAAGCCCCCAGAATCCAAGCCCCGGCATTATGATCAAAGCCCCTGATCCTCTGTAAGTCTACTGTGCCGCGCATATACCTCCGCCCCTGCCTCAACACTCGCCCGCGACCCCGCACCCGCTTCGGCATGCGTGAGTACAACAGATGGACGCGTGCAACGACGGGCTTCGCGCATATGCATTCGCAGAGAATCCACAGCGGTGCGGGAATGGTCAGAGGTAATCTCTTATTGGTTTGGTCCGCGCCCACGAGAGCATCGACCTCGCGTGGATCGAGGTGCGGTCCCTTGCAAGGAGGACTGGGAGTCGAAGCTAAATTCCGTGTCGCTAGCCAGATTTCACTGTTCCCCCCCCCCTTCCTTCGAACGTTCTGTTCGTAGCTATAGTGGACACGATGGATGGGTACGAGACTGATAGCAGAAACTTAGTTTTGTCTATGCTATGAGGTAGGAATGGAGAGTTGTCTGAAAGAGGCTTTCTCACATCAAGTCTGCAGAAGGTGACAATCGGGAACTCAAGAGTCCGCCTTCGTCGAAGGGAGGCCAGAGTCTTGTTTGGGAACGTGTTCTAACTCGGACGGCGTTTTGGCTTTTGCAACTGTACATCGAAGGGTTGTTGATAGTAAAAGAAGGTCCGAAAAGTCCGAACTACAATCTAGACCCAATCATGGAGACAAATAGTGTTTAGATCACAGAACCACCTCTACACGCAAGGATAGAATAGTTCTATCAAGAGGGGGGAGCAGAAAGAAAGATAGATCATATCATACCCGGACTTAAAATAATACTGATCTACATGTTCTAGCTAAATGACGATGAGCAATCTGGCATGCTCCAACATACGCAGGGACTTGGTATAACCTTGTGGAGCCATGGACTTGTCGATGCTTGTCAAGATGATTCTATCCTCGCGCGCAACTGGTCAATCGACCAAAAAGCCGAGGACAAGACCTAGCGACAAGAATAAAAACATACAACAGAAGGGATTCGCTGGTGGTCACCCACCCAACTACTAACCTCCCGGCGTGTGGCTTAAGTACGGCTGAGCGGACGGGAAGCCCTGTTTTCCACACCCTGTGGTCGTATGTGCTTGATTTAGATGATAAAGCTAACAAGTACCAACAATGAGAGTGATGATAGCCTTGTAGTCCTAAAACCCAACGGTGGATGAATAGGCATACTAATCCACTTTTTAAATTAGCACCAGCGACCACTATGCAGAATGTGCACCGGCCAAGTCCATGAGTCGAGACAAATACCAGAACACGCAATCGGCCGAAGCCCGCCGGGATAATCCTTCGAGCACACAAGAATACAACCACGGCGTGAACTGAGGTGACTACCCTCTCCCCATTCCGTCCGACCGGTCCAGCCACAGAACTCAGCCAAACACACTCGAGGTAACATCCACTTCGGTGCGCGACACAAATTAGAAGACGGTCTCAAAATTGTCCTTGGTGAACTCGTAGATGGCGCGGAAGTCGCGGCAGAGATGCGGGTTCCCCATCCCGAAGACGACGGTGCGATGCCGGTCGTAGACGGCCCCCTCCATCGTCGTGTCCCCGGCGCACATGATCCCCTGGCGGATGTAGTCGATGCAGTGGGGCAGGTGGTCGACCTGATCGAGCTCGGAGATGTCGATTTCCTCCCGTCGCCCCTCCTGGACTTTGAGGATGATCTCGTAGATCGTTTTGCGGACGTAGTCCTGCACCACAAGGAACAAGGTCAATGAGCATCACGGCATTAGAAACATGCAAAAAAAATGAATGAAAAGAGCTAGCCGATGCGGAGACGAGGCTCAAAGGTCTTACCAGGCAATGGAGCTGGTGAAACATCGAAATCGAGAAGCGTGAATACCCGTCGCCAGTGGGGAGGCCGGGGGTGAGCTCGTATTTCTGGTAGTCGCGGATGAGAACGAAACCGCGGCCCGCTGTAGCAAGTATCATCCAGGGCATGTTAGTGGCATTTCTGGGAAGGGGAAGGCTGTCTGCGGTAGTCACTCACGAGGGAGTAGTGCATCCCATGTCTCGTTCAACATTCCACCATCACGGGTAGGCTCAACGCCAAAGACCTCATCGTGCTTGAAGCTCTCCAATACGTATGGGACTGATTTGGAATTGGGAGAAGATGTCAGCATCCTCTTAGCGTAGGAAAAGACTGCCTGGCCGCATGTGCAGAAGAGGGAAAGTCACCATCGGGCACGACCGTGGGCGGTGCAACTGGGATGTGTTTGTGCGGGAAGCTGCGGGACCAAATCGCCCCAAGGGCGGCCGAGGCGAGCATCAGGGCGAGTACGAGTATGCTCTTCACTACGACGAGCTGGTAGTTGCGCCAGAATTCGTGAACCACTTCGGAGAGCCACGGGCGGTGAAACGGGGATCGTGGACCGAGGGCATCATCGGTTTCAGTCTCGTTTGACAATTTCGAATACTCTGAGGGCTGATTCAGGAACTCCATTGTGACGGTTTCAGAAGCAACGAAGTTGAGGTCTTGGCGGCAAGTGTTGCATCGAGCGAGAGCCGTGTGCTTATGTGGGAGGTCGACCTACGCTCGTGTGATTGTTGGTGGGCAGGGACGTTTATTTATAACCTGGTAGGCTGATACGGAGGGCCATCTTGCGCAGTGAGGGGAGGTTATCAATCAGAACCTACTGACTAGCGTATATTTCAAAACGCGTCATCTCGAGTCCTCTGATCATGCTCATTGACCTAGTCTCGATAAAGATCACGATCTCGAGCCTAAAGCCCAATATAACTCCGGAGTACGCAAAAATTAGAACAATGCTATCCCCAACCTACTCGCTTGTAAGCGACTCTGTCACATCTCAATAATCAAACCAGGTGCGATTGTACTGGCGCTCGCGATCGATTTGAAAACGACTAATAGCGTCATAGTCGACACATTCATGCTCCACCCCCCAGCCAGACACCGTCGTTGCCACGCCCTCGTCTGGAACAAACAGCGGTGTATATCCTTCAATCTCAAAAATAGCATTGCCACAGAGGACACTCTGTCGTAGGTACTCAAAGCAATGGTTGATATGCACGTTCCATTTCTTCTCGGTGTATTGGGGCGTGCTGGGCCCGCCGGTCTTGATCTGCCAGTAGTGGGCGCGAATGTGATTCTTTTTTTTTTTTTGAATCGATTAGCCTTAATGAACTCAGACCTGCCCACTGAGGAAACGTACCAAGCAATGCATCTGGTGCATGATGGACAAGACGTAGAAATCTTGTGGGGGTGGACTCGGTCGATTGGGGTGGTAGTAGGGCGACGGCATTCCCGGCGGCAGATTGTAGTCCCGTTGCTCCTGCTCGGTCATATAGAGAACGTCGTGAGCTACCAACCTATTAGCATTGATCGCTCTGATTACCACGGTCGTCAACTGAATGTACCGGCGATCAGAGCCTCCCAGTGGTCGTTCGTCTCCTCGGACGGTCCAACATAGCGCCCATCCATCTGAAAGCTGCGTTTGACGGTCTTGAACACCGAGGCCGGCAGGGGGGACTTGCGGTCTGCGGTCTGCACGGGTGCTGTCCGAAACCAGAGAGTGATTGCCAGGAGCCATCCCACCACCAAGAGGAAGTAGAGGACACACTGAACCGTTGTCCAGCGAGCTGTAGAGGATTCCGATGCTTTCTCCAGATCGAGGTCCGCTGCTTCGATCTCTTCATTTTGACCCCCTTCCGCGTAGGAGGAGAGAAAGGGTTGTTTGGCCTTCGAGTCCTCCATCGTGGTGTTTGTGCTTCGAATGAGAAGCGATCAGGAAGCAGTCGTCCCGAGCCCCAAATGACTTATTGGGAAGAAGAATGGGTTCTGGTCAGAAGGTCTTGATTTGAAATCAATTGCGTGTCTTTCTGCATGTCTTAGATTGAGGAGACATGAGCAAGTACGAGGTTCCCAGTTTGAAGCATCATATCCACCTTGATGCATAATGCTGGTATTGCCGCAATACGATACATCCTGGTAAGTTACCTTGAAAGATGTAAAGTATCATACTGGCGCTAGGTATTAATGACGGTACGGTAAAGTACTTTTCCGTGATAGGAGGAAGATGCGACAAGCTTATCTTCATGGTCTGAGAGCCGCTGCGACTGCAGAAAATCAAGCTTTGGTCATGTCCCTGTTCTCCACCTCCAATTCTTGATTAGAAGCAGCCAATCGGTGCAATCTGGAGCTGCAGATAGATACACCGTCTATGCTCGGAGTCACACTGTCATCGCATTCGGGAATGTCTACAGACAATTGTTTGGCTGAGGCCCTATCTACTACCTCTTGTTGGGTTCTCCCCAGCTGGCATTAAAGTACGTACAGTTTTGATCTGCAAGGCAGGATTGAGCCAAAAGGAACACACAAAGGAGGCAGACTGTGTAAACTGCAATTATGCAAGTGAACTCTTCGGTCTGTACTAGATAGCGTGACACTCGGACTCTGCGACTTGGATCTTCCCGGTTGCCTTGTCCTCCAGATAGTCCTCAATGCGCAACCCCCCCACCTCATCCTCCACAACTAGCGCCGCCCCGCGAAAATCGCTCAGATTCCTCCCAATCGTCCACTCAAGCAATTGGTCATACTTCTTACAGGTATGAATGGTGTCCACCCGAGGTCGCATGCTCTTGGTGGCGTCATTCCACTGCACCGGGATAATTGAGGTGTCGGCCGAGCACATGAGGGACTGGCGGACTTGATCGATACAGTGATCTGGCAGGCGCAAGTTAGCAGCTTGTCACGCAGGGTTTGTCGTATTCTTGAAATGTATACCTATGTGGAGCCATGTACAATAATCCAGCGTTCCATCTTTGTGATACATGCTCCGGCCGTAGCGCTCTGGATAAAAGGCCTGGCGAATGAAGTTCTAGCGACGAATGAGCAATTGAGATTGCCTCGCTATCGTGCAGCAACGAACCAACATACCAGGCAATGCAACTGGTGAAAGACATCGAGGACGACCATGTACTGGTCTTCGAGTCCGGGTTCGGCGACGCGAGAGGTTACATTGGGGAGCTTCATGGCCGCTTCCCGGTCCACGTATGTGAACAGGCCAGCTGTTTCTCGCAGACACTGGTGGTGAGCATTCCACACACAATGGGTGACAAGGGGTGGGCTCACAGTGGTAGGACTCGAGCCAGAGTCGGTCTTTCTCATCATCGGGCCAGCCTTGGAAGGGGGATTTGTTGTCCCCGCGGCTGCGGTAGAAGGTGCGGGTCTCGTACTCCACTAGGGGGTTGACCGGTGCTGTTTGTGATGTGAGCATGGCACTCAAGATACACTCATTCTTTTCACAAGTTACATACAATAGAGAAGAAGTTCTGGATGTTGTTCGGGCACCCAGAGCCTGGGTGTAACGAGCAGAATGAGAAGAATTGTGACGAGACACCACGGCAATGCTAAGGGTAGGGTGCGTTGGAAGACAGATCTCTGCTTGGGGGGATGATCACACTGAGGGCAAGCCACCTCACCATCTCTCGTTCCAAGAAGCGTTTCTTCCTCTTCGAGGGCTGGAGGATTCATGGTGTCTGTCTGCATTGTCGATGCTGTCCAAGGTCGGGTTCATCTTCGCCTCGGTAAATAAATGGATGTTCAGAAGAGACGAGGTTCATGACGGCGCCAATCCTGCAGGACCAGCCGCTTCATTCCGACACATCACACTGTCTGAACCATGCATGAAGCTATTGGTAAGTATCATGCGCACAACCAGTCTGTTTTAATTACATACGTGGTAAATTACAGGGTTGTTTCCACTAAGGTCATGTAAGCATGCATACTCATACCTTGCTCCGAGTCTCAATTTCGGACTAAACAACGGGCCCGGAGCACTGCTTGAACTATGAGACATGCAGTCTGGCCATGAAAAATATCGCAGCCGCACAATCAAGCACCAGGCTAGATGCACCTACCAACGAATCCAGTCTCATCTGCTCGGTTTGGCGTTCAGTACGGATATGGCGAGATTTAATAAATTCCCCGGCAGAGCAGAGAGCGGATGAACCCGCGACAGGTGTAAGAACTACCACTATCGAAGATGAAGACAGCCGCCGACCCGTGGTGGATGCTGGCGCTGACTTGTGGCCTTGGAGGGTGCGCGTACCCCTCTTTTCCTCGAAGCCATTCCTGACAATCTCTCAAGGCTCCAGGTGCTCTGGACGATGATGCAATCCAGTGGCACGGTGAGATTTCCAATCCAGAGCGTCTGTAATCTGTTACTGACCCGGATAGTCTTTCCTCCTGTCTCTCGGGCTGCCCGCCCCCCTCACAGCCTTTGCCTGGGTGTCCGCCCCTCTCGCGGGTACTTTTGTGTATCCTTGGATGGGAAGCCTGAGCGACCGATGCAAGTCTCGTTACGGTCGTCGCCGGCCCTTCATCCTGCTCGGTGCAGTCGGGGCGGTCCTACTCTTGGCCTCGTTGGCCTGGGTGGAGACTGTGACTCGTGCTGTCTGTTTTCCTTTGGGAGTGGATGAATCTATGCTGCAGAGAGTGATCCTAGTGACTGCACTGGTCCTGATCTGGTTGCTGAACTTTGCCATCCAGCCCCTTCAGATGGGGTTGCGCGCTCTCAGTGTGGACGTCTGTCCCGGGGCCGAGCAAGCTCGAGCCAATGCGTGGGCAACAAATTGCATCGGAGTCGGCAGAATCCTTGGTTATGTCTCCGCATACAGTGTCGGGCTTGGCTCAACGCCTGCCGAGCAGTTTCAGGCGATGGCTCTCATAGCAATCTTGTGCCTGTGTGTTACAGTCGCTTACTGCTGTGCGGTGATCGAAGAGTCGCCTCATACTCCCCAGGCCACTTCTACGAGGTTAGCGATGTCGCCTAGACGTTGGCTCTCGATTTATCGTGCCTTGCCATCTGGTGTTCGTCTCCTTTGTCAAGCCCAAGTATGTGCTTGGACAGCATGGTTCTCTTACTTGTATTATTCCACGATGTAAGTTATCTCCTTTAGTGGAATGAAAAAATGTCGAACTGCGTGGCTGACACCGGGGGAAAGCTATATTGAAAAGCTCAGTGCGTACATCGTCAACGAGACAGCCTCTCTATACTAACCTTCATCCAGACAAGATGTCCTTCCAATCCAGCAGCATCATCTTTGTATCTATGCAACAAGGAGCTGTGTTCGGACTCGCCTTTGCCATCGTGGCTTTGTGCACCGCACTCACTTTGCACGGCCTCATGAATCGGTCAAAAAGCAAGCATGAGCAAGCTCTTGCGAGGTACGGCATATGGAAGCTTCTTGCCGGAAGCCATGTGATCTTTGGGTGTATTTTGCTGGCCACTATACTCGTAGACCAGTGGATCCCTTCAGCAGTCATTCTCTGTCTTTGCGGTATACCTTGGTCATTGCTGCTTTGGGCACCTTACACGATTATCGGAAGTGAGTTTGCGGGATTGAACGGGGATCCAGATGGCTGCGAAGAGGGTATAGAGGCGCGAAACCTTGACATCGGAGTAGTATTGAGTGTACATAACATCTGCATATCGTTGCCACAGGTCTTTGCTGCCGTGCTGGATGGGGGGATCATCTGGGCCGCGGGGAAAATGGGGTCCCAGAACAGTGCCGGCTGGGTTTTAAGACTGGGAGCGGCAGGCCCTCTGATAGCGGCCTATCTTACCATCAAAATGGTCTGATATTGGTATAATCGAAATGCTTGCTTGCTTGATCTCAGTCAATTTACGCCAACAATAAAGCAAACTAGTGGAGAAGTCTGTCCTTGCATAGTGGATTCCGGCAAACTAGAATCTATGCACAGTTATGTACGCTGGCCTGCATGACTCGCTATGCACATTCCTGGCCGTCACTGCATACATTCATCGACGGCTACCTGAACACACCATCTCCCGACAACTCTGACTATCGAATTGATGCACACCCAGCGAAACAGCCACACAACGTCTCCTACATTTCTTGGTTCAGTTTCCAGATTTGAGCCCTTCCACCTTGACTCTGGAAAGCATCAGCAAGCTGTCATTCCAAGACTCCAACCAGGTCTTACCGATGGTGGCTGAGCTTAGTGCTTCTTGGTCTCATACTCTCCATAATTCTTGGTCCAGATGATCTCACGAGCGGGATCAACAACGGCACCATCCTCCTCGCGTTTCTCGTACTCTCCGTAGTTCTTGGTCCAGATGATTTCGCGGGCGGGGTCGACAACAGCCCCGTCTTCTTCGCGTTTCTCATATTCTCCGTAGTTCTTGGTCCAGATGATTTCGCGGGCGGGGTCGACAACAGCCCCGTCTTCTTCACGTTTCTCATATTCTCCGTAGTTCTTGGTCCAGATGATCTCACGAGCGGGATCAACAACGGTGCTATCCTCCTCGCGCTTCTCATACTCTCCGTAGTTCTTCGTCCAAATGATCTCACGCGCCGGGTCGACGACGGTGCCCTCTTCGTCGCGCTTGACCGGGGCACCCACAGCACCCAAAGAGGCGATCGAGAGGAGAACAAGAGTTCTAGCAAGCATATCGAAGGCTGACGAGGGGTAATACGGTTGGGTTCTTCGAAGATGAGGTCAAGTCTAAGATGAATCCGCTTCACGGCCTTTTCAGGATGGATGATACTCTCCACCAAGGTGTGGCAGACACAGGACTTTATATTTCCAAGCTTCAAGAGAATACGGGGATCATGGAGACATGACAACCTGGTAGGTATCAGAGCACGCGGGCAATGGGTGACGGGCCCGAGGCTCGGAGATTTGGTCAAAGGAAACTACTTGGTTCTACTGCAGGGAGTGTGTGCCTTCCATATCGAACCTGGATCCGGTGCAGTCCTGGTATGAGTAAAACTTGCGATCTCGTCCCCTCGTACTCTGCTATCTTCCGTGATGTTTTGCGTGATCATCGACGGCCGCAGACAGTGTCGTGGCACTCACGAGCAATCCAGGCGGCGGGGTTAGCCCCCCACGGCCGCACTATGTCGGTTTCCGTTACAGAGTAGGTAGCTTCGTGATGATCCCCACGGAAAGTTCAATTCTTTCTGATGAGGGATTTTCATGACGATTTCCGCAAGCCAAATGCTGTTTCAAGCTCGTCGTGCCTCTGACAAGTTAGGGTTGTGGTGGAGGTTTGTGACCGTATAAAAGACATGTACTGTACGTCGTGTATTACGATACGTGCCAGCCCACGGGACAATACAGTACACTTCATGCATAAGTTACAGCTTACCCTCCTAACCTTATCTTTCGATGGCACCACCTGCAACAATAATAAGCACTAGACTAATCACAACAAGATCCTTCCGATGCGGGGTCGAACACATAAACAAGCATGTCAGATACGAGAATAGCTGCACCAACCTCCATTCACCCTCTCTGTGAAACCAGTGACGTACTTCCATCAGCGCACTTCGCAGTCTTCTGGACTTACCCTCCCGCTAATCACGAATTAATTGCTCGAGCAAGATGACCGAGTGGAACGTACTGACCGCAACTGCAACGCAGCTGAGCCGTCTCCTGCAGGAGGGCCACACGACAAGTCACGACATTGTCCAGGCCTATCTGGCACAGATCGACCAGCACAATCGCGCCGGCCTGCAGCTGCACGCGTTGATCTCCGTCAACCCCGCGACGGCCCTGGCCCAGGCTGCCGACCGCGACCGCGAGCGAGCCGAGGGTCGCATCCGCGGCCCCCTCCACGGGGTCCCAATCATTGTCAAGGATGCTATCATCACGTCGCGCGCGTTGGGACTCCCCACCACCGCCGGGGCCGTGGCCTTCCAGGATACCTACGGACGCGCCAACGCAGCGATTATCGAGTCTCTGCTCGACCAGGGAATGATCATCCTCGCCAAAGCGAGTATGACGGAGTTCTGCGGCCTCAAGGCGACCTGTATCACCGCGGGCTGGTCGGCCGTGAACGGCCAGACCCAGTCCCCCTATATTGCGGGGGGGTTCCGCCCGGACGATCTCTTTATCGGTCGCTCGGGGCCCGGCGGGTCCTCGTCGGGGTCGGCCGTGGGCGTTGCCGCGGGCTTTGCGCCGCTGGCTCTGGGCACAGAGACCTCGGGCTCTGTCTGCATGCCCACCAACCGCGCGGGGCTGTATTCCATCACCGTCACGCAGGGCTCGGTCCCCCTTGAGGGGGTCTTTTCCTTGAGTAGGGACTTTGACAAGATAGGGGCTATAGCGCGGTGTCCCGGGGACCTCGCGGTGGTGGCACACGCTCTGAGTGGAGTGGAGTATACACCGCCGGCAGGATGGACGGACGTGTCGGTCGGTTTCGTTGATCCTCTCGTATGGGACGCTTTCGCGTTTCAGAAGTCACCAGACCCGGATGTAGAGCGGCAAATTGTAGGTTATGTCCCTGTTTGACTTGATGTGCTGTCTGCTGAAGCTCCACAGTTGAGTAGCTATGAGTGGGCGAGATCGCAGATTGCGCAGCGAGGAGGCCGCGTTGTCTACCCGGTAGAGTTGCCGACGATGGAGAGGCTGCACTACGAGGGCCAGAGTGTGAACTACTCCGTTGCATGTAAGAACACCTGCTGCGGAACTTCTGAATACAGAACTAATGTGGGACAGTCTATGAGTTTCCGAAGCTGTTCGAGACATTCTGCTCCATGCTAGAGGAGCCAAAAGTGCAATCGGTTCCGGAACTGATCGAATGGAACAAGGATCATGCCTCAATTGCGATGCCGCCACGTAAGAAAACTAACAGACTTGGTACCTTGACTGATACTGGAGCTAATTTATTATAGCACATACTGATCAAAATGACCTGCTGGAGACGCTAAAATCGTCCATGGATGATGAGAAAGCAGCCGCAGCAAAGACGTACGCTCAACGACTCGCGGGACCAGAGGGTATCGACGCAACGCTTGAAAAGCACGGAGTCGATATTATCATCGGACCGGGAGACTGCGCTATCTGCGCGGTTGCTGCTCTTGCGGGATACCCTACCGGTATGGTTCCTCTCGGGCGCTTGGAAGGGCCAGGTGGGTTGGGTCAGCCTCAAGGATTGATGTTGATAAGCCGCGCTGGGGGGGAACAAAAGCTTCTACAGTTTATGCATCAGTGGAAAGAGATAGCAGGAGACTGGAAGGTCCCCCCTTTACTGGCTTGAGGGTTGAATGTTGTGACTTCCCCGCTGTCGCGCCGCTGTCCACCATGATGTCAATTGATCAGCTAGACTACACAGTCAACATCTCAATCAAGGCCCGACTATACTTCATGCTCTTGATATTCCAAATCCAGAGCAGCTAAGCGCCCAAAGCAGGAACAACTACTAAGCCCAAGTAAGAGATGGTTTGCCACTCATCGACCAGAAACCATTGCGCCCACCAAAGTCGGGTTAGTAAGTCGTGTCCGTACTCGTCGGCTCTGCTCCACGAACGTAGAAGCACGGCATCGAGTACCAGGAAGCAAAATGTGAAAATCGCCATCCCCAACGATGTGCAGTGCGCTGCACGAGATCCGGTGACCTTCCCTTCTCTGAATGGCTGCCGGCGCAGACTCATCGTCTTCCGGAGGCACTCGATATGGGAGATCACAATGACGACCCCGCTTCCGAGAGTCCACAAAAGTTGCAGCGCGTCGCGAGACTCGTTCCGATCGCGTAGCATCTCTCTCTCGCGGCCTACGGTAAAGGCGAATGCAGCTGCGCCGAGGACGTAAGCCACCCACGGAGACGACCTGTCTTGACTGGGTCGGGGTCGCAAGGACTGAAGAGCAAAGAATACAACGGCTGCATTCCGGCTCGCCCGTAGTATGATATTCAGGGTCCAAATCGTTTCACAGGCATACGGGTAACCGTGGCGGTTGATGTAAGTGAGGTTCGCCCAGGCGATCGCGGCGTCGAGGCAAACCAAGCAGATTACCAAGACGAACAGTCTAGATCTGTGCACTTCCATCGACGGTCGACTCTTGAAATGGTTGATTGCGACCGCAACGCTCAGGCACAAGCTGGTCAGAAAGCAGAACGCCATGAAATGCCATTTTCCCACTTGTATAGCGGGAAGATAGCCATGCGCGGAATGCAAGCGCATGACAGCGCTAAAAGTGGACGCCGTGAAGCCAATTGCTTCGACGCAGTATGAGCCAGACCCCGTGAGAGGAAAATAGATGGTGCTAGGGTACTGTGAGATGTGTACAGCCTCCGTCAAGATCGGGTGCTTTGCGTCTTCTAACCGGCCGATGAAGGCGCCGTAGCTTTCTGGGCGGCATGCGCCAGCTTCGATTGCTATGCTGTCACAGACATAGTGCATCTATCAGCGGTTAGTTATTGTTCAATACTGATTCATGGTTCGCACCACTCACCTTTCCGTTGATGACTTTCCCGCCCAACTGTCCGTCACTCTTGCGGAAAATAGCAACGCTGACGATGGGATCTTTCTCCGCTGTCACCAGGTTGGCAAAGTTGAGAGTTATGGCAGACTGCGGATACGCCCCGGAGGTCAAGGTGCCTGGCGAAAGGCTGGCGGGTCCGAAGGCCTCCACACACTGTCTCCAGTGCGATTGATTCTAGTATAGTTAGCAATCATGCCGTCGAGAGCCCGGAAGTGCTAGTCATGAAAGTACCAGTTGATACCGCTGTGCCATAGCACCATCAGCAATGTTGAGGATCAAGGAGAGCCAGAGTGTGAGGTGATGCATGGCTGTCTTCTACTTAGCACGCTGCAATGCTTTGGGGTATCCCACGTTGGCTCAATCTCATATACCTTTTACAAGTTTTCCTTGCCATTGCAACGTCCGAATCCGTGTCTACATGCAAGCCTCGGTTGGTATTCAGCAGTAGTGAGCAAGCTATTACCTGCATCTGTGACAGTCACGTACTCGGTCTGGATCAGCCGCGCGGTCTACAGTATTACAACGAGACGAGACGTGACTGATACACACAGGTATTGTGTTTCTTCGTTCTGACGTGATCCGCTAGCTTTGTAAAGAAACACCTTATCAGCGGACCCTGATTGGAGCTCACCTTAGTAGTTTCAGGGTCCGGGCCATGCATCGGATTCCGTCGGTGCAGAATTGATCGACGCAGCCTAACTCCGAGCCGTCCGAGGAGCCTATGCCTCATTTGTGAGTGGATATACCTCACGATACTTCAGTTAGCCCTAATGTCAAGATGAACACAGGGTCTTTCGTTCTCCCCGCTTGCTGCTCATTCTCAACGGCCACCTCATCCTCCATTCCCCTTTCTCCTCGAGATCATGTCGAAACAATCCCAACGCTATTCTCAAGTCCCCTCCGAGGACTCGGACCTGGGCGATGAGACCTCTATTCCCACATCCGGCTGGCGGGCGAAATTTCGCTATCGCGGCTGGATCTGTCTGGTTCTGCCCGTCGTTCTTTTTTTGACGTCTCTTGTGAATCTGTTTGTAGCGACCAAGTATCGTGTCAACGATCGGACATGCGCGCAGCATATGAATGCTGTTTGTAAGAATATGCTCCGTTGTTTAAACGAATGTGAGTGACTAACGCTGAACACGTCCCAGCACCTGCCATGGAGGCCGTCGAGTATGAATGGAAGACGTTTGAGAATGATTTCTTCCACCAGTCCGTCTATCGCGGTCCTCCTTCCGTCGAGCTGGAGAAGGCGTGGGATGAGCTCTGGGATTGTAGGTCTCCACAATTTCTCTTTGTCCAAGTATTCTGACACATGTCCTCACAAATCTCCAGACGGCGCCTTCAGCGTTCCGCACGAGATGCTACCCAAACTCAACAAGTCCACCACGGGGTGGCGTGAGATATCGCACGAGCGAGGCGGCGGTGTGGCTGGCCTGCTGGAGGGGTTCCATCAGATTCACTGCTTGGTATGTGGTGACTCCAGCGATTTGGTCGAAAACGGGAGTTAACGAGTTGGTGTTCCTACACTACGTAGAATCTGATCCGTCAATACACATACCGCGACCAGTGGGATTATAGCGCTCTTCCGTCCTTTGACGGGACCCCTCAGCTGGTGCGGCACCATGTGGATCACTGCATCGAGACCCTGCGCATCAATCTCATGTGCACGGCGGACGTGACCCCATACCTGATCCAGCTCAATCCCAATCGAAAGCTTGGCGAAGATCCGAACTTCAATACGCTGCACAAGTGCCGGAAGTGGGATAGGTTGGTGGACTGGGCCAAGCAGCATGAGGTTTTCAGAACGGTGGATCCCGCGTCTGCGCATGACGGTCATTCCTGATGTTTTCTCAGCATAGGTACTACAGTAGATAGTTCGAGCTGTGGTTTGACAGTGATTTCAGTATGAATAGTTAGATTCGGTAAATTGAGCATTATGGACATCAGGTGACTGGAAGAGCCATCACTTAGATGACGAGATAGCCCACTGAAAAACTGGAACAACAGCATAAGGAGCAAGTTGTATTCTGAGTGGTAAAGGTGATACCGACATTGACATCGGAGTTTTGAGTGGGCCGTAGTCACAGTCAGGCCCAGTCTTACTGCAGTTGGCCATAAATAGCGGCATTATTCTGTGCGAAGTGAAACATATCTGTCAATCTGCGTGTTCCAACCATTGACCCTCACCCGCAGAGCCTTTGATCCCACCTCGCCATGCACCTCAAAACTCCTTCTTGGCTCAACCCACCCCACGTGTCGCCAGTACAATGGGCATTCCACTTGGCATTTTTTCTATTCTCCATTCTGTGCGGCACTTGGATGGCGTCGAATCGACTTCCCTGTCAGCTCCCCACGGCCCGAGTCAGTAGTCGACGAGCGACGCTCGAGATGCCCGTGTACGGAGAGGACGAGTATGAGTTCGCTCGTTTTGTGGGTCATCCCGACGCCCCCAGCCCCTTCAGAGGACCACCTTCTCCCGCCGTCGACGAAATGTGGAACAGTCTGTGGGCCGACAACATGCTGGTCTCCGAGCAGGAGTATGCGCTCTCCCAGCCCCAGGACCGCCGGGCGGGGGTGTACGGTGTCTCGTCAACGAGCCAGGGCTTTTTCGCGACTTTCGAGTCGACCCATCAGTTACATTGCTTGGTTGGTTACCTCGCTCAAATGGCCCAAATGCCGGCATCGCCCTAATTCCAGCTAGTATAACCTCTTTCGCGCGTCGCATGTGGACTATTATGAACCAGAAAGAAAGTTCCTGCTCCACAACCCGGAGAAGTATCACGCCCGTCTGGGTGAGTGTTTCCCCGGCAATTTGTACTGGTTGCGTTGGGCTGACGACGGACTGAGACCACTGTACGGAGATCCTGAGGCAGAAGCTTATGTGGTATGTGTTGTCCTTCACCGGTCGTGATCCGCTCTATCTAATCTAGCGACAGTGATGCCGATGCGAGTATCGTGACGTACGCATGGGGGAATGATACCGAGAGCTACGAGGCGGACTTTAGTGTGTTGCATCAGTGTAGAAATTATGAGACGCTGCTGGATTGGAGTCGGAAACATTCTGCTACGGGAGCCGTGTTTACGAGGGACTAGAAGTTCTTGGGAATGGGGATATTGATCGCGTGGAGAAAAAACCATGTGACTAGTGAAAAGATCGTGGCGAAGGGTGTATTCTAGCATTCAGTCCGACAACCAACACCAGCACTACTTTCTGCAACCTTCCCCTGTCAGTTATTCCTCATCGATGTAGACAATATGGCCCGGACGAGGCAACGTCTCCGGGTCAAAGTCCTTCCCGTCGACGGGCCCGAGATGGGGATGCACCACACGCCCGGCAGCGCCGATGGAGTGCTCCTTCGTCCAGGCGAAAATGTCGTCCCAGTTCCGGCAGGTGCGGGTGGTTTGAAAAACCGGCCACGGGAAGGGATAGCCCTCGACCCAGCGAACGGGCATCAGACTCAGATCCGCGTGGCATTGGATACTGTGTCGCAGAATATCGAGGCAGTGGCCCAGATGGTACTCGGGGTTCGGATCCTCCTGGAGTTTGATCTCCCGGCCCAGAATCTTGCGGCGAAACCAGTTCTAGATTGATATGGTTAGCAGTTGCTTGACGTGGCCAACGCAGACATTCCCACCAAGCAGTGCAGCTCATGATAGACTTCCAGCCCAGCAAGATACCCTGATCCGTCCTCCAAGCGCACGGACGTTTGGTTGATGCGATCAAGGTCTGCCTTGTCGACCTTGATCCATCCGTCTGGAGAAATGGTGTTAATGGGGTTTGTTCAGAGCGGTTCTCGCCCAGGAATGAACGTACATGGCCCATCTTGACTGATCTCACGCCACAGTCGATCGGCCTCCGGGGTATCCTGGGCGTACGGCGAAGTCTGTCCGATCCCAACATCGGTCATTTCGACTTCATGATTCAGAACCCGTTGCAATTGCGCTATATGATACTCAGTTAGTCTCGCACCCCGACCCGTCACGCCTGGGGGACGTACGGATGACGAAGTCAATCTCCGGTGTTTTGCCATTTCTGTGCTTGTAGATCAATACAAAGAAGCCGAGATTCATCGCGAGAAACACTATGTTGATAAGTGTAAAGGCCGCTCCCCGCAGCCTTTTACGGTGGGGGGAACGCCGTTCGGATGTGTCCAGGACGTCTGCAGCATCCTCGGTGGATGGCGCACGGTGATAATCGGTCTTGGTGAAAGGGCGTGCAATGGACATCTTGAGTGACATGATTAATTATGCGGTGGTTGGCTTTCCTTGGGCATGGACCTCTGCTAGAGAAGAAAGCTCGAATAGATACAATGCACCCAGGTACAGGCTGTCACTGTGCGTGGTGAGTATTTTCCCTCCCTGCTCGCCGGGGGCAACAGGGGGAGGCTATCGACTACCCTCACTCCTGTGCGCAAATCGACCCCGCACGTTGTGCTTGCTAGAGATAACAAGCTTCGCCAAAAGCCTTGTTTTACTGTGTCTGACACCATGCATGTCCGAGCCTGCATAATACCCTGCATTAAGCATCCTGTATTTATCTGTCAGAAGAATTGTTGCCGGGGGTGGTATTATTACCGTCTTACCACATCGGGGTAATACTTTAAACACGGGACAAGCTGCAAAAAAAAAAAATACTAACTCCACTGCAATGCAACCCTGCTTCGTTGTCATGGCATGGCATTAACCCGAAGGAGTAACTGCCCAAGGGCTCGATTTACGTCTTGAAGTTTTGCTGTGCGAGAACGACACATCGGCTCGGTCCCGAGTCCAAGTGAAGCGGAAACGAGAAGACCCTCTCCCCACAGCCTATGATACTGGATGTCTCTCACAACTTTCAATCGTGCCTTACTGCATTGCACGCCCGTGCTGAACTGAACATCTCCCACTGCCCAGAAGCTTACAAAGGTTGAATTGTGCAGGATCATCTACCAAGATGATGGGATTCCAACATTTACTGGGTTGGCGACGTACGCAGCCCAGCCGAATGATCATTCCTACGAGCGATGAGGACGGCGAGGAGGAACTCTTTCTTCCTTCTGAGCCCCACGAGAAGAGACGTTTCGAAGAGACAAGACCCGAAGCGCTGCCATGGATGATTTCCACTTTCACAATGGGCGCATGCCTCCTCGTCCTCCTTCTGCTCGCATATCCGGCGTCCGGTGGTCAGAGCTACGAGGTTGGATACGCGACCGAGATGCGTGAGTTCCTGCCCATCAAGTGCACTTTAAACACAACATATCTGGTTGGGTGGGCCGCTGACTGAATCCGTAGAGGCTGCCATACCGCAGATCGAGCTGGAACGAGTCCGATTCTGGGGCGGGATCAAAGCCGATGAGAACGGTACGTTCTACATGCATTTCAATCCCGCCGATAACGTGCGATACGTTGGGAAGCCCACGCGCGAGTTGGATGCGGCCTGGGATCGTTTGGCTGGTGAGTCGGGCCTTTGACACGGAAATATAGGTGATAAAGTTGAAAGTACTGACTTCTCCGCCACTGTGCAGGACAATTCATTCCTCTCACGCAAGAGGAATCCGAGAGTGTGGAGGGAGATATATCGGAGCACGATGGCATCTACTTGGCTGCGTGAGCAGAGTTCCAAATTTTCCCGGGTAGCAGAGCACCTTGTTTGCTGACGATTGATTGCCCTGAAAAAGCACGGCCGTTCAGCATAGTCTTCACTGCCTGGTAGGCCATGCAAACCCCCCTTGTTCCCCACCAGCTGCCAATGATTGACACCCTCCAGAACTACCTACGGCAAGCTATTTACGATGATTACTATCCTTCCATTCATGAGATTCGTCCGCATATCCCCGAATACTGGTTGCATGTGGGTAAGTTACCCGCGTCGAGCTTTGAGTGCAGGGGAAAAGTTGAAGCTAAGCAGTCGGTCGAACTAGACCATTGCATCGAAACTTTGCGACAAGAGATTCAGTGCGCAGGGGATCTAACCCCGGTGCCTAAGGTGTGGAATGAACATGCGGGGCAACTGTTAGCTGATATTGAGGCCACGCATACCTGTCGCAAGTTTGAGCGGATTCTCGAATGGACGGAGAGTCGTTAGATCGCAACAGAATAATAATGCGAAAGCAATTGGATGAAATTTTTCACTGTTGAATTATGCACAAACAATCACTTGCGTGCAAGATAGAGCAAACCTCTCTTCGAATAGAAAGTGTACCGCCAAACGAAGCTTTCCATGAGCCCTCGCAATGAGCCCTCGCAGCAGTTATGTCAGCTCGCATTAGTTACCATCGACTGAGACATTCCATCAACTCGGCCGAATCCATAAGCCGATGTTTGCCAGAGAGCCTGTATTAATGTCACTCCGACTTCGATCGAAGTGATCGCCTCACAACTGTGGGGCGTCAATGTGGTATCTTTCGTACCCGATAAGACGCGTAAGAGTGACGGTTAGATTACCAGCTGTATGTGACATGCGGTAAGTCAGTACAGGTCCACTTCATACAGTACGCCGCGTTCTCAGATTACCACATAGGTAGTGTACCAGGCTCTCATGCATGGATGGATGCAAGGTCGGACTGACTTCAGGCTTGCACTAGGTAAACTTGAAATCAGGATTGCGATTAATAGCACAGATAGAGATATGATCGGTAATCGATTTTGTAGAACTGCCGTGCCCAAGGTAAATCATACTCGGCAGCCTGCGGGGGAAAAAGTTCTTGGCCCTCCAACACGCGAGAACGTTGGACGTCCCCTGAAGCACGGCGTGATTCTGTCTTGTGTGCTGCATCTGTCGTCCAGGCCTATTCCCATACTCTCTTCTTGAGCTCTGTCTACAAGCATATATCGTCAGTACAGTCAGATCGCAGTCATGGTACGCCCCCAGAAAGAAGAGGCAAACGAGCGCATGTCGGATGCTGCGACTGAAAGCCTACTCGATGGCCACTCGAGATCGAGTCGTTACTACAGGTTAGAAAGAAAGTTCTGGTGGGGATTTTCTTGTGGACAGCAACTGTCTAGGGCCCTGCACCTAATCCTCCTATCAACTTTAATCGCCTTCCTCATCGCCTACATTGTCATTCTTCAGCACGACCACCTTGTCAAACAGCTCCGCGCCCCGGGCCCAGTTCTCTCCCCTCCACAGCTTTCCTCGTCGATTTTACCCCATGCTGGGCACTTACCAAGGCCATCCGCACACTGGACCGACTGCGGCAGTTCCCCCGAGGAAGCCATCTCCAAGGGCTGTCGCTACGACGTGATCCTCGTCGCCTGGGTACCAGCGGACTGCTTCGACGAGGAGCTGATGGAGAGCTACCTCGCTGAGGTCGAGTATCCCTTTTGGCTCGACCGCGCGCTGCAGCAACCAACAACTCTGACGGAGGTCCGCCGCGGCATTCACCCGGTGGTGTTCTCGAACCAGGAGTTCCACATGGCGCACTGCGCGTATTTCCTCGAGATGTCCATTCGCGGGTTCCGGCAGCGGCGCGTCTGGGATAACACCACGCTGGACATGGAGCACATGCGGCATTGCGCGCGCACCGTCAGGGATCATTGGCTGCCTGAGATGGGGTATTCGCCGCTTCATATGGTGTGGCATTCGTGCGGAAGACCGGAGGAGTGAGGGGGGTCGTGGTTGAAAGTTAGGCTGCGCTATATTGATATAGAGGATTGAGATTCAATGCCACTATGAGATGGTCTAACGGATCAAACGAGGAACCCTATATACTGCTTGATAGTTGAGCGTAGAAGAGTTGTAGGCTTTCTCATCAGGCGTAAGGGAATCCTATGCATTGAAGTAATAGAAAGCTGATGCGGACCAGGGAGTGCTATGACACAAGTACTATGATGGCATCTTGATCCTGACCTCTAACCGCCTCGGCTCCTTCGACGAGGCCTTCAAATCCCGCATCCAGGTCTCCCTGCACTACCCCAATCTGACCCGCGCACAGCGCTACAAGATCAGGCGCAACTGGTTCACCCGGCTCAAGCGGCTGGAGAGCGCGCAAATCGACTTCAACAACGTCGAGTGCTACCTTGGCGAGCTGGCTCAGCAGGCGCTGAACGGCCGCGAGATCCGCAATGCCATCACGACGAGCCGCCAGTTGCCCAAATTCAATGGCAAGGATTTATCCCGTGCCGACCTGCAGCTTATTCTCGATGTCTCAGGTCGGTTCATTAAGTATTTGTGCACTTTGAAAGGGAGGCTTTGGGATGACGATATCGCTAGGGATTCTGGTTTAAGATGAGTGATTATGTGTATATATCCTCAGCGTTGTTGTGTAAATCCGCCCTCTTGCTGCCTTCATTATAATTCTCTCTCGCCAAGCAGTCGTACTGCTGATGGGCTGCTGATGGATCTTCCTGCGACCACTTGCTATTTCAAGCCTTGTAAAGATGTTGAATCTTACGTCTGGTTTCCGCTTATGCAGTGTAACAGACGCTTAAGTTCTAACGAGGTTGACACAGAGTTCCGCAAGCAATGTAGAGCTTAAAACGCAAACCGGTGATGGAAGTCTACATACAATAAGAACTTCCCAAGCCAGCAAAAAAGCATATCATCTCGCCCTTACATCCCGATCACGATCCCAGAATTCCGGTCACAGCAAATTGTGCATTGTTTCCGTCAACCTCAAGGTCTGATTCTTCTTGGTGCTAGATGCAATGGGTAACACTGCCAGATAAGCTACGAACCATCCTGGATTCGACCCCTGCATTTCATGGGGTCACTCTTTTCCTGAAGAGAAAGACATTCTGAAGTCATATTTCCGACGATCACTGCGCGGCGCCACACAGGACAAAGTTTCACGTGCCCGACTAGTTTCGATCGATTGGAAGACTCAGTGCCGTGCAAAACAACACAACAGCCCGGTTTTACCCAGGAACCACAACGCGCCAAGGAAGCGGAATACCGATAGGGCTGAGGTGGTCAGGAGGATGATCTTGAAGTACCAGGCTGTGCGAACGGTTGATGTGCTCTGTTTGGATGGTCAGCACTATATCTGGGTGACGAGGATAAATCCCGCACGCGGGAAAAGCCGAAGAAAGGAAATAAACAAAGGAAGGGAAAAACATACGGTCAGACACAAGTTCGTGACAGAGGCATTATTAATCAGCAGCACCAACAACGCATTAGACAGCGACCACAGTAGCACCAAATTGGTGCGAAAGGTCTTGTAGGAGTCGCTCAGCTCCGTCTTCCCATGCTCGACCGGCGGCTGGTAGGGCGTGAGCGCGCGCTTGACAGTCAATTCGAATTCGGTATCGATATCAGCCTGCGGCTTGTCGGCCTCGACGACAAAGTTCGTGGCCGAGGATGGATCATCCGCGGTGGCGGAGGAGTGGTGCGTCTGCGCTGATGGGAGAGCGGACGATTGATCGGAGCCCTTGGTGCCCCATGACACGTCGTGCCAGTTGCAGAATGCATACACCATGAGCACGTTGATCGACGAGGGCATGCCGAGAAAGTAGGCCCACGACGAGGTTATCATGTGCCACGGATCCGCATACAGAACACTGGCCAGCACGTAGATGCCGTACGTCGAAACCAGCGCGATCAGCACGAGCCCGCTGGTCGATGTGAAGAACGAGGACAGGAAGCCCCCCGCGCCGTGGTCGACGTCGATGTCCAGGCTACCTCCGGCGAAGGCCTGAGCCACGAGATAGAAGGAGAGGACTAGGATGTATACTTGCACGATGGCAAAGTATACCAGGGCTAAGAGGTATGCCATTTTCGATCTAGCCAAGAAACAGATCACTCTGCGTCAGTTGACATTGACGCGAAGAAATGCGGTTCAACGCGCTTACTCACCCTTTCGGTCGATTGCCAAGGGCTAGCACGTATTGCTGGATCAAGAACATCACGTACGTCGCCTTGATCACATTGTTGACGATTGGGGTTACCTTGTTGCCAAACGGCCAACCGCGGTTCTTGTTGGTCGAACTGGGGACCCCAACAATGTCCATGATGACCGAGGTCGTTAGCCAGTACGATGCTTGAAACAGTCAGCGTTGGCTTCCCAGTCTGTCGAGTTTCTGGCGAGACTGACCGAGAGAGAACCAGGTCATGACGAGCTGGCAGAGATTATACAGGAGCTGGACATGCAACCAAGCCAACCGCAGGGCGTTGTGGCTACTCTTGTAGATGCGAGTGAAATGCATGATCGAGTATAGGCCGGCCGCGAAGGATCCATTGAGCCACCGTCGTCGCTGGCTCAGAAACTCGGCCGGTGCTGTTTTCATGATGCATTAGTTCTGATCTTGCAGCACCGATCACCATCGGGGAAATGACAATCTACCTTCGGGTACGTCTGTCTCGCCTTTGGAAGCCTTCACATAGGTTAGGTGCCAATTGAACCCAGCCTTTGCCACGAGTTCAAAGCAAAGGATGCGGTCCTCCGCAAGGAACATGTTCTTTTTGAAAATATTCATCCCCTCAATACCTTTGGGACCTAGCTTGGCAGATAATGTATGGTCACCGTGAAAGTATTGCTCTAAGGGGCGGCCCATGATTGCCCGGTAGCGATACGCCGAGAACGCCCCCGGGAGAACACTTACATACCCGAAGACGCTCTCCAGCGGTTTGTCCAGAATATTCGAGATCTTATATTCGAAGTTCTGGGCGGCTACCAGCGGGTTTAAAAGCTTTTCCCATTGTTGGCCCAGGAGGGCATGAATTTCGCCGCAGGCACCGCCTAAATTGCGATCATTGTAGAATGCTTCCCACAACGCAAGTAAGGACTTATGGCCCGGCTTGGTGCCCGCATCGATGAGAATACACACCTCCGGGTTCAAGATCCGGCCGAACGCGTTGAACAACCAGCGATGCGAGTTAATCTTCTTGCTATTCTGCTGTTTCAGACAGAAGATCATCTGGACCGGTGGGAGGTTATGGGCCTGGTCGTCGTCGATGCGCGGCCGGACGAGCTCCTGCGCTGGGGTTACGGACAGCTGCGTGGTATACTCAAACTGCAAGAGCGTCAGCTTGTCGCAGGTACATATCAGGCAGGGTGAGAACTCAGGACAGAACAAACAATATGGGCGACGGTCTCCCTACCATCAACATCCCGTTTCATGATCCCGTCTTGGTAAATGCCAATGGTGGCCAAGACGTCCAAAGTATCCTTATCACAGGCGCCGACTCCATCGAATACAAGGCAGACCACGATCTTCTGCCACGCGGGGCCTCCTTTGTTCCAGAACTGGCTCTTCTTCAGGTTGACAATATCACGGATGTTCTGCATCACTCCGTGGAGTGTTCGCGCGGTGAGGACCTTGTCCTCATTGTAGTATGTGATGGCGATCAATAGCTCTGTGTGCCGGTTATACATCGCTGGGCGGAGATTGTAGCCGTTGCGGAGGGTGAATTCGTCGGGATCGCATGTCGCTGCCGTATCTAGTTTGATACGTCAATATTCCTCCATATCGATAGCCTTGTTCCCTTTGCTTGTATGAATAGTCCCGACAGGGCTTACATCGTAAGTGAGTGAACTCCTCGGGTGAGATACTGGCATCATTGGAATACTGCGGCTCGACTGCATTTTGAATCGCACTTGGAACGGGGTAGTCGACGCTCAGCACCGTCCCTTTGACCAGGTTGATCTTGCGCGTTGGATATCGTCGCAGTCGACTCGCCCCGACTGTTTGGCGCTGCTGCCATCCGATTGAGAAAGAGGTCTCCTGTACATTGCTCGGCGATGGCGAGACAGGCGGAGCCGGGGTGTTCTCTCGGCTCGGTTCGTCTGTGTCTTTCACAAAGGGGTTTCCACTGACGTCGTCTGTGTATTGCTCGACCATACTATAACCGCCGGGATGTATCGTGGACGAAGTGCTGGCCGCCAAGTTGTAGGATGGGGGGTAGTCGGATTCCGCGGAAGTGGCCAGCTCATGGTCTCCGTGGTCTTGAGAATCACGCTCGTCCGCGGAGTAGGTACTGGATGGGCCAGCTCTTCCTGATCCCGGATAGAGGGTGAGTGGATAGCTGTGCTCCGGGGAGTGGTCCATGATCTCTTCAGCAACTTGCAATCCCAGGAACGGGGGTATGAACAAACAGCGGATTGAGTGAGAAACTCGATGGAGAGCAATGAGACTGAGAAACAGGTTAATCGAGACTATGCTCGATTCCGAAGACTCAGCTGTGCCCGGAACCCAGGTATGTACCTTCTGATCAGCATCCTCCTTTCCTGGACTCTCTCACGAAGTACGGAATTATGATTGAAGGTTAGCGATTGGTTTGATGATCCACCGGGTCCGAGGCAGTAAGTATTCATTGGTGAAGCGAGCCCCCTCCCTTATGCCGAACCAATGAAGTCCTGTCTCGAAGGTTTGCCGGGCACCCGCTCTTGGGCCGGGGCGATAAACCATAAGTGTGTTGAGGGATAAAGTGTGTTTAGGGATATCTATATTCACGCTCGGCGCTTCACTCTCGTTGACTCTGCTCAACTTACCTGAAACTCACCCCGAAGAGTATGCCTCGGGTTTCTTGCCACCGGTGCAAAACCGCGTAAAATTAGGCATGCCAAGACAAATTGCTCTCGCCCACTCTTATGCTCCGGGCGCACATATCGAGCGTGGTAAAATCAGACTCGATAAAACCCCGGTGGCTCGTGTTGGTGGCTTTGCTCCATGTTCACTAAGTCGAACTTGCTCTCAGCCTGCCGCCATCTTATTTCCTGAGTAAGAGCAACTGCTGTGGTGGATTCATTCTTCATGGCCTATTTTCTGCGTCACGTTCTACCGGCCCCCCCAATGACGCTCAATCTTGAACTGGAGAAGAGCAAGCCAGTCTATACAAACCATGACCATATTACGGGCCACGTGATTCTAGAGCCCCAGGCTTCCATCAATCTCTCCCAGATCACAGTCACTTTGTCAGGACACTCGATCTGTAGAATAGAGGCCTCCGGCCATAGCGAGTCGCTTCAGGTGCGTTGCAGCAATATGTTGCAATCCTGACCAGCATGCTGACCCATCCCAGCTTTTTAAAGAGACACGGCAAGTGCTCCATAGATATGGGGAGTTCAGTGCCGGCTCTAAGTCATTGACCTTGGGATCCAAGCGATACGCCTTTCCCTTCCACGTCTCGGTATTATTCCGCTCAGCCCTTCTCCATGGAAGATGTGCACCAGCTGACTGGCTTCCTAGTTCCCTCATGATCCCGACTGCCACAGACGGCACCCAAGCGATTCTTGGGAGAGCAAGTCCCAGGGAGAGCCACCTGCCACCGGCAGAATGGGACAACTTCCACCCTCGACTGGGAATCCATCCAGCAGCACGGAGATAGTCTATACGCTCAACGCAAGCGTGGTAGTGGGCAATGTGTTCAAACAGTCCATCCAGCAGGTTCGCCACGACAGACCACAACCAAGCAAGAGCATGACCCAGTAACAGTCTCAACAGTCTCGCCGAGTGTTCTACAGTCCAACAATCAGTCCCCAGCCACCTCCATCAGCCATGGCCTTACGCCGTGCAGTGGTCTTTCCCTGCACTGGCGCATCAATTCCCGACACCGCCTACCTGGTTACCATCGAACTGAGTCAAGGAGCAACTCTGAGCCTAGGCCAAAGTCTTCCGATCAGCATACAAGTCACCCGGACCGGTCCCGCAGACCACAACCTTGTTCTCAACGATTACCAAGCGATGCTGATCGAAGAAACTGTCACACGACTGAGGAATCTGACCCAAGTGCAGCGCATCTCTCGAATTCTGCGAACGGTGAGTAATCTGCAACAGACAATATTCCTCGCCGACACACCGGCTGGGAGCACAGTGTGTGTGTCAGACAGTTTATGGGGTGGTCAATCTCTGTCGGCGAATATCGTTCCGGGCTTCGAGACGTCTCGGATCCACCGCAGTTATAAGCTGGAGATACGATTGGGGTTTAACAGTGGTCCGGAAAAGGTAGGCCCGCCCCAATCCTCCTCGGGGTCGTATGTCTATGCTGGGGAGGGTCTACAGGTTGCCATGCTCATCTAACGCTTGCTCAGGTACACACACGCATCCTTGAAATCGAGTTTCCTGTTTCGGTCGTGGCGATAGCCTCCGCGTCGCTTCCTCCCACCAGTCCGCCAGTCGGTGCAAGGCGGGAGGAGTCCTTACCCGAGGGCGTACATTGGAAGAATATGAAGCAATGAGAGGAATTGTTACAGCCAGGTAGTTAGATCTTTCCATTGATATGGCATGGTCGGCTGTCTCTCAACCAATTCTACCATACTATGCCCCTCTCCTCGGAAGCAAGAGGTGCAACATCTGCATTTGTAGAGACCCCTTAACTCACTTGTAGGCCACCACCATGAAAATCGCATCAATGAGCTTTCTATGTCGAGCCCTTACTGGCAGGGTCTCAGAGCATATATTAGAGCCATCTGCACCAAGAAGGAGGCAGCCCCTGGAAAAGCTATCAACTTCCGAGCGAACTTCCTCCACAACCCAAGCCAATAGAACAAGCAGATAAATTGAAATGTAATCCTACGAGCTGGTCCATGTGGAGCCAGCTCTCCCGGTGCTTTCGTTCAACCGGGACCCGCGGGTGCCAGCTCCAGAAATTTAGACAGCGTCATACCCATAAGCCGAAGGTTCCGGGCCCTCCAGTTCATGAATAGGGGCAAATAAAAAATGCTGGGACAAATGAGAGACTCAGCCGTCTATTTTTGGTCGGTATAAGGCTCCGCCAAGCCCGCACGCGGTGGCGCTGCCTATTGCGGGGCGGAACATCGGTTGGCGGAACCCTAACTGCAGGGTCAATTTTCCAAAGCCGGCCGCGAGGGTCGGATGCATATATTGTTGTTTCGTACTGCTAGGTAGTTTGCTCAATGCACACGTACATTCTTTTCTGTCTAGCTAATTCATAAACTAGAGGTCGTGTTTCGCTCCTTCGAGTTCTATCCCATGCCTCTGCACTGTCACTCGCTTGTCCAACTCCGAACATTCTTTAGATTGACCACACTATGCGGACCAGCTTGAAGGTCTTCCTCCTCACGCTGGCCGCGGTACCAGGATGGGCAACCACCGCCAGCCCGCCGTCCTGCAGCGTCACCCAGCTCTGCCCGAAGGAATACCCTTGCTGCATCGGCGGCACCTGCGGCACAGGCACCTACTGCCTAGGCGGTTGCGAGCCGCTCCTCTCGTACTCGCTGGCCGCCTGCACGCCCAAACCCGTTGGTCACAACCAGACCTACACCTGGCCGGACCTCAACCGCACGATCGCCAACGGCAAGTACCTCGGCAACGCGTCCGCCGCAGACTGGGAGCTCAGCGGCACGCCCAAACTCTCAGATGGCCACGTCATCCTGACCATGCCCAAGGACACAGGCGGCAGTCTGCTCTCCAGCACACAGTACATCTGGTACGGGAAGGTGGCGGCGGACATCAAGACCAGCCGGGGGCCAGGGGTCGTGACGGCGTTCATCCTGATGTCGGACGTGAAAGACGAGATCGACTTCGAGTGGGTGGGCTCTAATTTGAGGGAAGTGCAGACGAACTTCTATTTCCAGGGCGTGACCAACTGTATTTCCCCTTTCCTTCCCTTCCACTTCCACTTACCATAGAGTACCGATACTGACCCCAAAAAAAGACACCAACGGCGCCAAAGCCCCCCTCCAAGGCGGAAACAGCTACGAAACATGGCACCACTACGAAATCGACTGGACGCCGTCCGCCATTCACTGGTCCGTCGACGGCACGGTGATCCGCACCCTGCTCAAATCGTCAACCTGGAACGCAACCGCAAACCGCTATCAGTACCCGCAGACGCCCTCCCGACTCCAACTCTCCCTGTGGCCCGGTGGTCGCACCGGCGCAGCCCAGGGAACCATCGACTGGGCCGGCGGGAATATCGACTGGGATTCGACCGACATCCGTGAGCAAGGGTTCTACGCCGCGGAGTTTGCGAATATCACGGTGCAGAGCTATGCGCCGCCGGAGGATTCCGGGTCCGGAAGCCGGTCGTATGTGTATGTTGATCGGGCGGGGCTGGAGGGTTCGGTGAGGATCACGGATAATGGGACTGTTTTGGCGGACTTGGGGAGGACGGGGTTGGATACCGGGATTGATGAGGGTTCAGCGTCCGGGGGGCACGGGGGTAAGGGAGGTAGTGCTTCAGGGACGGCGGCCGCGGTGCAGGGGACTGGGACTGGGACGGGGTTCGCGCAGAAGGTGGCTAGCAATTTGGCTGCGCCGGGGACGGAGGGCTCGTGGAGGGGGTTGGGGCTTGTTGTGCTTCTTGGTGTGCTTGTGCTTGGGTGAGGTCTATGGAGATGTGGATGTTTCTGTGGTTCTTTTATTTACACCAGGAGGGCTAGGTTGTCAATGGGGGTGTAGACGATACTACTGCTTTGAGTGCATGTATATAAGATGGTGGGTGAAGATGTATTGGCCTTCCCTTTCATTGTCTCTAAATATGGATACTACCGAACAAGATTCCTAAGATTGAGATCAGAAAGGAGGCCCAAGTGGTGGAAAATTGCCTTCGACGGTCAGGCAGCAACCGGCTTTTCCTGGTGGTCGACGAGACATCAGACAGCCATACTGGTGGAAGGAATGGTCTCGGGGCTGATAGTCGAGTCAGCTTACGTTCAGGCAAGTCAGATCTAGAGAACACACCTGAGTAGGAGATTGTCTAGACTATGGTAGGTATGTAATGTGCTAAATTTACTTAGCTACTAAGCTATTAGTATGTACCAATTGCAGGAAGAGGAGCAGACTAATCTATTCTGAGGCTACTTGCTATATTAAGCGCTAGTGCTGACTGCGAAGCACGTACAGTACATACACTAGTGCTGAGCACGACAAGGGCCAGGAGTGATGTGGAACGGAGTTTGCTGCCTTGATCTACTTGTGATGTTCTCTGCCAAACGTATACGATCGCCTAAGACGTCAAGAAAGATCAATGTTCTCGGACTTTGCATATTGTCTTTAGTATAGGCGAAAAGACGTACGATCCCATGGAGGTTTGTCTTCTTTCGGATTGCGATTTTCTGCAGGATCTTAGATATTTTGACGTGACGGTCACTAACGGCCGAGGCTCTTGACGAGCCCTTGGTCTGCCTGCTGAAGAGCTTCGGTTGACTTAAACTTCCCCTGGCCCAATGCGGCCCAAGGAGCGATGGGCATCTGCTGGTCGCGACGCATCTGAATAATGTCGCCCTCTAAGTCAAGAAAACCAGCATTCCACTTGCCCTGGTAGACTAAGAACGGGCACATACCGTTTGCCCGAGCGTAATCGTTTGTTTTGACAACAATCCAGGCAGGGGTGTCGAAGACGCCAGGTACAGGACTTTTCCAGCAGTAATCAAACAGTAATCAAAGAAATGAGGCCTTGCATGACCTCCTCAACAGACTTCGTAAAGTCCCACCAGTGGACTTAGAGCAAGTTAATGTAATGTCTTTGGAGCTTTTTCAATTTCGGCTCAACGGAGATTCGCATGCTCTTTACAGAGCTGCCGACATAGTTTGAGTGAAGAGGCTTATCATTGTGATGGCTGGTGCGAAATGCCGTAGTATTCTCTTGACATTATTATCTGTCCTCTGTGCTGTCGGGCATTGCGTTGCTGTATATATATATCGAATGAAATATTATAACAAACAAATAAGTTGTTTAAAATATAGATATAATAAAATTTGTTTTGTAATAGCTATTAATATATACTAGTATTTAACTAGTATTATATCGAAAATATCAAAACCGACTACTTTGATATTTTTATTTTTAGTTATTAAATTATCATTAGAATGGCTGACAGTTACCAGCAATAGAACTTATTTAGAAAAATAGAGCTTATTTAATTAGATTTTGTTTCTAATATAACAGAATATTTTGGTTATACATAGATAGATGACAAAACACGTATAGATTGAAAATAAAAAAATAAATAAGACAGGTTGCCCTTTTCGGGGCTTAAGGTCGTTATGGCTATATCCGAGTGGCACTTCGATAGGTCCCTCGCCCGCTACGCGCAATTCAGACACACCATGAACATGAAATAGACTGGTTAACTCTCATCAAAGCCATTGGCACCATCCATATTTCAGGCGTCCAGGGAAATACATTACTCAGATGGGCTCTGCATGGGGCGACCAGATGGCAGAGGTGCATAATCGAGCCAGGATCTAACGGTGGGTCCAGTTGAACGAACCAACTCAAAAGGCCATCGTAACTGGTTAGGGCGAACTTGCGATTGGCATTGCCCCGCGACCGACAAAGCGCGCGCGGTTGCATTGGCAACAGAATATCTGGCGAGCATGATGGAAAGACACTTGCGGATGTCCGAGACGAGTGAGCTTGTGGGGAATCAACTTCGTTGGCGGGTTCCGGTCGAGGTCGATGGAAGCGCGGAAAGTGTCGAGTTCGGCGTTGAATTATCGGAAGAGAGGTGGCAAACGGACCCAATCTCTCTCACCTCCATGTTATCCCTCTGGCTCTTCCACGCAAAGCAAACGGAGAGGTTGGCCAGGACATGTGCCCAGCCGCGTAGTGCTTGGTCGCTCCGGCCAACTTTGGCAGCCACAGTGGTCTAAAAGAGAGACTGCGCTCCGTCAAGAATTTCAGCACCGGTGGCAGGCGAATCGCAAGGCAGAAAAGGGTTGTGCTGTATAAGTGGGAGGTGTCAAGGAACTTGATTGCTGGGTTTCAGGAGAGCTTCCAACTCCCCAGGCAGTCTTAAACACCGCCTACAGCCATAATATCCGCAGTCCAGACACGGGATGAAGCGGTCGCTCTGTCGGTTGCAGTCAATATGAAGCACAATGACGCCATTGCCCTCGGTTACACCCCGGCCACTGTGAGTTTCAAGGATGTCACCACCCTCTATGCCTTCCACATCTTGGCAGGATTCACGTGGGCATTGGCGAATTGATAGGATACCCCCGGGAGTGGGCCCAGCAAGGCGGCGGGAGTAGCCCCCGTGACAGCTATCAAGAGTCTGACCGATGCCATTTGACCACATGGTCGGCAGGATGTTTTATTAATGATTATTCCACCACTGCGCATCTGGCTACGGTCAAGGACTTAAAAGCAGGGCCATTGTGAAAGACTGAGGTTGAATCTACTCAACTTTTACGTGTGTTTCGACTTGAGGATCTGCACAAACCCCAATAGAATTTGGACAAACAGAAGCTGATGACCCAGGTGCTGGTCTCCGAGCTCGGCACTTTCATGTTGCCCGGCGAGCATGCAAGTGCCTATCTCAACGAGGCCAGCTTCCACACCCCGGATTGGCAATCAATCTTTATTCCGCGAACTATGACCGGCTCCGGTCTGTCAAGGTCAACTCCGATGCGGACCAAATCTTCTATGGCCGCACTGCAGCGGGAAGTGAGCGATGGGTGGAGGATGAGGATGTCCGCTTGTACCGATCTTTTTAAGAGCAAAGGTCAAGACAGGAAACTAGCGGATTTATCCCGTCGGATAACAACCACATGGCATTGATCGGGTTACGGTGTTGTAATGTTGCGATATTGCAAGATGCTTGTTCTTGTCCGATCTTCTGTACCTAATATGAAAAGATATAGCGGCCACTGCACTCTGCACAAACAAATTCTGCCGGCAGAATAGCCAGCAGGACAATCAAGCCCACGTACAAACCCCAACAACCTTCAGAGAAAATGAGAAACAACAGGTGCCCGCTACTTAAGATCCCGAACAACAGTACTTTCGACCCCTAGATATCCTAATCGTGAGGGAAACTGTTTTTGCAGAGTGGCCGCTAACTTGTATCCTTCCGAAGCACCTACGATAAGATACTACTCGTCGCTGCGGCGCCCCACCACCTTTTTGATAACGCAACGAAGAATCATCCAATTCCACCCATTTTTCCACCGAAACGATGGCCGATGATTATAAATTGAAGAGGCAAGTTATATGGCCGTTGCCCTATCAGTCCATCATATAATTGAAGCCGGAGAAAGGGTCAAAATCGCCGAAATCGCAAGGAACCAGGAGTTGAACTACCAACGCCTCCGAAACCGTGTCATGGGAAAAGCCTCACGTTCAACCCGAAAACGCGTCGGTTTACGTCTCAATGACGCGCGGTATGAGGTCCTTTTTGAGTATATCGACTTCATTGACGACTGCGGGCCGCCGCCGGAGCATCTGTACAAAAAGGAGAGGTTTGAGCGGTGGTTTGTGGGGTACCAGAAGGAGTGTTTGGGCTACGGGCGCGAGTCGTGGCGGGATGTGCCGCCTTTGTATTAGACGTTGGCATTTATCAAGATGGAAAACAAAAAAGGAACAAACAGTACAAAATAGAAGCACCGAGAATGAGAGGCTTGAGATCATACGGTCTTATAGAATGGAGAAGATTTCAATGGGCAGATGATGGATTTCAATTCCTAGCTAATAGAACGAAAAAAAAAAGGAAGTAGGGCACCTTTCAGACCTCCTCGACGCCCACCAAGTCAGACCGACCGAGGTCAAGACGTCACGACAAGGTAAAGATCATCACCACTCCCTGGACCAAAGCGCCCGTCCAGATGGCGGGAATCAGTCCGACGAACGGAAGATTCCCAGCCATCGGCGCAGACACGGTCGAGTCGGGAGTAAAACGGCTTCACTTTAGGGCATCGAGGACATAGAAGTCATCAGCAAGGGTGAGGATTCTGTGGCTCTTTAGAAGAGCTCAGAGGTGGGACGTCTACTCTAAAGTGATTCTTTGAACTGCATGCGAGGAAGTGGTTAGTGAGACTGTTCATCATGGAGGTTATCTGGTGGTTCGGGATGTAAACCACCAAGGTAGGGGGAGGGATCACTCACGTAGAGTCGCTTGAGTTTCAGAAGAGGGTCGGGGGACGGGCGGATTATATACCTGCTCGATTTTTCGCGGTCGCGCTAGTGGTTAAGCGAGCCAGAAGCAGGCGGCAATATGCGTTACAGTACCGGACTGTAATTAACTAGCCCCTTAGCGGAGACTGCGGGTCAGTATCGTCACACAATGTAAATGAGTAAAGACCACTGCATCCGTTCTCAGTGCCCGTGAATTTGGAAGAGGGGATGACTAAGGCACCCTCCGTGGCCACGAATTTCACACTTCTCCGCGCTCCACTGGTGGGAGCAATAAGTAAATCTGGCTGTAATCTACTGTGTTGTTTACATACAGAATATGTAGAAGAGACATTGCTTACGGTGCAGACTGTATCTATATTACAGGTCTTTTATAAGACACTATTCGGATGTGGCTGCATATCAACTTTGGGGAATCGTGAAATTTGGTGGCCACGGACGGTAGGAGTTTGGAGCTGGGTGGTGGGATCTTTCGCACATCCATGATGCAATTAAAGACACTGTGGACCGCACCTCGAGCCCAGTGGATACACATCTTGAAGGGTGGATTTGCAACTGATAAGTAGACAGAATCTCAATCCAAGCAACTATAGAAAAAGTCACTCATACCAGTCGCCGCTGGAACTGGATCAAATCTCAACGTCTGTCACACCCACCCTGTTTCTCAGCCCTTCGGAACATCTACAATTTTCAATTTCGAGGCAGATAAGAAGAATTAAGGACTATTTCAACAAAACCAACCGAGTAAGACACCAATGGAACATCATGTCATATACTCATTATGTACGGGTATAAAGAAACTCCTAGCTTCTGAGGGCCCAGACACGACCTAGCGAAACGACCAGCCTATCCATTCACACAGCTTTCACTCGCCGGCAACGCATACGAATCCAGTATATGCGGGTTCGCACGGAACTGCGGGCTAGAGACAATCTCCTTGACTGGCGACACGTCGCGCTCCCGGATAGATGACCCTCCCCGATCCGCGTCTTCGGATGATGCCTCGAAATTCCGGGCCATAAATCCCATCAAGCTCTGCAGCCCAGCCACCTGATCCTCCTCGGGCGCGTCATTCAAGGCGCGCAGCCCCTCCGCAAACACGGACGGCATGTAGTACAGCACCACCGCGGGCCGACCGTTGTCGGCGTCATCGTCGCAGCCGTCGACGTTGAGTCCGCGCACGAGAGCGTCGCGGGTTGCATGGGACAGACCATGAAACGCCTGCTGAAACCGCTCCGCGGTCCGCCGATCCGCGACGCGGCCCATGGCAAAGAGGCGAAGCAGCGCCCGATCGGAGGGGGAGGTCGCGACCGACAGATCCCGGAAGCCCTGATCCGCCAGAATTCGGCCGCGGTTGTGCAGAACCTCATCGTATGCATCCCGCAGGGAAGTGCGGCCCGCGATCACCCGCTCGAGAATGGGGAAGGCCTGCAGAAAGGACTGACATACCGGCTCCGTCATGCTGGTGGCACCGCCCGCGTCCAGGTGCGCAGCAGCACCGGCCACGTCAAACATGATCTCCATGTATTTGAGAAGAAAGGCTGAAGGGTGGCCTTGGAACCGAAGAATCCGCTGCAGGCTTCCGGGCACGTTTTCCCCTTGCATCAGCTGGGGGATATTCAGCGTGGCTCCGACGTGAATTCCCAGGATCACATCCTCGCGGCGGGCTGGGGACAGGAGCTCCAGTGGTCCGTCGAGTAGACCCAGGCCTACGGCGTCGGCGAGAAGCTCGTCGTGGTTGCCCGTGTTCGTGTTGGTGTCCCTGGTGGCCTTGGGTAATGGTGATGGTGAGGATGATGGCATTGATGCGCGGCGGGCGGCAATATCGCCGGCCAGCTGAGGATCTTTGCCAATGTCACCCACCAATAGCGCCACGATCAAAGCCATCAACTGCTCAGCATCGGTGAGAATGGGGTCTGCACGGAAACGAAACTGCCGAAAAGTTCCGACCGAGAGACGGACTGCGGGGGACTGGTGGGCCGTGAACACATCATATTGATCGGCCATCAACCACTTGACTGAGAGAATGTTGGTGATAGTCCGGTTAATTTCACAGAAATCCTCGCCGAACAGGAGGCGGGATGGTGTTAGTAGCGCCACGTCACGCCCGTTCTTCACCATTATGGTGCCAGCCGGGACTGTCCCATCCTCCCCTTCTCCCTGGCGCCGCGGAACGCGCTTCAACCGCTCCACTTCAGGGGCAAATTCCTGGTGCAGTAGCCGCACTAGAGCCTCATCACCCAGAGAACTTAACTCGCCGTGCTGTACGATACCTGTCAAAGACGACGATTGCAGGCTTGTCATCGTGCGTAACCCCCAGCGCTTGAGATGCATCAACTTGGGGAAAATCATCTAGACGCATCGCGTAACAGAAAAAATATGAAAATCGAAGAAAGAACATACACAAAGACGAATGAAGACTTAATAAAGAGGATTGGCTGGTAGGCACGGAGAGTAGCCCAAGGCCAGCCTCATGGCGGGGAATGCGCGCCGTGAGAGATCAGCCTTGTCAAATTAGTTAACTAGCTTGAGGTGCTATGACGAATTGCAATCAACTTGGGACTAGACTGCTGACTCAGACACAGTTAACTAAGATTAGTCAGTTAGTTAGGCCACCCACTAATCAGTCAGCGGGCGGGCTATCCGGACCTATCGCTCATCGGTAGCACCGAATCTCTAAGTAATAAACGCACAAACCTCGTATTCTATACTAGAATTGCACCTTAGCCCATTCCGTTGAAATTTCACGTAGTCTAATGCATCATATCTACCCTTCTGCCAGAGAGGTGCACACACCCGGCCGAGGGCGTTAGCCTCCGTCAGCCATATACAACCTAACCCCAAAAAAATTAAAAAAGAAATGAAAATAAATATAAGGGCACAGTGGTAGGAAGTGAATGAGCCCTTTCCCTAAAACAACATCGACTGCACCGGCCGCCATCTACTCAACAATGGGAATAGCCCTGGCGCGCACTTCCTTCGACTGCTGCCCCTGGGCGACGACCGCCTTCATCAGCCGGTCCTTACAACCGACCGCGTCCCACTCGATATTTTTGACGTTTTGGAGGGCCTCGGCCAACCATTGATCCCACGCCTCCGTCAGGGGAGCCACATCCCCGCGCCGTACCCACCTCGTGTCCCCAGCATGGTGAATCGCAAGCCACAGGGCCTGCGTGAAGTTCTTGACGGGAAAATGATCCAGCGGGACCTCGCACACGTCGTAGCGTGTCAGGTCCCAGATGTCGCGCGGCTCAACGAGCAGGGCCAGCAGCCAGTACAGGACGTTGAGGACGACGTAGGCGCTGCCGACGGCGATCTGCATCTTCCAGCCGCAGTTGCTGAAGAGGATGACGGCGGCCATGAGCAGCAGGGTGCTGGAGGCCAGGAGCATGCGGTGGCGGAAGCCGGAGAAGCGGTACTGGCAGTCGTCCATGCCCGTGTACAGCTCGCGGCAGACATCCTCGTCGGCGCAGTGGACAATTACAAACGCCCCCGCCCGCGTCACGAGGGCCACATCCGCGGGCGGCACTTCGTTGCGGGCCGTGCGCAGCGACACCCGCGGCGACCATTGCGCCGACAGCGTCGCCGCACTCGTCGAGCAGCACATGGCTGTCAGAGCCACTAGGGCCACTCCGTCCCCGAGGACCCCACCGGCTATTAACAGCCCCGCGGAAATCACGACGGACAACAAGGTCACCACATTCAGCCACGAAAGCGATCGGATCTTGATGGGACGGAGAGGGGGGGTTTCCTGGCCTTCGAGCCGAACATGACCGTGATCCTTATCGTTATGAGCGACTCGAGGGTCCCGGTGTCCGATGCAATACACTTTGACCGTAAACGGTGGCAGACTGGTGACATCGTCGTGCAATAAATTTGTGAAGTAGTTGAGCTCCGTCACAAAGTTTCCGGACTGAATCCCAATCACTTTGACGTCCTTGACTGCCGGCAGTCGGTGCGCGCGGTCGGTGCGCAGGAGAGTTTCGGGTGCGGGAAGCAGCCGCGGAATCGGGCTGAACGGAGAGGCGGTGATTGCTGGGAGATGCTTGTCCGTCGCTGACCCGCCAATCACTGCCAGTAATCCGACAATATCGAAGGACCAGCCGTCGGAGTCGGAGTCGAGGTTCGTGGGAAACCAGCCCATTCTGGGGGGATAAATGTGGTGCTTTGATTGAAAACGGAGATCGGGAGGGAGGCCGGGGATATAGACGGTAGAAATGGATGGAAGGAAAGGTGGGGGGAGGAGGAGAAGCCAGCACAATATAAGGGCAAGTTTCGATCCCACCTCGCAGGGGTCTACAAACCTCCCCTCCAACTGCACAGTGCTAACCAAGTCAAGAAAAAGATACCATGCAGCGTGGACGACTAGTAGCCGCCGTCCATCGGCTAGCAGGGATCATAGATCACAGCGCACCTCCCAGTATTGAGGCGGCCAGTCGACTGCCCTTCCCCCCTCCTCATTGTGTACATTTAACTTCAGTCCTAGCGCGCTCTTCCCAGAAGCTTTGGTTGCATTGGAGAGATGGGAGTTGACAAGGCCATGGTTCTTGACAATTGACTGAATTGCTTTTTTGCTTTTTTGCTTTCTTGGTCTTTTGGTCTTTTGCCTTTGGTTTCTTTCTTTTTCTGTTTGTTTTTGAGGTGACGAGATTGCCCAGCAAGGAAGATATGGGGGCGGCCAGGTCTCGGAGCTCGGATCTAGACAAGCATTAGTGTGGCATACTTTGGTAGAGGGTGCTAAATTCTGGCCAGGGACGAATTGATAGGTGCTTCTAAAGCGGGTGCTATTTAGGCTAACGCGCATAGGTCAACAGCAGCACTCATACACAATTTTGATTAGACTGCACTCAGCCTGGATCTATATTTGGACATCCTTGAAACTAGCGAGATTGAATGACGGATCGGGTGGTGACAGAAGACCACAAATCACGTGGTAGACGGTTAACTACCAAAGCTATGAAAAGTTATGCGGAGACACAAGATGTTATTTTCAACAACAGACTAAACTATGAAAATATGTGACCCCATCAGTTACCTGTAAGATGGGCTCTGGGGAACACTATTGCTTTCGAGGATATCTCAAGGCTGTTTCTTCGGGGCCGCCCGGCCCTTGGGCTCCTTGTGGTCGCCGTAGGGAAAGGGCAAAGCATCCTTCTCGACGGGCGCACTCGTGTAGTACCGGTGCAGCATCAGGCCGCCGGCGATGACGGCGCAGACGGTGTAGATGGTGCGGTTGTTGCGGCCGCCACTTTCGACTCTTTCATCAGCAGAATAGGCAGAGCTTGGTGCGGGACGTACCGAAGAACGGGGGGCATTCCGCCTGCTGCGAATGCTGCCATTTCTTCTGTAGTCTCCTCTTACTTATTTTGGGGTGGGTCAGTGGGAAGTTCGTTGCGTAGATGGGGACAGGTTTGACATGGTGTACTCGGTGTCGGAAGAAGGGGAAGGGTGGAGCTGCGTATATATGTCTGGGGCGGGGATCACGCGGTTGACAGTTGCCACTCTCCACTACGTACCACTTACCAGGACACTGGAGGGGAGTCTTTGTGTGAGGTACGAGTCTGACATCATTAGATTTTGGTTATAGGTCTGGACCAGAAATCGGGTGGTGATGTAGCCATGGGTGGGATCCGGGGCGGGTGTGGCATGTGTCCTTGTGTCACTTTGGCCTTGTCAAAACATACAAAAGTACCTTAATGAGTTAAGATGAGTTTGTGAGCAAAACTTACGGCTTCATCTCACCCGGATAAGCGAAATCGATAGATCTCATTCAAGCATGTCGATCACTGGGCCCGACTCGGTCAGATTGACGCTTCCTTTGAAGCCACATTCCAGCCACACCCCCTCTTTAAAATCCACGTCAGCCTGCTTGCTTACTTCTGCTTCCATAATTCTCCCACAACCAAGAAAATAATCATGGGTATTAGCAGTTGGACCGGTGCATGCGTGAGTTGCCCTGAATGATTGTTATCTCTTGTTGCTGACGGAATGAGGATCAGTGCCTGGGTCTTCATCGACTCCTCGGCGCAAACCAGACGTTCTCCGTAGGCACCGCAGCCTACAACGCCTCCCTTGCTTCCTATTTTGCCCAGCAGGAGTCGCAACTGTACCCCAGTTGCATCGTGGCCCCGACCACTGTCGATGATGTCTCCACTGCGGTCCAATACCTGACCGCCAATGCCACCTGCGACTTTGCAATCCGATCAGGCGGCCACAACGTAGTCGAGGGGGCGGCTAATATCGCCGACGGGGTGACCATCGATTTGAGCGGCTTCGACTCGATCGAAGTCAGTGATGGGCGGTCCACCGTGACTGTTGGAGTCGGTGCCACCTGGGGTGATGTCTACAAAGCGCTCGACCCGCTCAACCTCACGGTAGCCGGCGGTCGCGTCGGGCAGGTGGGCGTGGGCGGACTGACCACCGGGGGCGGCATCTCCTACTTCTCACCCCGCTACGGCTGGACCTGCGACACAGTCGTCGACTTTGAAGTTGTGCTGGCAAATGGATCTGTCGTTCATGCCAATGAACAGGAGAACCCCGAGCTTCGCGTCGCCCTCTGTGGAGGATCGAACAATTTCGGAGTTGTAACGCACATCCAGCTGACGGCCATCGAGCAGGGCCAGATATGGGGCGGGTTGGCCTACTACTCCTTCGACACGGTTGACGAGCAGCTGCAGGCGACGGCTGATTTCAGCGACGCTGATACCTACGACGACTTCGCGTCGTTGATCGTCAGCTTTGGCTTCTCAGGCACACAAGGCGCCGCGCTTGTCAACAGTTTGGTGTACACGAAGCCGGAGGCGAATCCGCCTGCGTTTCAGCCCTTCACTGCGATACCTTCGGCGATCAACACGTTGCGCTTGACTAATATGTCCGATATCTCCACGGAGCAGGGCTCATTCCAGCCGAATGGCGAACGGTGGGTTCTCTTTGCCTTTTCTTGGGTCGGGACTAATTGAAGTGTGCGTCAATAGTCAGCTATGGCTCGTCACGACCTTCTACACCAGTGTCCCCATGCTCAACGCGACCTACTGCCACTGGAACGAAAGTCTGACCGCCGTTCAGGATGTGGCTAATGTAGGATGGTCGTTGTCGCTGGAGCCGTTGCCGCCCGCCATCTATGCCCGACACAGCAGTGCTAACTCGTTGGGGCTATCGGAGACAACCGGATCCCTGATGATCGCACTGCTGAGTGCCAGCTGGGTAGACGAGGCGGATGATGCGCGAGTGGAGAAAGCCGCTCGTGACCTCATTAAAGAAATTGAGGATGACGCTCGCGAGCAGAAGGCTTACCATCCTTTTAAGTATCTGAACTATGCAGCCCAGTGGCAGGATCCGATCTTCAGCTATGGCGCTGACAGTGTCGAGCGACTGTGGCGAGCTGCTTGGTCAGTGGATCCCGACTTGGCCTTCCAGGACCAGGTCCCGGGTGGGTTCAAGCTTCCTGTTCGATGAAGTCATTCCTGTGACACGCGGCCTAGACTTGATAGTTAAGATATGGTATCGAGACGCTAGACGGGTACATAGCAGGTCACTTATATAATTATACAAGAGCATAAGTTGAGAACCAATTTACTTCTGTTCGCTGCTTGTCGGCGGCGGGGATACCAGCGAGTTTTACGTGCTGTACAAGATGTACTTGCAATCACCGGAGAACCTTTTGCACGCCACTCTCTAGGGTATTTCATGGCGGTCATTTGGCTAGGACTACTTACATACTGATAGTGTCAGCAGATTCACAGTGAGGCGTCCTTCATGAGGTTGTGTATAGGGGAGAGATCAAATAGGGGTGCGTGGGCGCGCAGTGTGACCTTTGTGAACTAAAGAAAGAGGAACGCAAACTCATTTCGCCCAACTGGAGATACAGAAGAAGGTTGCAATGAATGCTTGTATACTTACTACAATCAGGACAGAAGGGAATCGGTTCAAGTTTCTGTGTACAACGGAAGTGATCGCCGAGAATGACAGTGTCAAGATTTCTCGAGGTCGGAACCGGTATTTGCCCCGAATTTCTTGGACAGGGCAATTAAACTTTCGCGATGTTGGCAACAAGCGGAAGGAATCATACGACGGTAAGACTTTTCGAGGCGATGGCTACACATCACTCAAACAAGCTTGGCTCGGGTGACAGTATATAGCGAGTGTCTTCAAACACGAGCTGCCCTACAGTCAGTGGCCCTCAGCATCTCGAACTCCAAAGAAGTATAACCATGAACAACGCCTCCGAATTCAATACGCCACCACCCAAGACATCCATTTTCCTTCTCAGTTTTCCCGTACCCAAAGTCCTGCTGGTCACTATCAATCGTGAGCAGCAAAGGAACTCCGTTCCCGTCGTGGGACACTCGGAGGGCTTGCAGATTTGGCACTGGTTCGATGACGAGCCGTCGCTCCGCGTGGGGATAGTGACAGGAAAAGGCACTAAGGCCTTCTGCGCGGGCGCTGATTTGCTGGAGCAGCGAGACCCGCCTAGCCACTTCAACTTCGCAGCCCCCGTCCCCGAAGATGGGTTCATGGGACTCAGTTTGCGTCGGGGAAAGAAGCCCGTGATCGCGGCGGTGAACGGAATGGCGCTTGGCGGGGGGTTTGAAGCGTGCCTGAATTGATGGGTAGACGCGCCCCTCAATCCAAAGAGTTGGAGAAGCAGGAACGCAATGACCACGGCTAATCATCTTCCATTATGAATGTGTAGTGATCTCGTCATCTCCTCCCCAGAGGCCGAATATGCTCTGCCGGAAGTCCGCATTGGAGCGTTCGCGGCCGGCGGGGGCTTGGCTCAGATTGTTCGGGCGTGTGGCCTGCAGATCGGGAGTGAATTAGCATTGACTGGACGACGAATGTCAGCTCAGGAGGCAAAGAGTCTGCGGTTGGTCAACATTATTGCCAAATCGCCCGAGACGGTGGTGGATGAAGTGATCACGCTGGCGACACAAATTGTCAACGTCTCGCCGGACTCGGTTGTTGTCAGTCGATTTGGGTTGAACGAAGCTATGGAGGTTGATACTATCGAACGACTCACGCGCCGCACGACGAAGCAATACGGAAGAGCTCTCATGCGGGGCGAAAACTATCGAATTGGCGTGGAGGCGTATGCGAACAAGAAGAAACCAAAATGGGTGGACTCGAAGCTGTGATCAGTGTGGTTGAAGACGTTTGTGTTTGATTCTTGCATATCTTGAGACGAAAGATGACGAAGGCAGGAATGAACTTGACGGAGTGTAGAGCGAGTAAATGTAGCGAGGAATCAGTGATCACTTGACCAGAGAATATGGCCCGTTCGCAATGAATGTTTGAGGGCACTGGGATCGTGACTTCCTCCTTGCTAGTCTGCCGTTATATGGGAACAAATTACTTCTGCTGAGTCCATCCTTTAGTAGTTCTTCTACTCAACATTTCTTCTTCACGCCGCTTTTGTCCCCTGTCGCGTGTGTTTTTTTATCAAGATTGCAGCTCTAATGTAGCAGTATTAACGACGAACAAGCGAAACCGTCCCGCAGCCGATTACTCCCTCCCCAAAGCCAGTCCGAGATTCTGGTCGCGCGCCGACATCGTTGGCAGTCAGTAACAGGCTCATGAGTTTGCATTTGAGCAACGGTGTTTCAAGGGTTACAGAATATGAAAAAGCAGGCGGTGTCTGACAACCCGCTCACTTATCTTCAAGATGGCTGATTCGACTCTTAGACTGGACAAAGGATGGCTCCAAGCGGATACACTTCCTTCGAAGACTTCGACAAAGTACATTTCGGGTTCACATCGCGGTACTGGAACAAACCGCGAGATCCTCGAATGGTCCGCAGTGCCCATAGAATCTCGCACGTGGCAGACCTGCAAGGCCCAGTGCTGGGTGGCTGGATAGAAAGAACAACTCCTCGGCCCGGAAGTGGTACTTGAGGCTGTCCTCTTTTGTGTCGCGGAACTCTTCTATCCACTAGACAAAACATGAGACGAATGAGTACAACCTCGATTTGTGTCTTTCCACTTATAAACGAGATGTTCATTCCTGCCATGGACCGATGCAGTTAATTAATGCAAGTCAAACCCGGACTCTAAGTACCTAACAGTCTTCAACATGCCTCCAGGTCATCTGAGCTCATCACACTCGCGATAGCCCCCAAGGAGTGTATTAAGCCGGACACAACATCCACCGCATCAAAAGCTTGGAAAACCGGGGTCGAGAGCTGCAGATGGGAGGGATACATGGTTCTACTGACAATGGCGTCCAAGGAGCTGCACAACAGGGTCCGGAAGAGAAATCCTCTAAGAGAATGTCAATTGCGAGGGGTCCTGTTCGCTTTAGCAGGAAGTTTGGAAAACAGACTTTCTGTATCAGCAGCATCCCGGCATCAGCTGATTCGAAGAGCCCAATGGCGCAGTCTCTTGAGTGGGAATTCCGATCGGTAAATTGGCTTTACAACCGGGTGTCAATTTGTCTTTGAGGCTCGGTGGGCTGGCCGTAGGCTCTTCTTGGATCGATTGCTTAGTCGCTGGCCACACTGGCTCAACGATTGAAATCGGGGCTGGTTAATCTCCGTCTTTACTAGAGATTCCCCGGGCCATATCTGAGCCGAGGTTTCTGTTTTCATTGCGTTCCGTTTCCGTACGATTTGTAGGTCCTTCTATGCTGGACTTCATTGTCAAGGGTGAATTCGCTTCGCCGCGTGGAAGCGACCGTTGGCTCTTCCCCTGTTGCACCCTCTTTGCCTTGGTTATCCTTAGCTAGCTTCCCTACAAGTAATTCCAGTTCCGAGCTTGGGACAATTGCGGTCGCAATTGCAAGTTGACGAGGCTTCTATTTTCGCAATTGTCGCCCTCCTACCGTTCTTCTTGTTGGTGTCGTACCCACCTCTTGTGTCAGAGCGCACACCAGGCAACTCCTCAAAGCCTTACTGCTGTCTATCTCGCAAGCGACACTCCTCTGACTGCCTACCACTTCATCTGCCAGACATGTAGTATTCCAATTCCCCAGTCCGCCAATTCCCAGGTCAAGAATTGATGTACCTTGGGATAGGCAAGGCGAGCTCTCCCAGGAGAGAGCAATATGCGTCGTAGGCCACCAATTCAAGATAGACGGGCGATTGAAACTTGATTGGAGAATAAAAACACTCATCAGGCAATCTTAACTCAGGTCATCAATCACGACATATAGATTTCATACGCTCCTAGTCGACTAATGCGGTTGTATGACCATTTAGCAAGACCTTGAACCCATTCGAACCGGGGCGTGGGAGCTTGCCCTTTTATAGAAGCCCAAATGCCCCCACCGTATCGAAAAGCCCCACAACCCACCCCACACTTATCAGAATGAAATCGGATCAAGATCCATGCAACGATCTAGGCTTTTTACGATGGAACCCGATAAAAAGGGGCCAGAAACGAGTGCCTGAAAGCCACAAGAGAGGGGCTGAAGCGGCTGGTCACGAAAAAGACCAGGAAAAAAGATAAGTCTCCGAAGCCGGGAGTCGAACCCGGCCCTGCGCTCCATGAAAGTGAGGCCCAAGCAGGTACGTGATCCTACTTGAGGGTTCTAGCGTCTCGCCGTGCTACCGCAACACTACAACGGAGACTTATTAAAAGTACAGTAGCTACAGGGGGGTATAACCCAGCAGCCGTAACCGTTTTGTCGCTGTAGAGGGCCCCCGCGCCATGCGATTTGTCTCAGATGCAGATAGAACATGCTGAAGGGTGTGCGCCAGCGATGGGCTTTTTTAAAGCGAAAAAATCCGATGGATAGGGATGATTTGGCTCGTTTTTCGTGATGGATAGACTGGACGAGTGCTACGAGGGTGTACAGGACCTTGAAGGCGAGAAATGGGGGTGGGGGGGGGTGACTACATCACTCGCTGTTTGCGGTGCGCTGGGTCTTTGGAACCCCTTGATGGTGGTGTGGTTAGTTGTTTGGCTTATCTGGGAAAAGGCCGGGGTTCGAGCCCTTTGAAGGGCATTGTTTTCTTCTTTTCCGGCAGTGTAGCGCAGCGAAAGGATGGATGGTCATGATGAGGAAAGAGCGGGAGTCATGGGGAGGGAAGGGGAGGGGTTGCCTCATCTTTATATGCTGTTGCGGCGGGTGGGTCCGACCCGGGGTTGCGTAGCCGAGGTGGGGGCCCGTCCCGCACATTGGCATTGCTTTCTTAGATCGTAGTTATTGGGTAAAGTTCACCTGGCACTTGGCGGAGCGCACCAGTTGTGCCGATGCGGTTATGCACACCGAGCAGTAATATGCTACTGTGCTAATTCATTTACTGGATCCTAGCTTGAAGAGTTTGACGGCTTCCAACTGCCGCCCTGGAACTTTGGAGACTGACGAAGGCCTTCTGCTCGGACTAGATATGATCCCTAGGAAAACGTACTGTGCAATATGCATTCGAGGGACCCATGTAGAAGTGTAACCACATCACTTCCAGGCTGTTGGTGAGTTGATATCTTCTAGTACAGCATTAGAATTATACTAGAAACATTTGACACATATCGATCTCGCAGCTGGCCCGCAACTTGACGCGTCGATTAAGGCGGCCTTCGAGGTCGCGCCCCCAAAGTCGACCAGCTCCTCGCAAACTCCTCTTGTTTTCACGAGTGAAAATGACGATTGCTCGTTTGTTCCTTCTCCTGAGATAGATTACTCTTCCCAAACACCTTCTTTTCCCGGTGTCACCAACAACGAATCGCCTCAGCCTAATTGTTGGGAGTCGCCACCGGGCGACTCAGATATCGCCGATGAAGTTCGTGCGCTGGCACAGAGCCTTGGCCAAGTTTCCCTCCATGAGGACTCCCGGCAGACTTACTATCTAGGTACCTCAACTGGTGTCCTTTTCGCGCATCTTATCAGTGCCAGTACAACCGGATCTCGTGATCCCTCAGGGCCGGTAGTCATTGAAGAAGAGAATACCCAGGGGGATGTCTCCTTCGAGAGGTTGAGAACCACATTGTTACAGGTCTGAGTGATGTCCCGTGATGGTGCTCGCAGTGAACTGACTCAAGACACAGGAGTTGCCTCCCCGCGATCGGTGTCAAGACTTGCTGGATGAGTATTTCCGTATCATCCATCCCGACTTCCCAATTCTTGATCCGGCGTCGGTCTCGAGCATCTGTGAAGCGCTCTACGCATTATCTTCACTGACCAATCCTTGCAAGATTGGGAGCAAAGGGTGGCCCGTAGATCGACCCGGATTTGCCTACAACGGCGAGATGGAAATTCGGAACGGGCAATATGAAACATCAATTTCAGTTTATGCTGCGGCCTTCCACCTATTTATGATCTTTAGCATTGCTTCCACACTCAAAATGCGTCGGAGGCAGCTGGAGGACTCTCCGCAGCGACTCTACCGAGCGGCTATGTCCTTCTCCCATCATGTCCTACCCAGACCCTCCCTCGTCGGCATACAGTCTCTCGTGCTTCTGATTGCACACAGCCTAATGGCACCATCTGGAGTCAATACCTGGACAATGGTGCATCTCTACATGGCAAATTGTGTTGATATCGGGCTACACCGTGAAATGGCCGCCAGTCCCTATAATCGTCTCCCAATTCATATAAGGAGAATGGTGTTCTGGACGGTTTATTCATTAGACAGGTGAGCCCGCTATGCATTCCAGAACCATGTCCAGCATGTGCTAAGAGATCAGGTCAATATCCACGATTCAAGGAAGACCCCTCGGAATACGAGACGAAACATTCGACCTATCGCGTCCCGGTCTAGAATTTCCTGGCAGCACCGCAACCCCCGGCAGCCCGTTCGGGCCAAGCTTTGATCCCAAGGGCTTATGGCCGTACACAACACACCATCTCGCCCTAGACCGCTGGATCTCAGCCATCAAACTACTTCTTTATCGGTGTCCGTCGTCCTGCCAGCAGAACCTTTTCATGTGGCCTCCAGACCTCGAAAAACAACAGGCGATCCTCAAAGGCAAGCTTCAGGCCTGGTATCTCGAGATTCCCAACATCGTGAGCCAACTAATCGTTCCGAATGAACCTTTGCGGGACAAGCTCCGTCTCAAGCTCGAAGCCTGATACCATGCAGCTATGATGCTCTTGTTCCAGCCCTCACAAGCCCTGCGGAGGCCCAATGTCGAAGCATGCAAGATCTGCTACGAATCGGCCGTCAAACGGCTCATGATCTACTCTCAGCTATATGAGAACGAGCAGCTTTTCTGCGGTTGGCGGAGCATGCGGGACATATTCCATTCGGGGGTGACCTTTCTCTACTTGCTTTACGGCTTGCCGTTTATACGACAGTCGGTTTCGCTTCCCGAGGTCTCCAAAATAATGCGCCTGTGCTCAAACCTCCTGAGCACGGGCGGTGAGTGGTGGCCTTTGCTGAAGAAAGCGAAGAAAAGACTGGAAAGGGTGGCCGACATCGTGATAGATAAGCTCTATAGCGTCAATGTTGCGGCGCTGCCGTCGCAAGCCGCACCAGATATGAACGGCGGGCTCGGTACCACTCAGCTGGGCGAGCCATTACCCCACTATCCTAGCTGGGAGTTTCCTGATATTGCCGGCCTCTTTCAGCCGTCGAGACGGCGAACGGCACCCATGTCAACCTTTCCGGTGGTTTCCCCCCGCAGACCTGGCACAGAAGCCGAAGGAGATGGAGGGATGCCACAACCGTCGGAGATTTTCAACGAACAAGCGCAGTCCGACGCGCCCGGCTGTAGTAACCCAATACCGCACCAGGCGGAAGTATATGATGACCCTTTCTGGGAGCTTGTACAGTTAATCTGATGCATGATGCGGGTGCTTTCATGCTTACTCTGCTGGAGGTGCTGCCCTGATTCCAAGCATTATCCTTGGTTTGCAAAAGTCTTGTCCTGCGCTTGAAGCAATTTATGCGGCCACACGATGATGAGTATCCAGCTGCTGGGGGATATATAATGGTTTTCGTGGTCTTGTGGGGGACTATCTTTCATGCACAAGATTGCTGGGGCTGCGGCAACCCGAGGTTCTGAGATCGAATGAATGTAACTATTGTTAGGAGCGCTGTGTAATCATTTATTAAGAACATGGGCATGATTGGTGCATCACTTCAATCTTGCTACGTACCAGGCCAGCCCGCAACTGGGCAGGTCATCACGGAACTTGGAAGCGGCAGCAACGGGCTTCGAGGGGTGGCTCATAGTATAACTTAGCATGTCATTCACAACTTGCACACTCGAAGTAACGAGGGCCGGAATCCCCCGGTCACGGGACACTGGACCCGGAAGGGCCCGTCTCGAGCGGTCTGTCTGCTCAACCATCAACCAGCGCTGTAGTTACCAGTTCTCCAAAGATAGCTCCGAAGCAGAGGATCACCCCGCTCTCCACACCACTACTGTATTTGTAAAGCAGTCCTACATGGGCTGACCCTAACTTGTCGACAAAGGGTGAATTTACTGAATTGAAGCCGACTGGAACAACACCACCTCACAAGCCACGAGTAAATTGCACATGGGACAATCTCTGCATTTGCACGTTGCTATTCAACGAATGACTCATTTATCTAACCAAGTCGACCACTACTAAGAATAACTATTACGGTCGATGACAATGAACAGCACGGAGTGTTTCAGATCTCCTTCCTAACAATCAGCCGTACCCGTACCGAGGTCAGACCCCCCGCGTACCCCAGAATCGATCGGCAATAGGACGCGTCTTCCGAAGTCATCGGGGAATTTCTAGAGCGACCTCTAAATACTCCACTGCCTCCGAGCGCCTTTTGATGAGGCCTACAGTTGGTAAATCCTGCAGTGACGGAAGTTTCCGCGACCCCACACGGGTCAGAATAGCTCTCCGCCGGCGACTGCGGTGAATAGTGAATAGCAAACCGTATACTTAATAGTGGCCGACCATTCAGAGCCTGTAACCGCATAGAGTATACTAGTATATTCCGTACACCCCGCTGACCAGGGACTGTGCCAAATCAGCTTCAGAGCGAATCCTAACTGTTCTTTCTGTTTTCTCGCACTCAATCTCGAACACGACCGACATGGCATCCACTGAAGGCGAGCTTCCCAAAGTATACATACCTGCAAAGCAGGCCCAGGAGTATGCCGAATCTCTCCTCGTCGAAAACCAAGTCCCTGCGGACAACGCCGCGACAATTGCGCGATGTCTGGTTGAGGCCGACCTCCGCGGCGTCGACACGCACGGCCTCAACCGACTGCCCTCATACATGGAGCGCCTGCGGCAAGGCGTGATGAATGCGAAAGCCACCCCTTCTCTGGACATCAAAACCCCTGTTGTGGCGCTGGTCGACGGCAACAATGGCTTTGGGTTTCTCGCCGCCACGGCGGGGATGGACTTCGCCATCTCCGCCGCCAAAACATATGGCATCGGCATGGCCTCGGTCAAGCGATCAAACCACTTCGGCCTGGGGGCCTGCTACGCCCTACAGGCTGCCCGGGAGGGAATGACGAGCCTGATATTTACCAACTCGTCCCCGGCGATGGCGCCCTGGGGCTCCAAGAAAAAGATCGTCGGGGTATCCCCGCTCGCCTGCGGCGCCCCGGGGGGTGTCGAGAAACCGTTTATCTTGGATATGGCGCCGTCGACAGCTGCGCGCGGGAAGCTCTACAAGGCAGTTCGACGGTCGGAGAACGTCCCCTTGGACTGGGCTCTGGACGCGAATGGGTTTCCGACTGATGGCCCGGCTGCGGCTCTCAAGGGAGTCATGCTCCCGATGGGCGGTCCCAAGGGGTCTGCCTTGGCCATTATGATGGATGTCTTCTCGGGTGTTCTATCCGGATCGGAATTCGCCGGCGGCGTGACTGGGCCCTATGACCCCTCTAAGGCGTCTGATGTGGGACATCTTATGATTGCCATCAAGCCTGACGTCTTCCTGAGTATTGATGAGTTCAAGGGCCGTATGGACCTCTTGTTCCAGAAAATCACCCAGTCCGAGAAGGCGCCGGGCGTAGGGCGAGTCTACTTCCCAGGAGAGATTGAGCAGCTAAACCAAGAGTCTAGGCTGAAGACCGGTATCCCATATGTGGAAGAGGAGATTAAAGCTTTGAATGAAGAAGCCCGACGGGCTGGATCGAAAGTATTGCTGGCTGGATCTGTATCTCTACACCGGTAGAAATCTCCGAGCACATGCAGGCGCTTTGCTAATAGTTTTTGTGAATACTTGAAAATTCCTACAATGGCAGGCCGCAACGTATTCCATCATCTCTTAAATCAAGAAGACGTATGATTGTAACCAAAGAGCATACAACAGAAGTCTATCTCAGCAGCCACTAGGCCTCGCCAAGGCCCGTGGGTTTATGGGTTGGGTCCAAACCCAATGTGTTTCTTACCGGGCTTTTAGCTCGATAGGCTGAACCTGTAGACAAGACTGTTTTTATAAACAGTTTATATGTTTCTAATGTGGGTATTCCAGCAAAAAGATATTCAGCCCTATCTGTCTGTAAAAAGAATTAATTTTGATCATTGAAAAATATTATATCAAGACAGCTGTCTTATGTTATATTATTCTTTTACTTTAGAAACTTATAGCAGAACTTTGTTTTGGATTTTCTTATAGCTGGAAAGATACTTTAAGACAGATATATATAAATAAGATAGATACTTTTCTCAGAGTACTATAGTTGATTTGAATAAAGTCGACGAAAATAAAGGGCTTCAGTCTATGGAATTTGATCTTGCTGTAACATCAGGTTTTCACACCGCAGAATGTTGTTGGGGCGCGGTCCAAAAGATCCGAAATACTTTCCTCTGGCATGCATACTACCGATATCGATAGTACGTCTTTCTTCATTCTTTCTTACTCCGCTGATGCCCGAGGTTCCTTATCGAATCCTCGCACAGTTCGATGTTGTCGCCGTTTTCTGGCTGGACCAGCATCTATGTGCGTCTCCCGCCAGATGTAGCAGTCCACCACTACGATCAAGGATTCCACGAAGACGGAGTCACCGCGCTAGAAGATCAGCCGCCGGGCGCCGGCACTGGCCAGGACACTATCCGGTTCTCCGCTGGTAGCAGCTGGTTGAGATTGCGGACGCGCGTGTGGAGTGGTACGTGGACTTTTCCCACGAGGCCGCCCAGCATTACGAGCGCTTGGGGTACATCATCGACTGGTTTCAGACGCTCGCGGTCAGTGCCGACTGTGTCTTGATTGACCTCGAGCCGATGGATCCGTGTTCACTGCGCACCGGAACTATGGTCGGTACTCCGCGGAGAGAGCAGGCGCTGCTCGGGACGGAGCGCAGCTTCCTTTCTCCTGTTTCTGAAGGTATCTTGATGGTCCTGTTTCTGAAGGTATCTTGATGGAAGGCGTGATGTATCAAATCCGGCCTATTTCAAAGTCTTGGGCCTGCTGATACTCCGCTGTGGGATACTGGGGAGACGGCACGCGATATGAATAAAGCTTTCATGGGGCTATGGTCGTAGAGGGGTTGATGGTTTTGTTATGTCTTCACGAGGCGCGTCCGTTGTTGAGTTGCACGCCTTCACGGCCCTGAAGTATCTGGCTATCTTGATGAAATTATGCTATACCGCGCTGACAAGCTTGCTGTTGCAGGAAATTAAGACTAGATCTTGTTGGTGATTTGAGACAGATGATTCGGGCTCCGTTTCACGGTTTGTCAGTGTGAACAAAACCTGACTCGTCGATCGACCCTGTCGGCCTAAAACCTGCTGCTCAAACCATATAAACAAATAAAGCAGAGTTGTCAACCGCATTCCAGGTTCCTTTTGGAGAAAAGGACAAAAAAGCAAAAACATACAACAGAAGGGATTCACTGGTGGTCACCCACCCAACTACTAACCTCCCGGCGTGTGGCTTAAGTACGGCTGAGCGGACGGGAAGCCCTGTTTTCCACACCCTGTGGTCGTATGTGCTGAACGTTGAGTACAAAAGTTTCATATTCCACAGGGACTATCTTCGGAACAGCTCAGCAGATGTTGTTTATTAGATTTTACATAAAATATATATATATTTTTTTAATTTAAGCTGTAGGATAAATAGAGACAAACAAGCCTTATAAAACTCTTACGTATAGTAATTTAGGGGTCGAAATACGAGAATAAATCTTAGCAAACAGACAGGGTTTTCTCACCAGCGAATCATCCTATAGATTGTATTCTGTGTGGACATAACAGTGAGGACACTTCACTTCATTTTGTATTCCTCGCCCGCTGTTTTGCTTACCATCGTTCTAAGCACGCAACAACAAGGGGGCGGTATACTTAGGCTATGCAGTTATAGGACTAAGATGAATCTCGGGAATGAGATTCTCACCGTGAGAGACAAAATACAGGTCAATAATGAAATCAGTACATTATCTCAGAGCGCATATAATAGAATCTTTGTTAACGTAGTCAATCAGACTCAGAAAGCACGGCGAGTTTCAACAGTCTGGAACAATCACTTTTCTCCCCTTGACTGCTATAATCCAGTCACAAGCGAAGTGCAGAGAGATGACACAGTGACGAACAGAGAAAAAAATGTGAAATCAGTGCTGCCCCTTTCCAGAACTGGCTCTTCCAATGCCTCGTCTGCTTGAGCGTATTTCAATTCCAGCGGCGGAGAACAAACCGTATAGCTTGCAGAGTGCCTTGAATTTCAATGAGCAAATACAATGGGGCGGCCCTCTTGCTGCCCCTGCCGCCGCCCATAGCTCACACCGTCGACCCTCAGGCCTTTTTCATTGAGTAGAGTGATGGTGTCACCGCTGTTGGAAAGAGGGCAGTTGGGTACCTCGAACTTCCGCATGGCCCAAGGAGCCAAGACCGCGTTTCGCGGCAGGTCTTGGGTCTGGCCCGCCGAGTTGTGGAAGCTCCATGATTCCAAGGATACTTCGTGACTGGTGAGATTCCCCAGCGTGATGGACTCTTTGGTCCGTGCCGCTCGATCGTCTGCGCCCTGTGGGTTGACCAGTGCTTCCGTGATCGTTACCGAATTTTCCACGCGATCGACGGGTAGCACGTCTGTCCATGTCACTAATGGTTCCAATGCGTGGCCATCATTATCATCGGTGTGGACAGCTTGTGAGGCGAATGCAAGGAGAACACCTGTCCAGTGATCGTCGTACCGAATGAGCAGACCCCCGTCCTGGAACACCCCATCATCATTCCTGAAGTTCAAGATATTTCCCTGGTTCATATGAACATTGTGGATGCCGTTTCTTGTTTTAAACATGGAGCCGAACACAAAGATGGTTGCTTGGGCCTGAATGGCCTTCTTGACTTCGGGCTCCAGGACGTCGATGAGGTCATTGTTGACTCCAGGGATGTCGTGGGGAAGAACACGGCCTTTTTGCGACGTGAAAAGAGCCCCCCGGATGTAATCAAGGCCTTTACCGTCCAACTCGTCTACTTTTCTCATCGGGTGGAAGCCAAAATCGAGTTTGGCGAGCTTCTCGGCAATGGGGTGGTTGACAAAATCATGCCTCACAAAATAGGCAAGCCTGGTCTCTTCATCTCTGGATTTGATGTTGATTGCTGCGCGGAAAAGTCCAGGAATCTCTGATGGTCTGTTCGGATCTCGGGGCCCACCCCTGTGGTTGCGTCGATAGCCAGGGTCGAACTGAGGGGGGTTTGCTTTATTGTCATGGTAGTATAATGAGAGATGGGGAGACTCGGGGTCTTCGTAGCGATCTTCAAACTCATAATGGACCGGAAGGGCTTTCCAAACTCCGTAATCCCTGACCGGCATTGTGTTTACCAAAGATGTATGAAGATAAAAGTAGATTGGAATTTTTGTGTCAGTGGCATGCAATGTGACGAAGGTAAGGTTCCATGTCAGAGTTCGACAGCATTTTTATATCTCCTAAAATCATCACGCACAGGATGTTGGCTGACAACACTAATTCACCATTTTCTGGGTTTCTGTTATCACCGCTGATACATGCCTTCTATACGAACTCGCTATCGGCTGACTGTCGTATTGTCCCAAGGAAAGCGCGAACAAAGAAAAGGCTGGTCTTCGAGTGTTGAGATCTCCCAAGCAACCTTCACTACAGCAGGTTCGTATATCAATGACGGAGAAGCAAAGATCTCTTTGTCGTCTCTTCACATCCAGTCGATCTGTACATCTTATGTGACGGATGCTGTCCATGGTACGACCTTGGTGGCCAGATCGTAGCGAACGTTCGGGCCGTACTCGTATTGCGTCGATCCACTAACCTTCACACACCCCATAAAACCTAATTCACTACCCGTTGTCAATGCCGCCCCCACATCCGTGTTGGTCATTTCCGCATGCAGCACTTTAATCACACTTCTAATATGTGCGGGTCTCTAGTATAGCAATCTGGATCCTCTAGAGCCCTTCGCTTGCTTCTTACTTCAGCTTTCTATGTCGTGTTGAGAAGGGTTTGAGTTGCACCTTCTCGCATGCACCACCCGCTGGATACGGGCCATGTTTGACCTCCTCGCAGCCCTTCCTATCCCAGCCGGAATCTCGTATTGGCAATGATGTGATTCTGGCTTCCTCTTGCGATGTGTAATTTGATGCTGGCGTGAGTCGTGTCCAACAACAAACTGTGTACGACTCCTGGGATTTATCTCGACATCTTCTAGCACAACGCTGGATTCCATTCAGGTCAGCTAGATGAAGAGAGAAAAATATGTTATCAGCTTGTCTATCCCCACTTCCTCCACGCAACCCTAAAAACGAAGAAGAAGAAAAAAAACAAAATCCCACCTAGACACACTTCACAGATGTATATATCGTCACTTTGCATGTCTGCTATTATTAGCCGGGTGAAAGACAGGTTCACATGTTGCATATGGAACTTCATTTCATACACTCAGCTTCCATATTGCAAGGGAGGATTGAGCGGATTTTGAAACCGTCTTTTCAGAACCCCCTCACCCGCACAGGGCCGACCAACGGTTTACTCAGAAAGATAGATACGATGGAATTCCGCACCTTGTCTCTGAGGTCGACCTGGCTTCGCGCGGTGCTACGGCGGCCGATCTCAACCTCACCCCGCAATCCTTAACCATGAGGTGATCTACCGGTCCGATCCATCTTTTTTTATTCTCACAAACCAGGATTACTCTCATCACACGCAACCGGTTGCCCAAGATCTACTCAGTCACTTCAATCCCCCGTGATATCACGGCCTATTATGGGCCCGGAACGCGTTGCATGGCATTCATCGGTGGAGTGTTCTTGTGCTGGAATGGATGCGTAGCTATATCTAATGAGTGGGACATTGCATGGCCCTCCGACTCAAGTAGGGCCATGGTGTCCATGCGCAGCAGTTTTGTGCCCAAGATAGTCAAATGTGGTTCCGTATGCGAAGGCCCCGTCGGATACCCTCTCCCCTATGATCATCAATATTTACTGCCTGTCGCTCCATATGATCGTGATGCGAATTCTGTACCTAGAATAGGGTTCCAAGCGCATGCGGCGGCCATGAGACCATATCTGTAAGCCAAATTACCAAGAACCTCCGATCCCGTCACAATACGGTGCTGTGGATGCTTTCCACTGATGTGCAGTAATCGACAATCTGGATATAGGGTTTATAATCAAACAAAACTCGCCTTTGGATTGTAGTTAGTAGATCCGTGAAAATCCCCAACCCTTAATAGCTCTTCCCGTGGGAACCATTATTTTTTCCAACTGGTGTCGCTCTAAAGGAAGCACTTATAAGAAAGACCTTTCGTCACTTTTGTGTTTTCTTCTCTTAGCTATTTCACTACTTGATTTCCCCTCGCAGATACTATCCTGTCTTGGCCGAAAGTCCTACAACAGAAGAGTAGAACGTATGTTCGCATTCCCGCATAAAGCCTTCAAACAGAATCAGCTATAAAGCGGTGGAAGGAGTTTATCTGAAGAGCTGAAGACACTGTCCACAAAGGATCTAGCATTAGTTTCTTGTCCGACCAACCCGATTCTGTAGTGATCCTCCCCAAATAGGTCAGTCGCTACACATGGACAAAGTGATACTGCAAAAAAGAAAGGAAAAAGAAAAGCTTCATCTCTATTAGTGATTCAATAAGGGCCACGCTGAATTAACCTGGGCGTGGATGAGCTCCTTTTGATCCTGCTTATACTTTCTGCTGGGCTCGATGCCATGTTGCGCGCTTACTGTGTCCAGCCGGTCTATGCATGCTCTCGCCCTGCATGCAGTGGGAAAAATTATCCCTGGTCCGCAGGGGCTTCCTTCCGGAGATGCGCAGCGGGAAAATTTCTCAGGTGAGTTCCAAGGGGACATTCACTCTCCGCATCGCCAGGTGGCGTTGGGATTGCCGCTTGTCGTCCGAGACTCCCGGCTGCGCAATCCCCGAGTCGGGAACCACCTCGCATAACAATAAGATGTTCGGGCATCTCCGACCATCGCACACAGTGCATCTGATGCCGGGACGCGAGCGAAAGATCGTAAATACTGTCTTCATTTCCTGGGTCTTCTATGGCTCGCGCGCAGGTTATGCTCTTGCGACAAAGCGGCACAGTGCAACCGCAAAACCGCAACCACAACCACAACCAGGCAACAGAACAGACCGGAATGAAACGCTGCGGGAGGAATTCGCTAGAATTCAGGAGGCATCCGTGGCCAACGCCTGCAGACGCACCAGCTCAGCGTACCTGCCGCCGCGGGCCAGCAGCTCGGCGTGGCTGCCGGCTTCGACGACCTCGCCGGCATCCAGGACGAAGATGCAATCGGCGTTGCGGACGGTACTGAGGCGGTGGGCAACAACGACAGTGGTGCGGCCGGTGGCGGCCTGGTCAAGGGCGCGCTGGACGATCTGCTCCGAGGCCGTGTTCAAAGCAGAGGTCGCCTCATCGAGCAGCAGGATAGTTGGGTTGCGGACAAGGGCGCGTGCGATGGCCAGGCGCTGCTTCTGCCCGCCGGAGAAGTTGCCTCCCTTGGCGCCGACCACGGTCTCGAACCCGTCGGGTAGGCTGGTGATGAAGTTGTAGATGTTAGCGTCGCGACAGGCTTGCACGAGGACCTTCTCCTCAACCTCTTCCGGCCCCTCCACTCCGAGCAGAATGTTGTCGCGTATCGTCCCCTCGAACAGGGTGGGCTCCTGGCTGACCAAGGCGATCCGCGACCGATACCGATTCACATTGATCGTGGTGATGTCCGTGCCGTCCAGGTAAATTGCACCACCGTCCGGCTCATAAAACCGCTCCAATAGCGCCAACACCGTCGACTTGCCGCATCCGCTGGCTCCGACCAAGGCGACCGTCTGCCCCGCTGCCACCGTCAGGTCCAGCGCCTTCATCACGGGGCCGTGCTCGCGGCGGGTCGAGTAGGTGAAGCGCACGCCGCGGAATTCCAGCGCTCCCATCGACGTTGTGGCCGCACCCTCAGGCCCCGTCCGGCCGTCGGTGCTCCACGTGTCGACCGCGGGCACGCGACGGAACAGTGTGCGCAAGGAGCCAGCCGCGTGCTGGGCCTTGCCAATGTCGTCGGCGAAGGTGAAGACGTAGCCGGTGGTCTGGGCACCGAAGATGACGGAGCCGAAGCAGAGCAGGAAGCGGAAGAGGTCGTACTCGCCGGCAGCGATCAGCGTGCCTCCGTACCAGAACCCTAGCGCCATAGAAGCAATAATGAAGGCCTGCGAGAGCGCGAAGAGAATGGAGGACCGCAGAGTGGAGCGAAGCGCCCGGCGGCTCTGCGCCGTCAGCTGGCGCCGATATTCGGCGAGGACCGCGGCCTCGCGCGTCAGCGAGGCGACGGTGCGGATGGCGGCGGTCGCCTCGCATGCGAAGCTGCGGATTTCTCGTAAGTGGCGCGCGAGGCCGCCTGGAAGCGGGCGAGCATGTAGAAGCGCAGGAAGGTACCGGCGATGAGAAAGGGGATGGTCGCCATGCACACGAGGGCGAGCTTCCACCCGATCGCCAGGGCGACGGCGCAGGCGGCCACCAGGGTGATGATCCCGGAGAGGATCGTCCCTAGCGTCGCGCCGGACATCCCCTTGAGATTGCTGGTCTCGGTCGCCAGGAAGGAGGTCAGCGCGCCGGACGAGTTCGCCTCCTCGTCAAAGAAGGCGACGTCCTGCCGCAGGATGCACCGGAAGGCATGGCGGCGCGCATTGCGAATCAGCTTCTCCGCGCAGTACGCGAACGCCGTCCCCTGCACCACGAACCCCAGCCACACGAGAATTGCCAACATGAAATACATCCACGACCAGAAGTTGATCTCCTGCCGAATTGTGTGGCTCTGGCTGAGCGGGAGCGCGAGGTTGGCGACGGATTTCGCCAAAAAGACCGAGGAAGTCGGATTCGCCCCGCCGGTGACCAGCACCCCGCCCAGGCCCACCACCATCCACGGCCATTCGCGCCGGTTGAGGCGCAGGATCAGCTGCATCGTTGCCCACGCACCCGCCGAGACCACTTCAGGAGCGGTTGTCGGGACCGTGCTAAGTCCCGTAGTTCCCGGGCCAGATTCCCGGTCGAGCTCCTTCTTACCAGCCTGCTGCTTCTCTGCGATGACGTTAGACGTTAGACTTGGAGTGATCTCGCCCTGGGCCTTGGCGGCGAGGTGGCAGGCCTCCTCCTCTTCGGCCTCCTCGTCGTCCGGTCGGCCCTGGGGTTGTTTCCCCTCTTCCTGGGCGCCGGCGCCGGCGCGAACACCTGCCTGAGTCTCCACCAGGGCAGCGTAGGCGCCAACCTGCCCCATCAACTCCGCGTGGGTCCCTTGCTCGACGACGCGGCCCTCAGAGACGACCACAATCTAGTCGGCATTTCGGATGGTGGACAGGCGGTGGGCGACGACGATGGTGGTGCGGCCGGCCGCGGACTGGTCCAGCGCAGCTTGTACAATGCCCTCGCTACCGGGGTCTAGTGCTGAGGTCGCTTCGTCCAGCAGCAGGATTCGTGGATTGCTGACCATGGCGCGGGCGATGGCAATGCGCTGCTTCTGGCCGCCGGAGAGGAGAAAGCCACGTTCTCCGACGTGCGTTTCGTACCCTTCCGGGAGGGCGGTGATGAAGCCGTGAGCGTTGGCCAGGGTGGCCGCCGACTCAATCAGCCCGAGGATCTGGGCCCGCGGGGCCGACTCGTACTCGGTGCCAATCAGCCCGTAGCGGATGTTCTCGAAGATGGTCGTCGCGAACAGCACAGGTTCCTGGCCGACTAGGGAGATCTGGCGACGCAGCCCGCGGAGATTCAGCCCGCGGATGTCCTGGCCGTCCAGGGCAATGCTTTCGGCCACCGGCTCGAAGAACCGCTCAATCAGCCCGATCACTGTACTCTTCCCCGAGCCGGAGGCGCCAACAAGCGCCGTCGTCTTCCCCGCAGGGATGCGCAGTGAGAAATCCCGCAGGACCGGGATCTCCGGTCGCTGGGGGTAGACATGCGATACCCCTTCAAAGATGATCTCGCCGACGACGTCGTCCACGGGGTGGCCGGAGTTCGCGAAGGGGTCGATAGGGGAGGCGCGATCGATCAAGGCGCAGACCTTATGGGCGGCGGCGATTGCCGCCATAAAGGCTTGATGGTTCGGGGTGATGTTGCAGATAGCAAAGGCGCCCAGCGTGATGGACATGACGACGATCAGGATCGATCCGAAGTCCAACAGCCCCTGCACCAGATAGCGCGACCCCTGCCAGAAAGCGAGCGAATAGGTCAGGTAGACATAACACATGATGAAGGCGTTGAACAAGCTCGTCGAGGCCTTGGCCTTGAACCCCCAGCTCTCGGCGCGCGCCAGCTGCTCGTCGTACTGGCGGGTGAGTCGGTCCTGGGCTCCAAAGGCCAGGATCGTGCGAATGCCCCCGACGCACTCTTCGACGACTGTGCTGGCCTTCGAGTACCGCGCGAGGGCCTCGACGTGGTACTTGACGATGAAGCGGCTCAGGATGCCGAGGGTGAGCACGAATGCAACCACGGTGGAGGAAAGAATCAGGGTGAGCTTCCAGCTCTTTACGAAGCCGATCACGAAGGCGGCGATAAAGCTGGAGGCGGCGATCAGGGTCACCCCGACCTTTTCGGAAATCCGCTCCTGGATCAGATTGGTGTCGGTGGTGATCCGCGACGTTAGCTCGCCCGCGCTCAGGGTGTCGAAGAGCGCGATGTTCTGCCGCAGGGTCGAGGCCAGAAACTGAACGCGAAATTGGGTGGCGATGTGGTCGCCGGTGTAGATGAAGGTGGTGGTGGCGATGTATGAAAAGACAAACTGGCCGATGGCAATGTACAGAAAGTACAGGCTGTAGCGATTCACCTCACTGCGCAGGTGGGCCGTGGAGGTTCCGTTCTGTCGTCGAGAAAGGTACCGAACGTGCTGGAGAGGTTACCAAACACCAGCACACTCAAAGGCTCCATCGCGCCTGCGACGATGGCGGCGACGGTCCCCAGCCCCATAAATAGCCAGTCATTGCGCGTTGCATAGCGAAACAGGGTGGTGTATCCTACATTTGGCACGGGGATGTCGACCTGGCGCGCGACAATCTGCGCCTGAGCTTGGCTCAGTGTGGTAGTCGCTTTCTCCCTATCTTGACTGAGAGAAGAGGAATTGCTGTCATTGCCCTCAGCAGGCGTGTCCGCACTGCCAGAGGCACACTGGTCGCTGCTGTCATCAGCAAAGGCCATTAACGTAATCGGACACCGAACCGGCGCGACACCGAACCGGCGGCCGCGCCGGCCCTCACCAAAATCCTCAACATACTTGACCACCTTGACCATCTTGAAGCCGGAAAACATGCTTGGATTGCCAAATTACCCTGATTCTTGGTGTTCTATAATATGACTGATAAGAATGAACGTATGGCCCTCGCTGTTGAGGCTTTTCAACGCGGAAAATTCTCTACAAAGGCCGCGTGCGCTGCAGCTTTTGACGTCAAGATTAGCACCTTCAAAGAACGCCTAAATGGCGTCAAATCTCGTACTCAAAGAGGTGCTAATTGCAAGAAGCTATCCTCAATTGAAGAGGACATGTTAAAGCAGTGGTTTCTTGATATGGCACGCCGCGGATTATCTCTTAGAATCTGCGATGCTCGATTCTCAGCCGAACTGCTTCTCCAAGCAAAAATGAAGCCAAACCAATATGAATCTATATCAGAACGCTGGGTCAATTGCTTTGTTAAACGCCATTCTGAATTGAAGTCTAAATTCACCTCGAAATATGATTATCAACGTGCTAAATGCGAGGACCCCCAGCTGATCCAAAAATGGTTTGAATTAGTCCGTTCTACAATTCAGAAATACGGCATTCTCTATGAAGATATCTGGAATATGGACGAGACTGGATTCCAGATGGGAATAGCTTCAACCGTACGTGTAATCTGCGGCTCCGAAACACGAGAATCACGGGCGAAGTGTATACAGCCTGGAAACCGCGAATGGGTAACTTCAATTGTTAGAATTTCAGCCTCAGGAATAGTCCTACTACTACAAATTATTTTTGCAGCGCAGCATCACCAATCGACTTGGTACGAGGTCTGCCCAAAGTCTTACTATATCAGCGTCAGCGAAAATGGGTGGACTACTAATGAGCTTGGTTTTGAATGGCTTCAAAATGTGTTTAACCGATATACAGTCTTACAAACAGTCGGTTTATACCGATTACTGATTCTTGACGGCCACGGCAGTTATGCAACACAGCAGTTTGACCAGTTCTGTACAGCTTACAAGATTATACCTCTATATATGCCTCCTCACTTATCTCATAAGCTTCAACCGCTTGATGTTACGTGCTTTGGGCCATTAAAAAAGCTATATGGTCAGCAGATTTATGAAGCTATTCGCGGTGGCGAAAGCTCGATTACCAAGGTTGATTTCTTGCAGTACTATACTAACGTACATGCCAAGGCCTTCACCAAAACCAATATTCTCAGCGGTTTTTGAATTACAGGCCTTGTTCCGTTTAATTCTCAGAAGGTTCTTTCAGAGCTTCATATACAGTTAAAGACATCAACTCCACCGGCTTCCTTGTATTCGAATCAGTTATTCTACCTCGGGAAAACACCTAATAATCTGTACGAGCTGGGGAAGCAGAGGGAAGAACTGCAGGAACTCGCAGACCAAGGCCTTTCATCAATGGTTACACATGAAGTTATTGAAAAAGTGATAAAGGCAGCAGAACAGTCAATGCAGTCGGCAATCTTGCTTTAATACCAAGTTAAGCAGCTACAATCAATGGAGGCACGTAAACAAGAGAAGAAAAAGACCTCACGACGGTTTATACAGAACGGTGGCACTTTAACAGGTTAAGAAGGCTTTGATATTACGCAGGCGCGTGAAAACGAGGCTATTCAGGCTTCGGCTGCAAGGCCTCCCAAGGCACGCCGGCGGGCTCGCTGTAGCGTATGTGGGAGTGAACAACATAATCGGTTAAAGTGCCCGGTTGAAAACACCAAGAATTAATGTATATAACCTTTTTGGTATGGTTTTCAAGCTTCATATGTGAGGAGGATGTTGAGGATTTTGGTGGGCCGGCGCGGCCGCCGGTTCGGTGTCGCGCCGGTTCGGTGTCCGATTACGTTACGTCGAGGGAAAATGGCAGACCGAAATGGCAGAGGGAGTAGCATGCAGACAGAGGAAAGATGCGGATGGACGAAAGGTTCTTATATCCTGGATGCTCAAATGCTTCGCTTAGGTCGTCGCGCTCTTGGATCAATTGTGCAGCCGCTTGGATTCCCGACCCGTCGTCATACCCCTTGTTGAAGTGGGGCTACAATCATTATGAGTAATTCTGAGTTACTCGAGGAACATCCAGAAGGACTCATGATTGAAAAAGTGAGGAATAGGGGTAAGGGATTTGAGCGATGTGAGCATCAGACCAAGGGCATCGGACGAAGCAACCTTGAAGGCATCGGACGAATCCCCTTTTGCCACTGCTGATTGGATCGTCGGACGAGACACCCTGTCCCCACCATTTGGAACTGGGCCGGCATTCGTCCGAAGTGGAGTCACAGACTGCATTCCCATGGGTCTTGGATGATACTTTGACTAAGCTGGGAATTAATCCATATCCCACTCCGAATTCACTTGCACGGTTGAAACCTATTTTCCAACATTCAACCAGGCGGTACTATTCGCCACGTGAGCTCCGCGGACCGGATATATAGATAAACACGTACACCGTACGACTCGAGTTTGTCGCATCTCATCTTTCTCGACCTCAATTTGACAGGCTCTCTCAGATCCCAAAACCACAAACCATGAGCTCTCCCATTAGTGTTGGTGTAATTGGCGCGACCGGCAAGGCTGGTCAGTCGGTGGTCCAGGGACTGTTGTCGTCACCGTTCGATTTTGTATGTCAATCCGATTGCTCTTGATCTGGGGAGAAATCCATGCCCAGACTGGCTAACATGTCCACGCCCAATAGGTGATCACATCCTTCACACGCCACACCTCCGTCGATAGCGAGGCGAACCAGAAGCTCCGGGCACACGGGGTGCACATCACCGGATATGACCTCAGCCAGCCCCGCGCGGTCCTGGTCGACCAGCTGAAGGGAATCGACGCGCTGATCTCCTGCATCACGTGGGAGCACCTAGAGCTCCAAATCCCTTGGATTAAGGCGGCCAAAGAAGCGGGGGTAAAGCGCTTCGTCCCATCAGAATGGGTCGGACCCGCGCCCCGCGGGGTGATCGATATCAAGGATAAGGTCGGAACTCTCGTTTTCGTTTTTTTGTTTTTATCGCCTTACGAGTGATCAGCTAACACGACGATTGATGGGCCACAGAAACTCGAGATCCTCGGTCTGATCCAGCGAGTTGGACTGCCGTATACGCTCATTGACGTGGGCTGTTGGTACCAGGTCTGGGTGCCCAAGATCCCCTCGGGCCGCACCGACCCCCACCACAGCGTCTATATCGACCACCGCATCGTCGAGGCCGGCGACCAGCGCTTCGCCCTAACTGACATGGGAGACATTGGCCGGTACGTGGCGCAGATCATCACCGACCCGCGCACCGTGAACCGCCATGTCTTCGCCTACACCGAGGTCTTGAGCATGAATGAGATCTGGGAAACCATGGCGCGTGCCAGTGGAGAGACGCCTGAAAAGGAATATGTACGTTGAGGACGCCAGGAGCCCCGCCCAAACACACACACATACAAACGCACACTAACATGGATTTGCTAGATCACGGAAGCCGAGATCCGCGTCATCGTCGAGGAATGCCGGAAGCGACTGGCCGCCAGTTCCGAGAGCGTGATGCACCCGAGCAACATCCTCGACATCGCCAACTTCAACATGGGCCAGTACCGCATCTCCTGGTGCGTGCGCGGCGATAACACCCCCGAGTATGCCGACTATCTGGGGTGCTTGGATTTCTGGAAGCTGTTCCCCGATTTCCCCCGCGGGCGGAGTCTCGAGTCCTTCTACCGGGATATCGTCGAAGGACGCACGACAGAAACAGGGATGCTTCCTATGCCGAACAATGCTTGAAGTGTCGACGGTGGCATGCGGGGTGGAAGGGATACCAAAGGGAGGGCGCGGGGGGAAGAACTGCTGCAACTTGGCAAGTCGATTGGTTTTGTGTTTGATGCTTCCCGTAGCTGGCTGGGATGGGGACTTTGAGACCGCAGTGATGGCCACCCAGGTTTTCGTCATGAAGTATTATGCCTGCCATTATCGCTTGAGCTCAATCGAGAACAAATGCCTCTTACATAAATGATTCAGAGTTGATCAAGTAACCCTACCTCTCTCTCTTCTTCACGGTACCATGTACTGTGTACTGCTACCTCTCGTGGGATGAAAGTGTATGCAAGTAGTACACACCCGCTCAGTTGCAGTCGCGTAGCAAGCCTAGATGCTGTCCATCAGGAGATTGACTGATGAGATGGACACTGAGAGTGAAGCGCGACATCCTCACACCATTTTGGGCGATGCATGAAGATGCCACCGGATAAGTTCTAAATCTAGGTGATTCTCATCGGAGGATCTGGCTCGCTTCGCCACTCCACGCGGCGTCGGCGTGAAGACCGAAGTGGTACAGATCGCCCGCCAGGTTCCACTGCAGCCAGTCTGTACCCATCTGGTGACTCGCCCATGGGCCGTGATACGAGAAGGCGATATCGTCGAATACCGGCAGCGTTGACGGAATACCCTCAAACGGCGCGAGTGGCGGGAGATTGCTGCCACTATTGTTGTCACTGCCACAAGGGGTGAGAGGAAGTGCAGGAGGAACCACATTCTCCTCCCCGGGCAGTCCCTGGCTCAAACGAATGAAAGGATCCCCATGTTGGCGGCGTGTGATAGTGATGACACCAAAGTACGGGACGGTGATCCTGCGCGGATGACCCTCGTCGCACGTCCCACCGCCAACGACCAGGTCCCGCAGGGCTCTATGACATTGGCCGCACAGCGAATGGGCCTTGTCCTCGGCGCAGACCTGCAGGACGGCGATGGTGCGGTGGATCAGTGTCCAATCGACGGCCTCTGTGGGTGATTCCAGGTTCTCCGGCATCGGCGGCGGGGGCCTTGGTGTGACGGGGGACCGTTGGGTGGAGGGAAGGTTCAGATACAGCACCACGCCAGCGGCCAGTGCGGTAAAGGCGGTCAGTTTCATGCTGTTGTCCACCTGCGCGGTCCGGGGATCGAGGTCGTACAGCGCTACAAACGCCTGCAGGAATGCTCGCGCACTGCGGGCACACGTTGTCCGCCCGTAGGCGGCACAGTGGCCTGGCTCCGCCATTGTAGTGGTGGTAGTTGTCTCCAGGCTCTGCAGGAAATACGGCAAGTACAAGAACGCTTTGAGCTGATGAATATGAGACAATCGATAGAGCCGCGCGCTCTTGTCCGATCCGTCCGGGCTGGCGGCAATCTCCAGGAAATCCAAGTAGCCCAGGGGCAACTTGCTGGTGACGGCATCAATCTGCTCTTCCACGGCGATCAGCTGAGACAGTGGCACGGGCGGTTGGGCCTGCAGGCTGTCAATCACGCGCCCCGTAAGTACAGTTAAGTGGCGCCAATGGTACCGGATGTGGGATGACTCCGTCGGGGCGGGGATGTGGAGATCGCACAGATGGTCGGGGATCGAGTACGGGAGCCCGATCATCAGACTGATCCAGCGGTCGGCACCGAAGATCTGCCAGAAGACGGCGTCGTAGGCCTCGGTTTTGCGATGGGTTTTGTGAAGCCCGGCCAGCTGCAGGCGGGTGTTGGCCGTCCGGAAGACGGACCAGGCCCGGCATGGTTGCAGGGCACTGAGCAGACACAGCCCGAGGGCGATCATGCATTGGTAATCATAGACATGGCCAGTGAAGCTGCTCTCGGACAGGATCCAGGATTCGACGGGTTTTAGATAGCGGTCGTGATCGCCCGTGCTTAGTGCCAAGCAGACCAGCAGACTCCCAAGCAGCGAGGGATTGCGCGAGCGCACGGCGCGGGTGGCAAAGCTCTCCAGGGTTTTGTCTTCGGTGTCGCCCCATCCTAACCCGAAGGAGGCGCGCCAGGTCGCCCACCAGTCGCTCCGCATTTGAAAAGTGGTGGCGATCTCGGCGGCTGTGGGTAGCACAGCTACCATTGTGCATAGATTGCTCCGGATGAGTTCGCGGACTCGCGCATCAGAGTGGCGGTCGATCGCGCGGGGGGGCTGCGTGTGCGGTGCCGCATCGGCTTGCCCAGCGATCTAGGTGTGGAATCAGAATCTGCCTGCCTTGGATTGAGATACGAGTGCAGCTTCCCCGGGGGTCTAACCCACCCTGTGGTCCTTGAACAGCTTCATAACGGGGGCATCATTACTCTGAACCAAGTCGTGACCCGCCGTAGCTCCTGCATGATCAGTCCCCACGACGGCTCGCGGCGATGCGAGCCACTGATGAAGGGAGTCCAATGCCTTGAAAAAGGACCGCGGTGGTATCGCAGTAGGACCGCCATAATCCACCTCCGCATGTGGGGTGGTGGTGGAGGGCCGGGGAGAGCCCGGCGGGGACGACCGGCTCTCCCCCTGGGGTCGACAGGCGATGTTACGTCTCGCACACTGATCACATGCGTTCGACTGCGACGACTGTTTCAAGGTCCAAGTGCAGCGGACTTTCCGATGGCGGCCTAAATGGGGACAAAAGTTTAGATCCTCCCTTCCCTGTGTGGGGCTTAAACTCACAGGCCAAGCAATTGCGCGTGCCTTTGCGCATTGGTTTGAGCGGCATCCTTTTCACCTTCGCCTGTGTGAAATGCGCCATCCAGACAGCTCAGAGCGACCTTTCAGGTGACTAACTCGGGCAATTAGTCCCCTTTAGCCCTTTGGGGGCCTTTGGTGGTCAGACAGGTTGGGAGGAAAGAAAGACGAGAGGAGGAAGACAAGGACGACTCAAATTCGCCCGGTTCAGTTTAGTTGGTTGATGTTATCGCTTAGTCATTCGTAGCTCGTCCGGCCTCAGGCCGGAATGAGGCCAGCACTCCAGCTATTCGGTAGCTATGTGAATATGATCGCGCTCCTGGCTACAGATCTCAAATCCTGAATTGGTTAAGCGCCATCCCCTTCTACTTGGTAGATAATTCCACTTGTGCAGGTCGCGCTTGTGCTTCAACTGGAGTACAGTGTGTCTACATGCAACTAACAGTCACAGCTGCTGACCAACATACCCGCAGCACAGCAGAATGATTGCTGTACTGTACTGTAACTCACCATACTGTACTATAAGTTACGCACCATAGATAGCTTATCGGTCGCACCATATGCGATTTTACCTCGGCTCAACCTCCGCTACCCCAGAATCCGACCACAATTTAATTGACCCCCTCATTTCTTCCTCCTTCTCCAACTTCAGCTTCCTGCCATCAATTCTCCATCCACCATCACCCACCATATATTTGAACCACCATGTCGTCGCAACCCTACACCTACAAACACTTCAACATCACCTTCCCGCCGGACCGCGAATATGTCGCCCACGTGGAGATCAACCGTCCTTCCAAGCTAAATGCCTTCATCGAAGCGTGCGCGCCTCTCCTTCCCCCCTTCCCCGCGATTCTGCCACCCCTACAATCCACAATCCACAATCCCCAGTCTTAACACCCAGAACAAACAGAATGTGGCTCGAACTTTCGGACATCTTCACCCGCCTCTCCACGGACCCCGCCGTCCGCGCCATCGTCCTCACCGGCGCAGGCCCCAAAGCCTTCACCGCCGGCCTGGACGTCCACGCCGCCTCGGAAGGCACCCTCTCGCCCGAATCAGCACAGATCGACCCCGCCCGCAAAGCGACCCACCTCCGCCGCCACATCCACGAATTCCAGCACTGCATCTCGACTCTCGAGAAATGCGAGAAACCCGTCATCGTGGCGATGCACGGCTTCTCGCTGGGGCTGGCCATCGACCTCAGCGTCGCGGCGGACGTGCGCGTCTGCACGGAGGACGTGCGCTTCGCCGTCAAGGAGGTGGATATCGGGTTGGCCGCGGATATCGGGACGTTGAGTCGATTGCCGAAAGTGGTGGGGTCGTTTGGGTGGGTGAAGGAGGTGAGTTTGACGGCGCGGGAGTTTGGGGCGGACGAGGCGCTGCGCGTGGGGTTTGTGACGCATGTCTACAAGGATAAGGAGGCGGCGGTGGAGGGCGCGTTGGGGTTGGCGAGTCGTATGGCGGGGAAGAGTCCTGTTGCTGTGCAGGGGACGAAGGAGTTGTTGAATTGGTCGCGGGATCGGAGGGTTGAGGATGGTATGTTCTTTTCCTTGTTGTTTCGTTTTCGTGGGGATCGGGGAGTGATCATGATGCTAACGCGTTGATAGGGCTGCGGTATACGGCGGTTTGGAATAGTGCGGCGCTGCAGACGGAGGATGTTGAGGCGGCGCTGTTGTCGGGGATTCAGAAGCGGAAGCCGACATTTGAGAAGTTGTAGCTTGTTGTTCCTTTTAAATGAGGTGCTCTCGATGTGTATATTAGATTCTGGTACTGCTGGCTTAGTACATCTTAGAACCTGACCGTATGAGTGGCTTTTGCGGACAGAAGGTATTGCCAACGACTCAAATTTCTGGTGAGAAAGTTCTCTGTATGGTCTGGGGCTCATCATTAGGATGAAACTAATGGTTGGAAGCTTTTTCTGATGTTCAACAGTTGGTCTGGTCTATCGTGATACGTTCTAATTGCTGACGCAGATATGTAGCGATCGTGTATCAGACGTCGAGGTGCTAGTCATGATAGCCATCATGGCTATATGATGTAACCAGTCTCAGATGGTCACAGCTTGTCGTACACTACGGAGTTGAAGACCGCTGATGCACGACAATTTTTGCTGTTCCCGACGTCCAGAGATTTGAATACAACTATCCTGATACAAGAGAAAAATGCCTGTGCGTGGATTGGGATGGATTGAGGCACAGAAAATACCAAGTAATCAACCTACCCATGACCTCTACCTCAAGCCTTGAATCAGCAAGATCAACCTCCCAACCAAAATCACTATCCAGACAAGTTGAGTCCTAACAAATAGTTGAGCACCATATCTCAAACTTCGTTGCTACTCCTATACACAAACTGACTCGCCAAAGTGGGCATACACGGAGGAATGTGACTAGTCCATCTCCACAAGGACCGTCCCCAGCTCCAGCAGTGCCTGACAGGTCTCACATGGCAGTCTAGATCCTCCGAGGTGGAGACTAGAATACTGTTTTGGAGAGACCCGGGCAGGAGGAGGCTGAAACGCTTGGTCCCACCCAGCCCAGCCGCCAGACTGTCGTGGTGGCAACAAGGTTTCAGATTCAAAACAATTTGTATTTTGCGGGTATGGAAAGTCTACAGAAGAGATATGTCTCGAGTCATACAGCTACGCGCGAGTGAGGGAATGTGTCACGGAACTTGTGGCAGGTAGAGTAGCGGCAAGTTGGCGTTCCTGCTGCTTGCCCTAAGTCCTGAGTAGTCCCGAGCTGGCGGAGGACAGCCTCTATTTGTGCAGAGCTGTGGGGTTCCAAGAGCTTGGCATAGTTAGAATCATTCCAGGAAGGAGAATGTGTTGTGCACTTGGCTTTGTGACTCTGCAAGAGTTGGGATTGAATCCTGTGGGCACGTCATTTCTGGCATCATCGGCGCGGTCGTTGCTCGTTCGCCAAGGACTGCATCACCGAGAAATGACCGATCAGGACGGACTTGTCAACTGCTGAAGATGTTCGTGCTATTTTATCTCCGAGACTAAGCTTCAGCAGCACTGGGATCAAGTACCAAGCATGAAGATACACCACGACACACTCATGCCCGCACAGCAACATATCCTCCACCGTCAAAGATAATCCGAGCAACACACCCTACCTGTCGTGGGTAAGCAAGCGAACAATCGGATTTCGGATTTAACCACCGCGCTTGACGCCCAGCACCACCCAAGTAAGATCCACAATCTGTACCCCGCTCTTTCACTCCGTCACGCCCCCCCCAAACTACCAAACTAACAAACTAACGCATCTCATTTCCCGCCCCGCTAATCCCAGATCGAAACGGAACTACACCCTTTGACATCGACCCTGTCACCCTGCCAATATCCACTCGACATCCCATCCTGCAGAACTCCAGCTCATTCCTTCACGTCATACCCACCCTCACAGGTGGGAAAAATCCTCCAGAATACACTCTGCGCTCCGCACGGTCCCCCCTTCCCCTTGCTCGCCCGCTTCCGTAGACCCGAAGATATAGCACTTTGTACCCTTGAACCCTGTCGATCGGCGGGCTTGTTTGCGCTTCTGTCTCCGTTCGATGACTCTATTCGTAGGTGGAAGGATGCTAGAGTCCACGAGGGGGGTAAGTATCCGAGCATCGGGATCAAACACCCCGAACCTCCACGTCGAAAGGGTGCGGTTTGGGAGTATTCCCCCGAGCTGCAAGCTGCGTGCAGAATGCCAAGGTTGGAGTGCATCTACCCCATACTGAACCTGAGACTGGGGGTGTTTGACATGCTGATTCTGGTCCGATGGCCGAGGTCGGTGGGAGAAAGAGGAAGAGAGGGAAATTGTCCGTGTGGGATGGGTTGAATGGGATTTTCCACGTATTGGTCTGGAGGTCAGGGGTATATAAGGGAGGGAGTAGCCGGCATTGAGTTCGATTCATCATTCAGACAGTCCATAAGAAGATTGACAGCCAAGAACACCACCACAATGAAGACCGCCGCTCTCGCACCGCTCTTCTTCCTCCCCTCTGCCCTCGCCACGACGGTCTATCTCGCGGGTGACTCGACCATGGCTAAGAATGGAGGCGGGTCGGGAACCAACGGTATGTGTAGGACATCCCTCTCTTAACGGCCCTGCTGATAGACATCAGGCTGGGGCGAGTACCTCGCTAGCTACCTCTCCGCGACAGTGGTTAACGACGCGGTCGCGGGCCGCAGCGCGCGCTCGTACACACGCGAGGGTCGGTTCGAGAACATCGCCGATGTAGTGACGGCGGGCGACTACGTGATCGTCGAGTTCGGCCACAACGACGGTGGCTCGCTGTCCACGGACAATGGACGCACCGACTGCTCCGGAACCGGGGCAGAAGTCTGCTATAGCGTCTACGACGGGGTCAACGAGACCATCCTCACCTTCCCCGCCTACCTGGAGAACGCCGCCAAGCTGTTCACCGCCAAGGGCGCCAAGGTCATCCTCAGCAGCCAGACCCCCAACAACCCCTGGGAGACCGGCACCTTCGTCGACTCCCCCACGCGCTTCGTTGAGTACGCCGAGCTGGCCGCCGAGGTCGCTGGCGTCGAGTACGTCGACCACTGGTCCTACGTGGTTAGCATCTATGAGACCTTGGGCAATGCCACCGTCAACTCGTATTTCCCCATCGATCACACCCACACCAGTCCTGCGGGCGCGGAGGTCGTGGCTGAGGCGTTCTTGAAGGCGGTTGTTTGCACGGGTACGTCGTTGAAGAGTGTGTTGACGACGACGAGCTTTGAGGGGACATGTTTGTGATTGAGCAGATGGATAGACAAAGGAGTGGACGGATAAGGACAGGAGTTGTCATGTATAGTGGTAGTTTGTGCATTGCAAATGGTATCTGAACTCGGCTCGCTTATGCTCATAATCGAGAACTGGACATTTCTATGTTCAGGTTTGAGGTTTCTATGATATCTCCTCCAGCGTGGCTTTCACTATCCCACGCTTCTCAACTCGGTTGTAATATTGCACCAGGTTCGGATAGTGAGTGCTTGATAATTGCCCGGCTGCCTGAATCTCCCAAAGAACGGGCCAGAGGGAACAGTCGTCAATTCCAAAGGAGGCACCACTTGCGAACGGCTGTGTCTGGATCGCTGCTTCCCACCTATTTAAATATTCGATGCCCCTCGATCGATCCATCCGATTGCGCCAGGTGGCTAGGAGTTGGTCGATCTCGACCAGGAGGCTACCCCCGCGCAAAGCTTCCACGCCCGGTTGCACGAGCTCCGAGGCATGAGTGGCAAAATATTTCAGGATATTGGAATCGTTAGCAAGCTCAGCTCCATGGCCAATGTAAAGCGGCAGATCCATAGTCTCGGCGCCCGTTGCAGTGGTCGCATCGTAGCGAAGTCCGTTCTCGCCCAGGCACAAACGAACCCGAAGGTTAGCTACGGGGTCCGGCCCGACCACAAGCTTGGCGGTCGTAGCCGTAACAAAGTTGACAACATCGAAACCCGCGCCGTAGACCCCGTCCCAGTCAAATTCGGTCGCGTGGTTTTCCTGTCCGAACGCCCGAATCAAGCGCTCGGTTTCCGCTGGGTGCCCGTGGATCACTGCATGGGCATGGTCCTGGGTCTTGGACACTGCACCTTGGCCCCAGATCGCGTCTCCAGTTGGGTTGAGATAGGTGCCAATGTGACGAAAAGTTAGGGAGATCCGCTGTCCGCCATACGCTCGCTCCTCGGAAGACTTCTCGTCCGTGGCCCGCTTATCGGGGCGAATGCCGTGCAACCACCGCATGTTCGTCTGCTCCCCAAGAATGAACAATGACTCGTGTGGCATAGGTATGCGTTGCGTAAGGCGACCGCTCTCAGTGCCCTCCGACTCTTTCCCCTTGGTTCGCAGCACCATCACGCGTTGAGCACCAAGACTGACATTGCATATGAAAGAGCCCCGCACAATGTCCAAAGTCTTGTCCGAATGCTCCGAGATCCGGTCTTGTCCGTCCCGATAGAGTTGGATAAGCGCATGATTGAGTGGGTGGCCCAGAATACGCTCAATCACAACCCGTACCTCGTCCACCGTAGGAGTGAACGGTTGCAGTAGCGGCGATTCGTCCGCTGGGTGACGGTAGATCGGAATTGATCCATCATTCAGCGCACGCCCCTGCACCGCCACCAACCGCGGGACCTGCCCAGAAAGATGATACATCTTTTGCCAAGCCACCTCATCCCGGATCTTCTCAAAGGCTTTCTCTGGCAGCTCCAAATCGTATAAGATCCTGGAGTCGCCCTCCCCGATTACATCGCCCGGCCTGTACACATCGCGTTTCCTCGATTTCTCGCTTCGCCGCGTTTCTGTGTGCGCACCTGACTCGCCCTTGGCATTCGGTCTCTTTGTGCGACGGACACGTGTACGGGCCTTGACTGCGCCAGGATCCGTGGATTGTGCCTCCGAGGCATTCCGCACTCGTGCGCGGGCGATATTAGCTAGCTCTTGCAGGCTCTGGTTGTCGTGATCGGAGAACTCCGCCATGAGATCTTCAATCCTGCGGCGCCGGCCGCTGCCCACTAAAGCTTCGGGGCTCTCATTCCTGGCCGCCGATCGGGATTTGGACCCGAACCCTAGTCCATCCATGATCCCTTCGATTTCAGCACGATTCCCTGTTCGTACCGGACGGGGATTGCTACTTTTGGCGATCGCATCGGTCTCCTCCCAATCCAGCTCCTCCAGCAGCTCCTGCGTGGTGATCCCGCTGGCGCCGAAGATATCTGCCATGCGACGCATCGCCTCCTCATGGCGGGGGAAGCTGCGGTACCCAAGACAGTCCTCGACCAGAGTGACTGAAAAGCCATGTCGCACGGCGTCGAGAGCGGTAGCGTAGACGGATACATTAGATAGCGACCCGCAGAGGTATAGCTCAGTGATAAACCGGGTCCGGAAGGAGAGGATGAGATTGTGGTCGCTGAGCGCGGAGTACCCCGATTTGATGATCAGGGTATCTGATTCTGAGTCGATGGCCGCGAAGACGGGTGCGGGGAATTGCGCCCCAGGCGTTTGCGGCACACAGCACCGCGGTGTCTTGGCTGAAAGAAAAGCCTCCTCATCGATGGTGTGGCCATCGTCCATCTTCGGGTCACCAACTACAGATTCATCCTCTGGCGTACGCTTGGCTCGAGCGTCCTGGTCCTGTCGACTGAGCACCACGAGGTCTTGGCCGTCCGATGGGCTGATTAGAGGTTGCGGGGACTGGTAGTAGGAGCGCACCCATATCACGTCCCCATTCCGGCGAAAGGCGCTGGCGAGTTGAGCGATGTTCTCTAGAAAATCGGCAGTATTGGGAACATGTAGGGCTCCATTCGATCGCACAAAGTCATTCTGGAGATCTAGGAGGAGAAGAGCTTTGCGGGTTTGGATGGTGGGCAGATTGCCGGACTGGGGGATGAAACTCATTGTAGGAACATGATCAGGAGGTAAAGGGGGATTATCGCAAAAGAGATCGATAGGAATATAGCTGGAAAGAGCAGGGCTGAAAAAAGAATTATCGTGGGTCAGATGCGGGGATTGTAGAAGGCGGGGTTGAGAATGGTGATAATACGGTAGAGAGTGGAGGAATGAATGTCAGGAAGAGAAATGATGCGGAGGGGGAAATCCAACGAGCGAAGAATCCCGTCGACACCTGACTGCTGAGGCATTAAGCAGGATTACTTTTCCGATGTGTCGGCCGAATAGAGAAGCGGTGTAGCGAACCTTGAAGCAAACAACAAACAGCAATCGTCAAACAGACCAAACAAGACACACGAGCCAAATACACCCAACAAGACAAATGCAACAAACATAGCAAACACCAGCATGTCCCCCAGTCTCTAGTGTTGGTACTCGGCTCGGATGAAGGTGAGGCTTATTGACTTGTGAAAAAGAGCTACCCCGGACAATCTTGTCGAATAGAGCAAGGTGAAAAAGAGTTTACTGATAGTCACAAGCCACAATGTCAAGGTAGGTACCAACGCGACACGAGATAGTTGAGGACAATAGGCAATGAAATTTGAATTTCCAAATAACTACCTAACTCGTCTGTATGACGGAACAGGGCTAAGAGTGGAAGGTGTGTACTATGTTTTTCTCTTTCGAAAGAAACTCATAATAACTTGAAACGACGACCATATCAACGCCAGTACCGAGTAATCAGACCGTTTCTCTCGCTAGCGAAACAATCTACCGCAACATCGTTGCGTTCGATGCCAAGTATTCTCATGCTGATCAAAGTGCGACGAACGGAGTAATTGAAGTAGCACTAAATCATTGAAATCTTCCTGAGTGATACTCACAAGGCCAAGTAAAGACGAGTAAGGCTACAATCATACCCTCTACTATACCATGTCGCGTTCGTCTCAAACTTGCTGCCTCTTTTGTGAGCAAGTATTATTCCACGCATTTAATCTCCTCGAACACCTCACACACCCTAGGTTCCTTGCGCGATTCTCTTCAGCCATTCTGCTCCACCTTATGGCATCTTTCGATAGTGTCACAATACCGTCGCCAACCCTCCGCACAAGGAAAGATCGGAACCTCATCCAAGCCGACGTAGTGATGATAGTTCTTTAGGGACCAATCCGGTCGGCGGTTCTCGAGGCAAAAGAAGAGCGTAGGAAAGGCGATCCAAAAAAGTGATCCTGCAGTGGCTTCTACCAGTTGCCCATCCCACTCCGAGACACCCCCGACCACGCGTGAAGCATCCCGAAAGGTCACCAGATCGCACGTCTCGCACGCACCTGCTGCGGTCGCATCGAAGCTAGGTCTCGGCTGAATGATACCCCACGGACGACACTGAGAATACAGGGGCGACCCCTCGACGAAGATCATCCGCTCGTCAAATGTCCTCAGCACGCGGGCCTCTAACTCCTCCTGCAGGTCTTGCAGGCGAGGAAACCCAACGCGCGGGCACCGTAAGTTGCACCGATACCCAGCCTCAAAGGGAGTGATGGGGCAGGCCAGGTCTCTCGCGTAGTCCAGAAAGCACAGTTTCGTCGTTGGAGGCTGATGGAGGAGCATCCTTCTCCAACTGGCCTCGGGGCGTTCGTAATATTCCTTATGAAAGGGACCCGAGCATCGACTGAAGTATTCGGGCCAGATTTTCTCGATGATAAGCGGGTTGGCGGTGCGTGGCTCGCCTCTGGGGGTGTTTTCGGCCGGCTGGAAGAACAATGCGGTTTGGATGGCTCGCGATTTGTTGATCAGGTCGTGCCAGAGGTAGCATACTCGTGTTGTGACGAGTAAAGTCTGCATATCCATTTGGAGGAGGATTTGCTTCACCAGCTCTGGGAAGCAGAAAATCCGGTGAGGTGTAGTTTCTGCCATGGCTTTCGTCGTTCAGAGTGATTATAGCGATGAGATGACTCGGTAATGTATGAGACAAAGTCTCCTCGTGGCCAACGAGTGCTGGGAAGTATAGCTTTGAAGCGCGGTCGCAAGAGTCATCCTCGGCGTCACTCTTCCGACATCGATAGACTTGGCTACGGTAGCAGTACCGTTGATGCAGAACTGTGATGCACTCATGATGACGATGAGCACATCTTGAAAAAATTTTAAGGATAAGGACAACGAAACTGCGCTTTTCGAACATGGAAGTATGTCGCGACTGCGACTCTCGAGTTCATCTTGGTCGTGAAAACCACAAGTAGCTCTGTGGCGCATTTATCTAGTCGCAGATGACCACCACTAGAGCTCGGATGAAGAAGACAGACAATTGAGTCGCTCACATTTCATAATTTGCCGGGTGGCGATGGAGCTTTTGAGTGCCTAGGGAATATCGCACTCGTTGCTGAAGTCGTGTCGATTGTTCTATGCATACAATCGGTCGGACGCAGGTACGAACCTCGCATACCTTGGCTCAAAAACAAGCTCCTTCGGAGCATTCATTCCTTAGTTTCCTAGTAGAACAGTAGCAGAGGTCGGTCATGAGCGCTATCATAATCCTTGCCGAATGATAAGCCAGATGTTTGCTTCTTTGTTTGTATCGGTGCTCCCGCGGACGGCCGTCGGACGAATGTAGACAACATCGATCACAAGGTTCGACTGATAACGCCAGCAGGAATGGGTGACCCTGTAGACATTTGAGTAATCCATATCTTAGGTATCAGCGTTTATGGATACCTATGACTCCCTCCTCTCCTCAAGCTGCAATTTCCTACTTCCACTATCCACACTCCCTTCGAGCAGCGCAAGCTCTTCAGTGGTTAGGGAACTCCCAGTCCCACTCAAACCATATAATAACCCCGCATAAACAGGACGGATCCAACACGGACCCGGCACAGAGCTGACCATCAAATACCATCTCCGAGGGCACAGCTATCTCCAAACTCTCTACAGAGTACGAACACAAGGATCATATCCCACTACTGCACGCTGCGCTGCCATCCCGAAAAGGAAAACACGCCCCCCCACACTTCAACAAGCATGTGAAAGCGCAAGCTTTCATTCATCCTGCTTCCTTTGAAAGTATCCATCCAACCACGTGCCCACCACCACGGCTCAGAAACCACCGACTCGCAAGCCAAGAACCGCGACAAGTGAGCCATCCCCAAAAATCAAGGTTCCCAGCGCAAGTACCGAGATTCTCCACAAATCAGTCCTGATAGAACTTCCCACGTGTTGGCCGTTACCCCTCCGATCGACACTCACTAGACCACTGTTTAGGCTACGCGTAAATTAAACTAAGTGTACGGCACTGCGAGGTGTGAAGAAACCCAGCGGGCGGCTTTGCGAGCGCTCGGCGAAGCTGCCCGTTAGGGCTAATGGTCCGGATCTCCGGCAGTGCCCCTCTGTTCGACTGCAGACTACTAAGTCTAGACTAGAGTGTCAACGTTCCCTCCCCCTTGCTAGCGCCTGCTGCAGGTTGCCCTAATAGATTGTCAAACCGGGCCGTTGCAAAGTTTCGTGATGGCCTTGGGCACATTTTCACATGTTTTGGTGCTCGCAGGTGCAAATCGGCTAAGCTTAGCGCAGTCGAATAGCAAGAGCTTTGCCGAGAGTGGGGGTCCAAGCGTTAAGCGCACTTGTGGGAGTAAGTCACAGTATGTTAGACTCGCGATCAAAGTTGATCAGACAGTTGGTAACTTTGAAGCAGTTCTTGCAAAAGTTGCGGGCAAGGGCAAAACCAAACGGAGACTTACCCCCTTTTTTTCTCTTCTCGAAGACCTCAATTAAGTTAAACCGATTTAAGTCTATGACTGTTAAGAATTAAGAGTGGGTCCCCCACCAGGCTCCAAGCCGTGGTTTCGGCTATCAATCTGCGACAACCCGCGAAACGTGGGTCGGGGGTACTTCGGCGGACGGTTGCCACTGGAAATTTTTCTCTTCTGTTGGGAAGATGGCAATGGTAGGAGACAGATGTCGTAACGTATGTTCATTCACATTATATCCGAGATATGAAGTATGTACATGCGACGCGAGCGCGTCAATTATTACTCCTATACCTATTTACTGCGGCCATGGTCCACATCGCCGGGCGCAGCAGGGCGACTAATCGCACGCGCTGATGTACTCGAAGTAGAACTTGTGGGCGGAGACACTGTCCAGGAGCGTCCCGTCGTTGCCTGCGGTGGAGTCCACTCCAGTCACCTCGGTGATGTCCGAGGTCGTGACGGTCACGTCGGTGTCGCTGGTGATCCAGTACTCCGGGCTGAAGTGGTGGTAGCCGAGAAGCTTCGGCGGGAGCTTGGGGACGATGTCGTCCGTATGCGTGACGCGGTAGTTGCTGCCCTTGGTTTGGTCGGTGATGTAGTCTGCCAGGGCAAGGTTGCCGATGCGAGGTTGGCCGAAGTTGTACTATTCATTATCAGTCCTTAGTTCGAGTCTAATGTGGGTGAGATAGGGTTAGGAACATACCAGGTCAACGGTGTACCCGTCGTTGCGGAGGACAGTGGCGCCGATTGCAGCGAGGGCAGCACCCAAGCTGTGGCCGGTGAAGACCAGGTCGTAATCCGAGTAGGTGGTGACAGCCGCCTCGACCTTGGAGGCGATAGTGCTGGCAACTGTCTCCCAGGCTTTCCAGAAGCCACTGTGGATCTCGCAGCCAGTACAGATGCTGCTTGCGTCTGTAAGACCAAAGTCGATGTTGGCGATCCAATTAGAGAGATCGGAGCTGCCACGGAAGGAGACAACAATGGCCTTATTTGTCGAGTCGACAGCGACGAAGCCCGCCGTGTCGCCGAACTCGGCAGTTCTGAGGTGGTTTGTCAGTCGACTCGACCAAGTTAAATATGCGATCAGGAAACCTACTCGTTGAACTCGTCGAGGACAGTGGGAGCAGCAGCCACAACCAGCGGACAGTTGTCAGCAGAGCAGGAGAGCGCCGTGCTTGCTGAATCGATGTTGGTCGAACAGTAAGCGGCCGCGCTATACTGCGCAAAGAGGTCCATCTGGTCCAGCAGGGTGGTGGAGACAGCTATGACAGCATTAGCATCGTGGAATAAGACTAGATTGACACGAGCACGTACATCGACGCTCGATCGGCGCGGGGGCAGCCTGGGCCAGCAGGCCGAGAGCCGCGATAACCCCTAATTCCCGGGTGTAGAGCATCGTGAGTGGAAGAGAAAGAACGGGGAAGTTGGGTTAGGAGATGATCTGCCTGGATCCTGGGGATACCACAGAGAGTGGCGATCAGCCATCCTTTTATAGAAATTCTTCCCCTTATCCCTTGCGGGAGGGGAATTCGTCGGGGTTCTGGCGTAGAAAGTCCGAGTGATACGAGCCACTCCGGGAGGGCGGGGGAAAAGCAAACCCCATGGCCAAATTGAGAAAGAAGACAATTGAAGGCTATACCCATTGCTCCTAGCTTGAAGCCAAGGACTGACAATGGGGTGGAATTGATGGGGCTCTAGGGGCGGCCCCCAACAAACGTTGCTCCGTCGGAGGAAGATAGGGCAAGGCCACGGGAGAAGGGGAATGCCACTGGAGTGCACACGGCCTAATATCCATAGCGCATTTGCTTCTTCTTTGCTAATTGCCACGCGTCTACAACAGATAGATGCACTGGTAGACGGGATAATTTTCTTGAGCATTGGTGTCAACCCCTTCCGGATGGACCCGCCCGGCATTCGAGGCTAAAGCGCGATGCTTGTTCAAGCCTGATTGCTCTTCAGCCGGAACAGCGTGACTGACCTGCATGAACGGGCCGGAGTGTGCATCCTGCAGAAGCAATCAGAAAGAAATCCCTATGAGTTAGCGTCTTTGGCGCGGACTGTCGTTCTTCTCGAAAGACCCACCTCGTTCGGCTTAATTGGGCGCGTCTAGCGGGTTGAGTCTTCTGAGTCTTCTATAACGACAATTGTTATAGTCCTCGCGGACACTTCTTATTCACCAGTGAAGTGATCACGGGGTAGGTTGCAATTTAAAGTCCGCTCCAAAAGTCAGGATAATCGAATTTTCTCCCAATTAAGGACGCACGCTGGCCGTCTGACTGTGTTTTGGGGTCAGGGGCTTGACGCTATGTTTCCCGCTGTGAGGAAGATACTTACCTGAAAGTGACCGGCCCCATGGACACTGCGCCACCAATTTTCGATGATCGCGATACTGAAGAGAAGGTTGTTTTGGCCTCGAACATCGAAGGTAATTTTCAGGGGCTTGGTGCCTGAGGCATAATGTTTTGCTTGGAATGAGGCCGGATCAACCAATTCTCCCGTTCCGAAGTCATCAGCAATGATCCAACTTATCCATTGCATCTTATCTCTTGAGGGACTTCTAAAATTTTTCAGATGAGGTTAATGTAGCGTCAGAGTATGGACTTTAGTCTGCTTATGTAGCTCGACAAGATTCGTTGAAGTGGCTTGCGAAAACTAATTGTATGATTCATCATCATTTTCCCGATTTCAATCCAAATCTGATATATACGTTTTCGGGTTACCTTAATAACGACTTCGCCTTAATCCTAACTACATAGCGGGCCGAGGGGGTAAGTTACAGTGGTTGTACTGCGGTTTACTCCGGTTATATAGAGTTATAATAAAGTTGTATAAAATTCTAACTAATTATAAGCCCTTCAAATCTAGAAGTACTAATCTTTATGTAAATAATAGATTATACTAAAACTATATCTTTTTTATTAGATCTAAAGTAGTTTTTATACTATTTATTATTATAATATACTTTAATCTTAGAGTTATACTAACTGTTGTATTTTTTATTTATATTTATTTATAATAGTAATTTAAACTATTGTTATAACTGTTCTACTCTGTAAACTAAGATATAAATAAGTATAATCTTATTTAAATCTTACTAAAAATAGATATTATCTCATCGAAATCTTATTAAAAATAGGTATTATCTTATTAAAATCTTACTTTACTATTTACTTTTTCCTTAATATAGTCTTTCTAATTTTTTATATATATAATTATTTACTAGAGGCTAAAATCTTTTTTTTATATAATATATCTTAACTTCTATATCTTTTACTATTTATTTTCTTATTTTTTATACTAATCTTTTTTTATTTTTTTATTTTTTTTATTAATTTTTTTTTATTTTCTTATCTTCTGTACTAATCTTTTTATCTTTTTAAACATATTCTAAAGTCTATATTCTTAATATTTTTAATATCTACTTTTTTTTATCTGTAAGTAAGGTAAGTAAAACTAAGTTTTAATATTTATTTTAGCTTTAAAACTAAAATTTTAATATTTTTTTATAAGTAGTTTTTAAAATTATAAAGCAACGCCCAGCAATCTTTTATAATATATAATAATATTTTTTTTTTAATTATAATATATAGTAATCTTCTATAATATATAGTAACTTTTTATAATATCTAGTAATATAGCCGGGTTGTATAATAAGTTAACTTACCTATTAACTATATATAGAAAGCTTCTAGATAATATATATTTAAATAATAGTAATAAAAACAAAAATAAGCAAGCAACAGAACTTAATTTTAAAAAAAAATATATAGAATTACAGAAAATATTATATTTAATTTTATATAAATTATAGCTTAACTGGCTGAAATTATTATTAGTTAAACTATATTAGATTAAACTATAAAATAACTGCTTGAAATATATAAAAAAAAAAAAAAGATGTTTTACTAAAAATAATATAAAAGTATCTGGTCCGTAGTAAGATAGACGGATAATAATAATTTTTAGTATTTATTTTAAATAAGTAGAACTAAAATAAAGCTGACTATTTTATTTATTTTTTATAAACAGTAAAATATACTAATAAGATAAATTATAAAGATATTTTCTTTCGGCGGAATATAAGCGATAATAAAAAAGAAAAAACTATTTAAAAAATTTATATTATTCTTATTATAATATACTTATCTAGTTAAATTAACTAAAAGTCAGAAGAAACCTCTATCTTTGGAACTATTTATTTTGGAGATAAGTAAAATAACTAAAAATATTAAGTATTAGACTAATATAAAAAATCTTTATAGAAGATATAAATCTGTATAAAACTAGAAAATCAGATTATTATATTAAGAAGAAGAAAAAAATAAACACAGAAAAGATAGTAACAGAGCTATTTAATAATATAAAAGATTTAAAAATCGGAGTTTCTAAATTAGATCTTAATAAAAATAAGTTTTAGTAGCAAGCTGAGGCTTTAAATAAAAAAAAATAATTGCAACTTTTTTATAAATTAAATATTTATAATCTAACTAAACTTTTCTGGTTGATAGTAAAAATAAATCAAGTATTAATTTTAAATAAGTTAAAAAATCTTATTAAAGCCGAAAAGCTTATTAAAAAGATAAATAAAAATAAGAATAAGAATAATTTTAAGAAGTTTGCTAAAAATATTAGAAATAATATTTTTAAAATATTAAAGTATTTAGTTATATCCGATTTTAAAACTCTACTAATAATAAATAAGAAAGATAATCTAATAGAAATTACTTTTAAAAAGCTTGAGAAGCTGGAGTAAATCTAGTAATTTATTAATAATTTTAATTATTAAAGAAAAAATTATCTAAAAATCTGCTAAAATCTTGGGATCGAAGATCCGGAGTATTTATATTTATTAGATATAATTATATTTATAATATTAAAATTCTGGTAATCTGTTGGAATCTGGGCTATTATTAAGATTATAATTAAGAAAGTAGTATAGAAAGTATTACTAGTAAATATAGTTAAACTAAAAAAAATATAGTAATTTATTAGTATTATTTTTACAGTAAGTAATTTAAAAGATTTTAGTATTAGACTTTTATAACTAATTTCTAGAAGTATATAATATATTTTAAAAAAAAAAACTAAGTTTAGAGATAAACTTGCTGCAGAAAAACTAAAAAAGCCGATTTTAATATTAATATTATTATATTTAATTTACTAATAGCAGACCGAGATTTTAAATATTATAAAATAGTTAGTATTATATATATATTATAGAAAAATATAAAGCTAGACGAATATTAAATAGATTAATAATAAGCTAACAGCTGACTATAAAATCTTTACTAAATAAAAGTAATATTTAATAGTTATATTAAATAGTTATAATATATTTAAAAGCTGTTATAGTATTTTAGATATTAAAACCTAATATATATATAAGTATAAAAATAAGTTTAAAAATAAAAAAAATTGCTCAAAAAATTATTCTAATAATATTAAAGATTATTTCGGGTTTATTATTCTAGATAAGGCCTATAATCTGTATAATAAAATATTAGAAATATTTTAAACTGTATAATAGACTAGAAGTAACTTTAATCTTTTATTTATAGTAATATCTTTTTTTAACAACTATAATAGTAATTTTATTAGATATTTATAATTATTTTTTAAAAAATATTTAATATCTGAGATAATAGAGCCGGCAGTTATAAAAAAAACTTTAATTATATTTTTAAATATTTATTATATAAATCTTATTTTTAGTAAGATTTTTCTTAAAAGATATATTATTTATATAGATTTAAATAAAAAGATATAATTAGTACAATTTTATACTCTTCTAAAATACTTAATAATCCGAAGAATTCTTATATTTATAATCTTATTTAAAAGTAGCTGGATAATTAGTAAGAATATTTCTTCTATAATATATAAGATATTTAATATAAAATTTAATTCTAAGAAATAAAAAGCTTATAAAACTTATTAGATTAAAAATTACTATATTATAGTGCTTAACCAGTTAGATAGAAAAAATCTATAATACTAATAGATTATAGTATATTTTTATTAATTAGTTTTAGAAGTCTTATAACTTAATATAATTTTGTTTAAGCCGACTCTTCTAGAGGCAGATTTCTTTAAAATAGTTAATTTATAAAAAAAATACAAGCTGATATCTAGATAAATATAATATTTATAAAAACAAAAATAAGTTAAAAATATTATTACTGTTAAAATATTCTATATATAGTCTAAATCTTAGTAGAAAAGCAGGAATAATTTATAAGTAAATATAAAGTAATTAGCTATACTTATTTAAAAAATACTAAAAATACAAATTATATTAAAAATTTTATATATATTAATATAATTCAAAAAGAAGAAGTTAATTATATAAATATAGTTTCCGGAGAAAAAGCTCTATATTCTAATAACTTTATAAAA